AGCTCATCAAAGGCACGCTGCTGTGCGGTCCCCCATTCCCAGGTGGTGTCCGCTTTGAGGAGCTCTCTTAGTGGCTGTGTGAGTTCAGCTATACGTGGGGAAAACTTTCCAACATAGTTTACCATGCCCACAAACCTTTTCACGTCTGCAGCATGCTTAGGTGTAGGCATCTCCGTGATCGCTTTGATTTTGCCTGGGTCTGCTTCAATGCCCTGTGACGTGACAATGTGACCAAGAAACATGACCTTTACCACAGCAAACTGACACTTGTCGTTGTTGAGAGTTAGTCCTTCCTGCTGGAGCCGCTCCAACACTCTGTGCAGTCTTTGGTCGTGCTGTTCTCGAGTGGACCCAAAAACCAGAATGTCGTCTGCGTGGCACACAGTTCCCTCAAGCCCTGACAGCATTTGGGTTAGTCTCTTTTGGAAGTGTTCAGGTGCGGACGAGATTCCGAACGGCAACCTTTTGTAGCAGTATCTTCCAAACGGGGTGATAAATGTGGTCAGAGGGACTGACTCTGGGTGTAGAGGTACCTGCCAAAATCCAGCTGTAGCATCCAGTTTAGTGAAGACTGTTGCACCTGCAAACTTAGCCAAAGTTTCATCTACAGCAGGCAGTATGTGGCGCTCTCTAGAAACATACTCATGTAGGTGAGTCATGTCAGAGCAGATTCTGACCTTTCCATTGGGCTTAGGGGCCACCACCATTCCAGCACACCACTTTGTTGGTTCCTCAATAGCCTCAATTACCCCCATCTTCTCCATCCTTTCGAGCTCTACCTTCACTTTGTCATACAAAGGCAGTGGGACTCGTCTTGGCAGCGACAATGCATAGGGTTTGGCACCTTCTTTCAGTTTCACTTTGTACGCCCCTTTTAAAAGGCCCAGCCCTGTGAAGACTTTGGGGTACAGCTGTTTTATGTCAGCCTCAAACTCTGTAACACTGTCTACGGGGTGCAGCAGGCCTAAAGCTGAAATGGCTGGGAAACCTAGCAAAGGAGTAGACAGTCTCTGTATGACATACACTGGCTGCGTTGTCGTTTTGTCCTTGTATTTCATGACAGCATTAAACTGACCTCTTACTTTCAGGGCTTCTCCACTGGGACCACACAGGGGTTTCACTGCTCTGGTGAGTGGGCCGTGCAGGTCTTTTGAGTAGGTGGCAGCCGGTATCACGGTCACGTCAGCTCCTGTATCCAGTTTAAAAGTCATATTTTTGCCATTTACATCCAGTGTTTTTTTCCAGTTGTGGGGTTGTGCCCCTGCCGACACTGCTCCTAAAAACAGTGTGTTGTCCTCATCCTCCAGGACCACTCCAACTCTGCCTGATCTGCACACAGCTGCAAAATGTCCCTTTTTCCGACATTTTCTGCACTCTGCATCTCGTGCAGCACAGATGTTTTTGGAGTGTGCAGGTGATTTACCACAGCGCCCACAGTACTTGTATCCTTTTTGATTTTCATTTCGACTGTTTGTTTCAAATGGTTTTCGTGCTTGGTTTTCTTTGAAAGTTTTTTTCTTAAACTTTAATAAATCCACGTTTGCTTCTTTCATGTCCTTGACATTTGTCTCTCTCACGACTGGTTGTTGTTTCTTTATCTCTTCATGCTGTCTTATTTGTTGCACTGCCTTTTCCAGTGTTAATCCACTATCCATCTGCAGCTTCTCTGACAGGCCCTGGTGCTGTATGCCCACCACTAGCCTATCTCTTATCATTTCGTCCTGCAGTGGTCCATACTGGCAGTTTTCTGCTAACTTATACAGTAGACTGCCGTGATGAAGGATTCAGCCGATTCCCCCGCTTCTTGGCATCGCTTGTTAAAACGTGCTCTCTCGTATATTACATTGTGTTTGCCGATAAAGTGCTTGTCGAAAGCTCCTTTTACACTGTTGTACTTCTTAAGCTCATCCTGACTCAACCCCAGCGTACTCAAAATATCATCTGCTTTATCGCCCATGGTGTACACAAGAGAGTTTACTTGATAGCTTTCATCCTTGCCATCCAGTCCCGCCGCCACACGAAACCTTTCGAAACGGCGGATCCAGTTGGGCCATGCAGAGTAGTCGCTGAAGTCATAGTTTTCAGGTGGGTTGATTGAAAATAGGGAATCCATCATTCTCGCGCTGTCCTCTGGACGTCTTTTTTTTTTTTTTTTTTTTCGCGCCGTTAGCTTATTTTCCCGAAGGTAGCTTCACTCGCGGCAAAACTGCTACTTCACACCGACGTAGTCTTCTGATCTCTGCCTGAGACGGGATTCTTGACTTCTGACACCATGTACTATTATGTCTGACCATAGATACAAGCTTAAGTAAGACGGGAGGCACTTGTAGCGTTTAGACTCTTGCTTTATTCCATACATCCGGGAGTGTCCCTTCTTAATATGTGTCCCACCAGGTATCTACCATACACATTGGTTCCTATGTACACACCCACAGTACAATAACAGTTAGGCTAGTAACAGTTAGGTTAGTAACAGCTAGGCTAATAACAGCTAGGCTAATAACAGTTAGGCTAGTAACAGTTAAGCCTGGTTCACACGAGACGATTTTAAAATTGTCGGCCGATTTTTCTCCGTGTTAGACCCCACACGGGGAGATTAAAAATCCTGCGTCTAACCACTTTGGTCGTGCAGTGTGTGGTGCGTAGCCACACGGAAAGATCACGCAAGCCACAAACATCACACACGAACCGACACACTTTTGTGCCCTTTAGTGTGAACAAGCCCTAATGTATAACTTCCATTAACATTTAAATGTGTTGATTGGTGTTTGCGTTTATTGAGCGTGGCTCGCTCCGGAGTGGCCGAAACTACTTGCGGAGTAATCTAAACACCTGAATTACAAGCAGAGAGTGCGTTGCCAAAGGGCAGTGGTCATAATTGTTTTGAGAGGTCTGTTATCAAGAAATAGTGACCGGTAGAACGTTTTGAAATTTCATTCAAATCAATGGAGCGTTCTCCTGCTGCTGAGGAGCGTGTGATAATCAAAGATGAGATAAGACAGACTTTATTTATATCACACAGACTATATACAAATGGACAATGCTAATACAGATTGACAAAGCTAACAGACTGTATGTGCGGACCCCATGGATCTATAATAATAACTGGATAGGGTATTACTAGCTTACAGCTGTCCCACCCATGGCCACAGGGGGCGCTGTGGTACTGCAGACTCAATTCACCGGGCTACCCAGAAAAAAGTCCCATAGAACTCAATGTATATTAAAACAGCGCGACCTCAGCTGACAGAGAACCTGACAGAGAACCTACAGCTTTCATAAAGATTGGATTTTGTGGGGATTCTAGTGTCCCTGAACTTCATCCTCATCCTCATCCTGAACTTTTTTTCTTCTTAAATCCTTCGGTTTCCTTTAAATCCACACTTTACTGCCACAAACTCTGCTCCCTGCCTTCCTGCTCTGAGTCCGCTCTACCTCTGCTCTGATCAGCAGCTCTGATTGGTCAGAGTGCGGCCGAGCCCCTCTGTGCACGTGCATGAGAGCCACACACGCACGTTTGACGCGACGCATCATGGGAGATAATCCACTGCACAGAACCGGGAGGACCAGACGATGCCCAAATACAGGCGAGTTCTGCTAATCTCCCGGTCTCCATGAAGTCCCATGCGCTACTGAGCACAAGCCATTCATTTGAATAGGACGCCATCTTGGATCACCGGGGCTTGGCCGGGACCCTGACCCATGGGTGGGACAGCGATAAGCTAGTAATACTCTATCCAATTATTATAATAGATCATGACACAGATGGGCAATGCTAACATAGACAATGCTAAGTCATGGAGCACAGATCGTCTCAGGAAGCCATTAATCCTCTTCATTTGGAACAGATTTGGGGAAAATCCTTGAGACGCAGTGAACTCTTCCTCTTTCTCAGGCCTCTCTCCGCCGCTGGACCAGAGCCGAACATGGACCAGAGACACTGTAAATAGTTTGGGGGCAGAACAGTCTGGACCAGGACAAGAGGAACCAGACAAGACTGTTCCAACCTTGCTGTCATTATTAATATCCTGTATGTTTAAAACGTTTTTTTTTTATTCAGAGACAAAAATTATCTCTGAATTCACTTTCCCGCATCAAAGAGAAACCCAAGAAGGACCAGAGAGAGACCAGAGAGAGACCAGAGAAGGACCAGAGAGAGACCAGAGAGAGACCAGAGAAGGACCAGAGAGAGACCAGAGAAGGACCAGAGAGAGACCAGAGAGAGACCAGAGAAGGACCAGAGAGAGACCAGAGAGAGACCAGAGAAGGACCAGAGAGAGACCAGAGAAGGACCGGAGGGAGAGACAGAACAGAACTGAGGCTGTAGATCCAGGACAATAACCATTTATTGGTTTAATACAAAAATGGGTCAAAATATTTCATTATTTTGTCATTTATTATTTAATACATTCTATTTTTACTTATTTAATTACTGTTGTATCTGTTAGTTTGAAGTTTGAAGAACAGAAATAAAACAAACTTTAAAAAGTACAAAAACAATTTTTATCTATTTGTAATGTTGTCCATACTCCCACCAGTGAGATTAGCTCCACGTGGTGAGTTCTGGCGCCCGGATCACGGACTTTCTGATTGGTGAAACGGTGGAGGGCGGGACATCGAAATGAAAACAAAAACAAGATTTAGGGGCTGGAAAACTCATTTTGAAATTCAAATATCTCTGAACTACTGTTATCAGTTAAAGAAGTATTGGAGAAGAGCATGTTTTATTAAAGCCTTTTGACAGATTAGGGCCCTTTAATGATGACTTGACATGAAAATCTTACACTAGACTTTCTTAAAGTATGCAAATTAACTCCCAACACCGCTCTGGTATTTGACCCGTTCCCAGAAGTGGAGGAGAGATGAGTCCTTTCCTGTTCCTCCAGGACGCCCCTGACAGGAGCCTCACTAATACCTCAGTGTCAGGCCCTAAGCCCCGCCCACAGGTGTGCGTCTCTAAAACCGGATCATAACCGGCTCAGTCTGGAGACCGTCGCAGCATGGAGCCCTCTGCTCTGAACCACCGGCCCATCATCGGTGAGTCTGGATCTGTTTGTTTGGATCTGTTTAGTTTTAGATTAGAATCATACATGCTCCATACACTCACCTCATCAGCATCAACACAGATACTGTATTTGAATACGAGTACAAGTACAAGTACAGTAGTGCTGGAAAAGAGTCAGAAGCAAATATAGTCTCTACTCTACTCTACTCTACTCTACTCTACTCTACTCTACTCTACTCTACTCTACTCTACTCTACTCTACTCACTTTCCAGCAGCACTGGACTTCCAGAACGCTTTAGTACCAGCTCGGCCTGGATAGAACCAAGAGGGACTAAGAAGGACCTGGTACCCGCTACACAGGGCCAGTGGAAACACCCCCAATCAGGTTAGAATCAGTTTAAAGGAGTCGCTCTCTGGGAAAAGGTGTTGTTTCATAGTTTATAACTGTATTTACATTCTTATGCTGTAACACAGCAGTTAACACAACACAACTGGTGAGTGTGTGGTACCGGCATATGGCACCAGTTTATGTAAGTGTGTCTGTGTGTGTGTATAGATAGATCACATACAGATCTGAGACATGACCAGAACAATATTTCTTTTGGAAGTTTTCCTCACATTGTCCTACTGACCTACTAAGAACACGTTACATACTGTGCACACACACACACAAAAACACACACGCTTGCAGCTTTCAGTTTGAAAGACATGTTTGAACTCACATCTGCCTGTTTTTACAGCTCAATATATAACTGCATGAGGTGTGTGTTTGCTCAGAGGGTCTAGGTACACACACACACATATATATTGGGTTTCTTTTAAATAGACACACTACAGATTACTTTCCTTTTTCTATTTTCCCTTTAATTGTTTGTTTGCTCCATAAAGCCCAGAGGGTTTTTGACTTCTGTTGACACTGAAAAGTAAATATCCTCGAGCTCAGTAACTGTTTGTGTCACACTCATCATTTTGGGATTAAAAAAGGTGGTCAAAAAGTTATAAGCAAAAGGTTTTGTTATCTAGTCCCTCTCTGGTCTCTCTCTGGTCTCTCTCTCTCTGGTCTCTCTCTGGTCTCTCTCTGGTCTCTCTCTCTGGTCTCTCTCTCTGGTCTCTCTCTCTGGTCTCTCTCTCTGGTCTCTCTCTGGCCTCTCTCTCTGGTCTCTCTCTCTCTGGTCTCTCTCTGGTCTCTCTCTGGTCTCTCTCTCTGGTCTCTCACTCTAGTCTCTCTCTGGTCTCTCTCTCTGGCCTCTCTCTCTGGTCTCTCTCTCTCTGGTCTCTCTCTGGTCTCTCTCTGGTCTCTCTCTCTGGTCTCTCACTCTAGTCTCTCTCTGGCCTCTCTCTCTGGTCTCTCTCTCTCTGGTCTCTCTGGTCTCTCTCTGGCCGCTCTCTCTGGTCTCTCTCTGGTCTCTCTCTGGTCTCTCTCTCTGGTCTCTCTCTCTGGTCTCTCTAGTCTAATAGTTGTACATTTTCAGATAAAAACTCTTTTTGTGATTATGAACAGAATCCACAGCAAGCCTTAAGTCCCACAGTTTGTATAAAACACAGGATTTGAGAGGAGAATCTTTTCCCTGATGACTCTCCCTGTTGTCTCTCCCTGATGACCCTCTCCCTGATGCCTCTCCCTGATGCCTCTCCCTGATGATGTGTGCAGGAGTGGTGGCTCAGGAGACTGATGATGGGACAGAGTCGTACATTGCAGCGTCGTACGTGAAGTTTGTGGAGTCTGCAGGAGGCCGCGCTGCTCCTGTTCAGTAAGAACCACACCCTCTGGCCCTGCCCTGCCCTGCCCCGCCCTGCCCTGCCTTTTTTGGACACTCACAGACGCTTCACATGTCATTAATTATTCACTCCATACATTACACGGTGGTGATAAACTACTGTAGCCACAGCTGCCCTGGGGCACACTGACAGAAGCGAGGCAACCAGTCTATGCCATCGGCCCCTCTGACCACCAACCAGGAGTGTTTCTATAGTCCCTGTTTGGTGCCAAGTACTTTTTAGTCCCTCCTGGCCCTGGTTCTATCCAGGCCGAGCTGGTGCAAGGATACGGTACTATAGATACTAATGTGATGGAGCAGCAGCCGCTCGCTGGTCCTGCTGCAGGTGTCCACAGGAGGTCTGTCTGAGAGGACAGCCTTGATCTTTCAGTGGGGGCTTCAGGCAAAGTGGAGTTAAGTGTCTCCGGCACAGCAGACATCAGTGGGAGTCGGTGGAGAAGGTCTCGTGGTGGGCTCGAACCCACAACCTTCAGGCTCAAAGGCCAATGCCCTAAAAAAAAATGTATTCATATTTTACGGGCGAGTCCAGAGGAGTCTGAGAACCACAGTGTTGCCAGAACAAACCAGGCTCAAAGAAAATCATGTTTGTCTTCCTTTTGCAGCATCAATCAGACGGAGGAAGAATACAGGGCTCTCTTTAAGTCCATAAATGGGTAATTATCACATATTCAGATTATCCACATATTTGAGCAGAAACAGAAGTTTCCGTGGTCCCCGCAGAGTCCTGTACCCAGGAGGAGACGCCTCTCTGACCACATCCGGCTACGCTAAAGCTACACGGCTGTTCTTTGACCTGGCTAAAGAGGTGAGTCCCGGAAGATACAGTGAGCTCTACATAATAATAACAATAATAATAGATGGATAGAAATAATTTTAATATGTTTCAGGCCAATGATGGAGGCGACTACTTCCCGGTGTGGGGGACCTGCCTGGGGTTCCAGCTCATGGCCTGTGTGGTGGGGGAGAAGGAGGGAGATGTTCTGACCAGGACGGGCGAGGCTGACGAGGCCTTGGCTCTGGATTTTACACACGGTAAAAACACGGTCTGGGATTTTTAAATATGTTCATTATCTACGACTGACCAACTACAGCCTCTCTCTGGTCTCTCTATGGTCTCTCTCTCTGGTCTCTCTCTATGGTCTCTCTATGGTCTCTCTCTCTGGTTTCTCTCTCTGGTCTCTCTCTCTCTGGTCTCTCTCTCTCTTGTCTCTCTCTCTGGTCTCTCTCTCTCTGGTCTCTCTCCCTCTGGTATCTCTCTCTGGCGTCTCTGCTCTCTCTAGTCTCTCTCTGGTCTCTCTCTGGTCTCTCTCTGGTCTCTCTCTGGTCTCTCTCTGGTCTCTCTCTGGTCTCTCTCTGGTCTCTCTCTGGTCTCTCTCTGGTCTCTCTCTGGTCTCTCTCTGGTCTCTCCCTCTGGTCTCTCTCCCTCTGGTCTCTCTCCCTCTGGTCTCTCTCCCTCTGGTCTCTCTCTCTCTGGTCTTTCTCTCTGGTCTCTCTCCCTCTGGTCTCTCTCTCTGGTCTGATTTTCAGATACAATTTTATACTTTCTTCTTCATTATGCTAAAGTTATAGATTCTATCCCATGTTATTTCAGTCATTGTTAATTTCTTGTGCTGTGTGCTCCTCAGTCCTTCTTCTCTGTAACTAATGATGCAACACTGACATTTCTGACTTTGGGACAAATAACAGATCTCTTCATCTTCATCTTAAAAACCTTGAATGTTTCTGTGTTTACGAAAACAGACGCCACAGAAAGCCGAATGTTCCGCAGTTTCCCCAAAGAGACTCTGAAGGCTCTGAGCTCTGAGGCAGTGACGGCCAACATCCACAACTACAGCATGACCACGGCCGTGAGAGAAACCCCCCCAGTTCCTCCCGTCATCCAGGCCCAGACCACAGGGTTTTACTTTCTCGTTTCTTTCTCAGACCTTCAAAGAGCTGCGGAGTCTGAACACCTTCTACAGAGTCCTCAGCACCAACACTTACAACGACGGAACCGAGTTTGTCTCAACGATGGAAGGTTTGTACGTTTGGAACCAAGCTCTGTGAAATTTGGATTATTATAGAGAGACCAGAGAGAGACCAGAGAGAGACCAGAGAGAGACCAGAGAGAGACCTGAGAGAGACCTGAGAGAGACCAGAGAGAGACCAGAGAGAGACCAGAGAGAGACCAGAGAGAGACCAGAGAGAGAGACCAGAGAGAGACCAGAGAGAGACCAGAGAGAGACCAGAGAGAGACCAGAGAGAGACCAGAGAGAGACCAGAGAGAGACCAGAGAGAGACCAGAGAGAGACCAGAGAGAGACCAGAGAGAGACCAGAGAGAGACCAGAGAGAGACCAAGAGAGAGACCAAGAGAGAGACCAGACCAGAGAGACCAGACCAGAGAGAGACCAGAGAGAGACCAGAGATACCATAGAGCCCAAGGAGAGACCATAGAGCAAGGGAGACCAGTGAAATCAGGGAGAGATCAGGGACAGACCGGAGAGAGACCGGGGAGAGACCAGAGAGACCCCTTTCCCAGCTTTAAACTAAACCATGGTCCCCTCTGGTAGCGTACCAGTATCCCTTCTACGCGGTGCAGTGGCATCCGGAGAAGAACCTGTTTGAGTGGAGCCGGTCTCAGCCCCTCCCCCACTCCCCGTCTGCGGTGAAGGTCGCCTCCTGCTGCGCTCACTTCTTCATCAGTGAAGGTAGAACCATCATCAGGACCCGGAGTCTTTAAAAACACATTGTTATCATGTTGTGTTGTTTTCCACACAGCGAGGAAAAACAGGCACCGGTTCAAGAGCGAGGAGCAGGAGCGACGGGCGCTGGTTTATCGGTACACGCCAAAGTACACGGCGGACTGCACGCCCTGGGTCCAGACCTACTACTTCTCCTGACGCCGCAGGGTTTAGGTTTTACTGTTTACTAAGAATGTGAAATAATGTCTAAAAGGAGACGTAACATGAAAAATGCAGTTGTTTTTAGCTTCGTCCACGCTAATATCAGTTTGTTCTCACTTCACTACAGTCTGTGTTTTATCTTATGTATTGTATGTTTGTGTATGTATTTGTATTGTAATGTTTATATTGAAGAAGACGACAAAGTCTGGGATCGTGTCTTTCATTCAGACAGAAGACAAGTTTTGTTGTTGATGGTAGAGCACGAACACAGGATGTTACAGACTGCCACTGATGATACAGCGTTGAGAATGAAGTCCTCCAATCAGCAGCTGCCACGGTGCCCTGTGGCTTGGCCTTCAAAAATCAAAACAAGGGAAAAGTACTGGCTCGTGCAAATGTAAGAATGAAGAATTAAAACTTTAACCATAGTTGCTTCAAAGTGTTATGAAATCTCACAATATGTTAATTAAAAAATCTATGCTCAGTGTCCGTGATCACAACCTCAGTCTGTCCTGCACTGACCTGAAGGCACGTGTCGAGGCCTGTGTCCACTCGGGCGGCGCTGGTTGCGGTTGCGCTGGATCTACGTAGCCACGAGCGTTCCCCCTGCGTAGTTTTGAAGAGAATGTTGTAATCCCACACGTTTGTGTTTACATTGATGGTGCTGCCGCCTCACAGCGCCGCCCTCTGGTCAAACACGTACATTACGCCTGGACGATACTTTTAGAGCCGCTTCCATTTGAAGGTTTTATGGTTTCAGAACCACACACCCTTTGGTCTCGGTCTGGGCAGGTCTCAGTATGTTTTGACTCAGTATGGACTCATGGTGAATGTGAGTAAACAGTGGATTTAGTAAAATACTGTTTTTAAATGTTACCAATATTTGTTCACACATCAGTCAGTCCAGTTTGTGTCACAGACTGTGGGTCTGGTCTGGTGCCACCGCGGCTGCACCATCCTAAACATGCCCATATAAGGACTTGTGCTTATGGAGCGGTTTTATTTACATCTGCTCTGTTCACACCGTCCTCATCAGAGACCTCTGACTCACGACACTTCAGAGTCTGTTCACTCTGTCATCAGAGGCAGCATCAACAGAACTGTCCGAGTGAGGTCCTGACACGTGGTCCTGACACGTGGTCCTGACGTGGTCCTGACACATGGTCCTGACGGGGTCCTGACACATGGTCCTGACACGTGGTCCTGACACAGCCCTGACATGGTCCACTCCTGACATGGTCCTGACATGGCCCTGAATGTTGACTCCAGGTTCGTTTGTGATTCTTGTAATGCACTTCAGCTGCTCTTGGGGGCGCTGTCGTGCTAATCTTATTTTCAAATTTGGAAATAGCCAGAATCTTAAGTGTTGAGTTTGAATTTTGTGAAGTTTCAAAGTGGTTCAGTGGGTGAGAAACATCCATGCATTTTCCTTCCGCTTCATCCGTTGCCGGGTGGCGGGGGTGGCAGTCTGAGCAGAGACCCCAGACTTCCCTCTCCACACACCACACATGGTCCACGCTGCATTTGTCTCATGGATGTGTCAAAGGTCAATATTCTGCTCTAATTGTAAACACATCCTTCAGCGCGGTTCAGATTCGGGGCCCGTACCTTAGACAGAGGGCCGCGGTTTCACAACACCGCACTTTGGGAACCACACTAACCACTTTAGCAGTTTTTAATTCCAGGAAAAGGAGGATCCAGCGTCCGGAGGCGGAGAGCTCTGCGTCACTTTAAACACAAGTCTCTAAAACAATGCGACGAGACCGGAGCAGCTGGTTTGTGCCAAAATGCCGGAGGAAACCGGTAACACCTGGAGGAAACCGGGAGCACCTGGAGGAAACCGGAGCACCTGGAGGAAACCGGAGCATCTGGAGGAAACCGGAGCACCGGGAGGAAACCGGAGCACCTGGAGGAAACCGGTAACACCTGGAGGAAACCGGTAACACCTGGAGGAAACTGGAGCACCTGGAGGAAACCGGAGCATCTGGAGGAAACCGGAGCACCGGGAGGAAACCGGAGCACCTGGAGGAAACCGGTAACACCTGGAGGAAACCGGTAACACCTGGAGGAAACTGGAGCACCTGGAGGAAACCGGAGCATCTGGAGGAAACCGGAGCACCTGAGGGAAACCGGAGCACCTGGAGGAAACCGGAGCACCTGGAGGAAACCGGTAACACCTGGAGGAAACCGGTAACACCTGGAGGAAACCGGAGCATCTGGAGGAAACCGGAGCACCTGGAGGAAACCGGAGCACCTGGAGGAAACCGGAGCATCTGGTGGAAACCGAAGCCCCTGGAGGAAACCGGAGCACCTGGAGGAAACCGGAGCATTTGGAGGAAACCGGAGCACCTGGAGGAAACCGGAGCACCTGGAGGAAACTGGAGCACCTGGAGGAAACTGGAGCATCTGAAGGAAACCGGAGCACCTGGAGGAAACCGGAGCATCTGGAGGAAACCGGTAACACCTGGAGGAAACCGGTAACACCTGGAGGAAACTGGAGCACCTGGAGGAAACTGGAGCACCTGGAGGAAACTGGAGCACCTGGAGGAAACCGGAGCATCTAGCGGAAACCGGAGCATCTAGAGGAAACTGGAGGAAACCGGAGCACCTGGAGGAAACCGGAGCACCTGGAGGAAACCGGAGCACCTGGAGGAAACTGGAGCACCTGGAGGAAACTGGAGCATCTGGAGGAAACCGGAGCACCTGGAGGAAACCGGAGCACCTGGAGGAAACCGGAGCACCTGGAGGAAACTGGAGCCCCTGGAGGAAACCGGAGCACCTGGAGGAAACTGGAGCACCTGGAGGAAATCTGAGCACCTGGAGGAAACCGGAGCACCTGGAGGAAACTGGAGCACCTGAAGGAAACCGGAGCACCTGGAGGAAACCGGAGCATCTGGAGGAAACTGGAGCATCTGGAGGAAACTGGAGCAACTGGAGGAAACCTGAGCAACTGGAGGAAACCGGAGCACCTGGAGGAAACTGGAGCAAATCGGAGCACCTGAAGGAAATCTGAGCACCTGGAGGAAACCGGAGCACCTGGAGGAAACCGGAGCACCTGGAGGAAACTGGAGCACCTGGAGGAAACTGGAGCACCTGGAGGAAACCGGAGCACCTGGAGGAAACCGGAGCACCTGGAGGAAATCGGAGCACCTGGAGGAAACTGGAGCAAATCGGAGCACCTGAAGGAAATCTGAGCACCTGGAGGAAACCGGAGCACCTGGAGGAAACCGGAGCACCTGGAGGAAACTGGAGCACCTGGAGGAAACCGGAGCACCTGGAGGAAACCGGAGCACCTGGAGGAAACCGGAGCACCTGGAGGAAATCGGAGCACCTGGAGGAAACCGGAGCACCTGGAGGAAACCGGTAACACCTGGAGGAAACTGGAGCAAATCGGAGCACCTGGAGGAAATCGGAGCACCTGGAGGAAACCAGAGCACCTGGAGGAAACTGGAGCACCTGGAGGAAACCGGAGCACCTGAAGGAAACTGGAGCAAATTGGAGCAACCGGAGCACCTGGAGGAAACCGGAGCACCTGGAGGAAACCGGAGCACCTGGAGGAAACTGTAGCACCTGGAGGTAACCGGTAACACCTGGAGGAAACCGGAGAACCTGGAGCACTTGGAGGAAACCGGAGCGCCTGGAGGAAACTGGCAGTTCCTGGAGGAAACCGGAGCACCTGGAGGAAACCTAGGAACAAATAAATGAAATGAAAATGAAATTAAACCTACGCAGACACAGGGAGAACATGCAAACTCCATTCAGAAATGCCCTTTTCCGACCTGGATTCGAACCCAGGACCTTCTTGCCGAGAAGCGAGAATGCTACCCACTCAGCCTGTGTTATTTATGAGACTGAAATGTTAGGTACCCCAGCTTTAATCCATACATAACATTAGACATTTCCAGATAGTAGTAGCCGCTGTAGTACTTTTTCCGCGGGGACATAGTAAAGTTTTGATTTGTGGGGTCCGCTGTCGGAGCAGTTGGAAACATTCTCTCATCTGTTTTAAACAAAGAGGCTTGTTCCCGGTGCTCTGTGTGTTCTGGAAACTGCGGTATGTTGTGATGTCACCGACTCAAACATCAGACCCTCCAACCTGACGCACGAGAGAGACACGAGCTGAGGATAGGACGTTTTGGCTCAGATGAACGAGAACATGCACAGAACTACAGATGCTGGTCTCTCTGATCTCTCCTCTCTCTCTTGTCTTATCTCTAGTTACTCTCTGGTCTACCTCTCTCTCTCTCATCTCTTTCTGGTCTCTCTTTCTGGTCTCTCTTTCTGGGCTCTCTTCTCTGGCATGTCTCTGTTCTCTCTCTGATCCCTTTCCTCTCTTTGGTTTCTCTTCTTGTCTCTCTCTTTTTTTAAATCTCTGGTCTCTCTCTGATCTCTCTGATCTCTCTGGTCTCTCTCTGGTCTCTTTCTGGTCTATCTCTCTTGTCTCTCTCTTGTCTATCTCTCTTGTCTCTCTCTGGTCTCTCTCTCTTGTCTCTCTCTGGTCCCCCTCTGGTCCCCCTCTGGTTGCTCTCTGGTCTCTCTCTGGTCTCTCTCTTGCCTCTCTCTGGTCTGTCTCTGGTCTGGCCCGGGGCCTGGAGCTGGTCTGACAGAGGAGGTGTGAGGGAGTGTGGACAGCTCTTTAAACAACACTGCTCTAAAGGCTCCAGTGATGGACGGGCCTCGAGCTGATGTTCCTCTGGTGCTGCCTTCACTGAACGTACAAAAACACAGCTCCACTTCCCAGCAGCAGCTTCCACTCGTTTAAAGAGTACTTGTGTCTTTGTCTTCCGTGAAATGGCCAGGAGAAAATTTTTCACGTCATGGTGAAAGCTGTGACCTGGTATCTATGGTCCTATGGTCATATGGTAACTATGGGAAGTGTCGCAGGTCAGATTATAGTCTTAGAGATAATTTCTCTGTGTCTCCTGGAACAATGCAAAAACTGTCACAAAGCTTCACGTCTTCTTCGTCAGGACAAATCAACTCATGTCTCTCTGGTCTCTCTCTTGCCTCTCTCTGTGCTTTCTCTCTGATCTCTCTCTGGGTCTCTCTCTGGTCTCTCTCTGTTTTCTCTCTCTGTGGCCTCCCTCTCTCTGGTCTCGCTCTCTGGTCTCTCTGGGCTCTATCTCTGTCTTGCCTCTCTTTCAGCTCTCTTTCTGGTCTCTATGTGGTCTCTCTCTGGGTCTCTCTCTCTGTGGCCTCCCTCTCTCTGGCCTCTCGCATGTCTCTCTCGTCTCTCTTTTGCTCTCTGGTCTCTCTCTCTGCATGACGTTGGCCATTAGAACATGAGAATAACAGCTCTTTCTTACCAATGGCTCCTGCTGAAATACTGAAGTACTTTTCTACCACATGAGCGGTAGAATGGATGCGACGTGAGTTCTTGTCTGTATGTTATGACAGGGCCCATACTACATTCTACAAACACATAACAGAGCAGCAGGAGGGACCAGAGTGAGCAGAGGGATCAGAGTGAGCAAAGGACTTCACACTCACACGGCAGCTCACGGCCACGGACACTGATCCATTTCCACAGACGTCAGAAGCTGAAGTCTGTGGCCGCGAGCAGGAGTTCAGCTGCGTGGGAACAGAGTGTGAACTGGAGCTAACCCTGCTGTCCCTCTCCTCTGGTCCATCTGCCCCCTCCCCAGAGTCCATCTGCCCCCTCCCCAGGGTCTCTCTCCCGCCTCCTCTTCTCAAGGATCTGCTGCTTCACTGGGAGGAGACTCAGATCTCTCTCAAGTCTCAAACCAGAGCAGGACTAGACCCTGCAGGGACCAGACTCCAGTGGCATTACGGACTGAGATAACAACGAAGGATCTGGAGGAGAAAAACACAAGATCACACCAGGAGGAGCTCACCAGGAGGACCACACCAGGAGGACCTCACCAGGAGGACCTCACCAGCAGGACCTCACCAGGAGGACCACACTAGGACTGTGCTCTTTCTCTTTCGGACCTTAGACCTTCACTGGACGCTCTGATGGATGTTTGACATGTGCATGTTCTCAGTGCAGCCCAGGACGGGGCTCCTCGTCTCTGTATGATCCTCCTCCCCTAGTTTCCTAGGGGGCACTCTCTGCATGATCCTCCAGGACACTAGGGGCACTCTCTGCATGATCCTCCAGGACACTAGGGGGCACTCTCTGCATGATCCTCTAGGACACTAGGGGGCACTCTCTGTATGATCCTCCAGGACACTAGGGGCACCCTCTGCATGATCCTCTAGGACACTAGGGGGCACTCTCTGTATGATCCTCCAGGACACTAGGGGCACCCTCTGCATGATCCTCTAGGACACTAGGGGGCACTCTCTGTATGATCCTCCAGGACACTAGGGGCACTCTCTGTATGATCCTCCAGGACACTCGGGGCGCTGCTGGTGTCGGCCTGGAGAGTAACCAGACACAGGTCGCTCTGGAGTCTAACCGTTCTCAGGCCGTGACGGTGGCGTTGGGCACTGGGCGCCTGCTTCTGCCCGTGCTCATGTTTGTGGTGGGCGCAGTGGGGAACCTCGTGGCCATCGTGGCTCTATCGGTGTCACGGCGCGAGCAGAAGTCTTCGGCGTTCTACACGCTGGTGTGCGGGTTGGCGGTCACCGACCTGCTGGGCACGTGTCTGGCCAGTCCCATCACCATAGCAACGTACCTGGACCCAGACGTGCTGCAGGACGAGCGTTTGTGTGCGTTCCACTCTTTCCTGCTGCTCTTCTTCAGCCTGACCGGCCTCAGTGTGATCTGTGCCATGGCGGCTGAGCGCTACGTCGCCATCTGCTGCGCGTTCACCTACCGACGCTGCCGCGTGGGCCGCAGCTTCGCTCAGAGGGTTCTGTGTGGCATCTACCTGAGCCACGTGCTGCTCTGCAGCCTCCCGGCGCTGGGCCTGGCACGCAGCCAGCTGCAGCGCTCCGCCACCTGGTGCTTCATCGAGTGGCGCTCATGGGATCCTGTGGCGCACGCCTACACGGTGCTGTACGGCAGCACCAGCGTCCTGCTGATCCTGGGGACGCTGCTGCTGAACCTGGCCGTGTGTGGAGCGCTGCTGCTGATGCGAAGGCGCTCGGCGACCAACCCTCTGAACAGAAGAGCAAGTGTGCGGCAGCGATGGCGGGCGCTGTCCTCCGCTGCAGAGACGCAGATGATGGCCGTGCTCCTGACCACCTCCGCTGTGGTGCTGAGCTGCTCGGCGCCACTCGTGGTGAGTTTGGATCCTGCCTGTTAACGTTATGTTACAAGCACACACAGACACACACACACACACACACACACACACACGTTTACCTGATCTTCACGTGCACGCTCCTCTTGCAGGTGCGTGTGTTCGTGAACTGCTTCACGCTCGTGGACGACCCGCCCGCAGACCTGGCTGCCATCCGCATCGCTTCAGTGAACCCCATCCTGGACCCGTGGATCTACATCCTGCTGCGGAGGTCTCTGTTCCGTCGCTTACGCAGTGCGTCTGTGCGCAGGCTCTCAGCGCGTGGCTCGGCTCCGCACTCAAACCTGTTCTTTCCAAACCTCATTAAAGACGGTCATGTGATCACACAGCTGCTGTGGAGCGCCAACGTCGCCACGCAGCTGCCGACCGCACTTCAGACGCATGCACGCCGCTCACAGAGACGTGTTACCACGGAGACACACATGTGCTCTTTCACAAATAAAGGGGGGAAACTTGATGAACAAATACAAGACGTGTCGTGTAAAGAAGAGGAAGCTCAGAAATCAGACACCGCTGCAGTTAGACAATAAACACTGACTGGATTCAGAACTTTCTGAGGTTTAGTGAACTATGACATGACATGGACTGATCACATGACCTACCTAAGATGGCTGCACCCTGTGTTCTGGCTGACAATTGTATGAAAGAAAAAGTATATATTGTTGCTTATTAAGGCAAGTAAGAATAAAATAAAAGGTGGGCAATGCCACCAAAGAAGACATCACAGATGGAGAGTGACATTGACGACATCCGCAAGTCAATGAACCACATGTCTGGAGAGCTGGCTAAAGTTACTCAACAGCTAACACAGCTGCTGCAACTTGTGGATGAGGTAAAGCAACTCAAAGAAATAATACAGGAAAAGGATACTAAAATCAAAGATCTTGAGAAGAGGATTGATAATTTGGAACAATATTCGCGAATTATCAGTGGCCTGAGTGTGAAACCTCGCTCCTATGCAAAAGCAGCAGTGGAAGGGAGAAATGTAAGTGAAGATGCTGAACCTGCTGATTTATTGTCACTGGAGGGACAAGTGCTGCATTTTTTTGCTGAAAAAGACATACATCTGGATGTGAAGAATATTGCTGCATGCCACACACATAAATCAAATGATAATTCACTATTCTTTTTAAAAGAGGGAAAAACTATTATAAAAAAAAGGATATTGCTGATGAGTTTAATCATTTCTTTGTAAACGTTGGATCCAATCTGGCAAATGAAATCCCAAAACCATCAGATGTTCAGGATATTAGTTCAGAAAATATTAAATGTAACAATAATTCATTCTCTATTAGAAGTGTAGACGAACATGAAATAATCAATATTGTGCACAGATTACAAAATAAAAAATCAACAGATTGTTCTGATCTTGACTTGGTCTTAATAAAGGACATTATAGATTGTATTGTGACACCATTCACATATATTTGTAATCAGTCTTTTCTTACTGGAATATTTCCATTGAAAATGAAAACAGCAAAAGTAATACCTGTTTACAAAAGTGGAGACCAACATGAGTTCACCAATTATAGACCAATATCGCTACTTCCGCAATTTTCTAAAATTCTAGAGAAGCTCTTTGTCATAAGGTTAGAAGATTTTTTAAATAAATATAACTTACTAACGGATTATCAGTTTGGGTTCAGGAGCAATAGATCACCCTCAATGGCAATCATGGAACTAGTGGAAGAAATAGCAAAAGCCACTGATAACAAAGAGTTTGCGGTGGGGGTCTTCATCGACCTTTGAAGGCCTTTGATACTATAAATCATGATTTACTATTATTAAAACTTGAGAGATATGGAATCAGAGGGGTAGCACAAAATTGGTTAAAACATTATCTAAGTGACAGAGATCAATATGTACAAATATATAACACTAATTCTGAAAATATAAAGATTACCCATGGGGTTCCACAGGGCTCTGTACTTGGACCCAAATTGTTTAATATTTATGTAAATGATATTAGTCTTGCGTTCAGAAAAATGAAATATATTTTATTTGCTGATGACACCAGTATTTACTCCTCTGGGAAAAGTGTTGATCAGCTTTTGGACAGAGTGGGAAAAGAACTACAAATCTTTAAAAAATGGTTTGACTATAACGAACTATCTATGAATTTAGCAAAATCTAAGTATATTATATTCGGAAACCGGAAAATCTATGCACTGGCTGAATTAAAAATAGGTCACATAGTAATAGAGAGGGTAAGTAATACAAAGTTTTTAGGTATCAATATAGATGAAAAAATAAACTGGTAATTACACATAAATTACCTTAAAATTAAGATTTCCAAAACCATTGGCATAATGAATAAAATTAAACACGTTGTAAATCAGAAAGCATTGCAGTTCATATATGAGACCCTAATTTTGCCATATTTAAATTACGGTTCCGAAATATGGGGGAACACTTATAAGTCCACAACTCAACACATTTTTATACTGCAGAAGAAGGCAATTAGAATAGTATATGGTGTAGATTATTATGCACAAACAAATTCACTATTCATCAGATTGAATACCTTAAAATTACAAAACTTAGTCAAACTAAATACTGCAGCACTGATGTACAGAACTCATCATATGGTTCCAAATCCAGGGGAGATTTACACCGAGCGAACCGCACTATGACATCAGAGGGAAGGATCTGTACCATAAACCCAAGACCAGTGTAACTGATACTTATACAACTTTAGAATGATGCCCTTTTGGGAAAAACTCGATCTATGTGTATGTAAGTTAATTAATGCATATCTTATATATTTATGTGTTTGTGTATGTGTGTGTATGTGTGTGTGTGTATGTATATATGTATATATATATGAATGTATATGTGTGCATATATGTGTTGTTTTTTTTTTTTTCTTTTTTTTCTCTGGTTCAGTCACTTATCATTCCTGATTCTACCAAAATCACCAGAACTCCATTCTGAGGTCAGTTTGAGAAATTATCTCAACAAAAATCTGGTTTGGCAGTTCCTCTTGTGTCATTGCTCCAGCTGCTCTGACAAATTGAGAATGAGGGTAGACATGGTGTGGGTCTGTGGGTAGAGGACCCCTCCCTCCAATAGGTCCATAAAACCTTGTCTTTTTAATGCACTCCACAGAACAGGTTCTAGAGTCTAGACACAGAGGGGGCTGCAGCTCTGAATGCACCACATGTTGCAAAAACAATGAAGATTACATTTATTATTGAGATGAACTGGATGGAACATAAATTGAAAAGCATTGCTGATATTTTTGTTTGTTTGCATCAACAAGATAAAAATGATGATGGCAAAAATCAGGAATGTCATGTGAAAATTTAAATATTTTGCAGCCGCTTAAATTAATTAATTGATAATGGGGAAGGCACATATAAGCTTTTTGCTTCGGCCTTCTCCTTTTGAGCCTTTTTTTTTGTCTTTCTTGAATTATTTGTGCATGTTATTGTGTATTGTCAAACTGCTCAAATAAAAATACTACTACATCAGTATGGATGGAGCTGAAGTGGGCTGGATGACACTGATCTGTGGGATGCTTTGTATTACCAGCGCACCTCATATCTATAGTTACCAGATGATGTTTCTGTGAGGGTTTGAGCCGAGAGAAGACTTTTGGACCAGGCTGCAAAAAAGGTGCCATAAGAATGCACGGATAATTCTGTTTCCGGGTGCGTCACCACTGGCACGGAGCCAGATCAGAACATGTCAGCCATGGAGCCGGGACCCGCCCCCACTGGTCTGAGAGAATCTTCTGTATCTGCACTTTCTACCACAGCATTTACTGTCAGTCACGTGTCCAGTAAATCAGAAAACATGAACTTGTTTATTGCTCTTTGAATTTTTGTCACAAACTGATGTAAAACTCCGTTCATATTTATGAGGAAAGGATATAACACCTGTTCATTAGCCCAATACTCTTGTATTTTTTTTTTTATTGTGTATTGGCAAAAACACCACCACTTCTGCTGAAATATCAGTGTTCTCCTTGGACACAATAAATGTGGGAGTTTTAAATGAATAAATGTCTGGAGGATTGACAACTTGTGGGTGACTTTTATTTATGTGTTTTTTTATATTCACTGTTGTGCTTCAGAAATGTAGAAGGGCAGAGGTTTTGGGAACAGAGACCGCTGGACCAGGCTGAATATTGGACTTTCAAGAGTTGCCAGGTAGGTCTAGACTCGTTTTTACTATTCTTAGGTGGTTTTGGGTGTCAGTCTAATGCTCTGGACGTTATTGAAGAATAAACACATACAATTCCTTGAATATTCCCAGTCTCTCTCTGGTCCCGCTCTCTGGTCTCTCTCCTTATCTGGTCTATCTCTCTGTGGTCTCCCCTTTATATTTGGTCTCTCTCTCTCTTTGGTCTCCCTATGGTCTCTCCTCTCTGTGGTCTCTCCTCTCTGGTGTCTCCCTCTGGTCTCACTGTGGTCCCTCCTCTCTGGTCTCTCCCCTTCGGTCTCTCCTCTCTGGTCTCTCCCCTTTGGTCTCTCTTCTCTGGTATCTCTTCTCTGGTCTCTCCCCTTTGGTCTCTCTTCTCTGGTCTCTCCCCCTTGTTCTCTCTTCTCTCCCTCTGGTCTCTCTTCTCTGGTCTCCCTCTGGTCTCTCCTCTCTGGTCTCTCTTCTGGTCTCTCCTCTCTGGTCTCTCTTCTGGTCTCTCTTCTCTGGTCTCCCTCTGGTCTCTCCTCTCTGGTCTCTCTTCTGGTCTCTCCTCTCTGGTCTCTCTTCTGGTCTCTCCTCTCTGGTCTCTCTTCTGGTCTCTCCTCTCTGGTCTCTCTTCTGGTCTCTCCTCTCTGGTCTCTCTTCTGGTCTCTCCTCTCTGGTCTCCCTCTGGTTCCACATGAGTCACACAAACAGTCGCAGACCAATCAGCGTAAAAGCATTGTTTTTATTTCCACCAGTTTGAGAATAACAGGTCATAGACTGTTCTCAACAACGGAACGTCTCACCATTACAGATATGAAGTTTGTCCCAGTGAGGCATCAGTAGGACCAGGACCATTAGGCGACCACGCAATCTTAAAGCCAGGGTACGTAACTTTCAAACCACAGCATTAGAACTCTAAGAAGATCCACGTTTGTACTTCCTGGCTCTAAAACAATTTCCCTCTTCCCTTGTTGACATGTGTTTCTTGGAGCTGATTGGCCGAGAGAGGGTGGTCACTCAGAGGACCACCCTCTCTCGGCCAATCAGCTCCAAGAGTTACAGAGAACACGTTTTCTAATGAGATGTTGTGTCTGATTGGACACGACTTCCTGTCGGACAAAGCAGGTGTTATTCATTAAATGTAAAAGTCAGGGACCCCAGATTCAAAGGTTATAGAAGGATGTTCTACTTCCGGGTGGATCATCAAAGCTATTGGTCAATCATTCTGGAGATAGATGCTCGTCAAATAAGACCAGAGTGCGGGGGGGCGTTTCCTAAAATGAGAAAATCCTCCTTTAAAACGCAGAAGTGTGAGGTTTTTATTATATCTCCAGTTTTCAGATTTTAATAATAATGAAATATCCCATGTTCCACTGACTCCACAAGAAGGTGTGTGTGTGTGTGTGTTTAACCCAATCAAAAAAATATCCTACATTGTGATAATTTTTTCATGACTTGACCAACCTTGGGTCGTTTAGACAGTTTTGACACTAATTTAGGGTATATTTTGTCTCCTGTAAATCATAATCATGTAGAACCCGGGGGTAGCACAAGGGTTAAGAGAATTTGACTTTTTGGTGCTGAGAGCTGATTGGTCGAATGAGGGCGGTCCTCTGTGTCACTTTTCTGTCTGAAAAAGCAGATTTAAAAGATGTGACAAAGGCCAGAAAGACATTAAATCTAGAGAAAGAAGCCACTGTTTCAGACCCAGGAACAAGTGGATGTTTAATGTGGCTTTAAAGTTACGTACCCCAGCTTTAATATTCTTCCACACAAGTCTTTGCTGTTCGTACCTCAAGTGTTTCGGTTTGACGAGACCGGCCTCTTTTCTCTTAAATAAAGTCTTTTTTCCCCCTACAGCTCAGGCCAGCCGTTTAAAACTCACTCTACATTCAGAAATTAACATAAAACCATATTTCCGTACAAAACATCACAGCAGGACAGACGGAGGAGCTCCCACGCCTTCGGGAAACTCAGGAGTTCAGGCCGAGCGTTCAAAATATCAGATTTTTAGGAGACACTTTGAAAGAAATGCAAACGCCAGACCAAGAACAACATGTGGGGGCCGTTTCTGTGTCAGTAGTAACTGTTTTGACTGTTGTCGGACAAGAACGGCGCTGGAAAGACTTTTAAAAAACACATGATCCATAAGGCGTTCATTTCGGAGTAAGAGACGACGAGAATTACGTGAAAAATTCCCCCCCAAAAAAAAAAAACGTTTTCCTTAAAGGCCTGCAATAAAATCTACCGTAAATTATGTAATATTTAACCAAAATACTAATGCGACTGTAGTGCGGTGACGAGGGCAGGGCCTGGGTAGTACCGCGATGGGAGACCTCTGGGAAAACCAGCTGTCAGAGTGCCCCAGGGCAGCTGCGGCTACAGTAGTCTGTCATCACTGTGTTTGGAGTGAAGTATTAATGCTGTGGAGACTTTGTCCAGAAAAGCACTGTATAAACCCAAACTAATAATGATCTATGTTTTCACTGTGACTTTCCTTTTTATTTATTTGCAGTTTTTTTCTTTGATTTGATTTGGCTAAATTCTTGTGATATGGTCATAATTTGTTTCTCTTTTATTATTGGAAAATTGATAAACAAAAAATAAATACTGATGGGTGAAAACAGCATCTTTCCCACAGACTTGTGTTGGCAGAGGCTGAAACACGGAAACACAATCTACACAATCAAACATGAACGCAACCATCAGCATCCAGACTCTGCCTCTCCTTCTGCGGCTGGGTTTAAAAAAGGCGTGGGAACCGTGCGCACGTGACCGGCCCGTAGCTCTGCGTCCCAGTAACGTCTGTGTGCTTCAGCCCACGGCAGCTCTCCCGGAGGCTCCTCTCTCCAGCTGCTCCTCTCTTCACCTCCTCCTCCTCCACAGTAACCCCTCCCTCCCCCCTCCTCCTCCTCTCCCCAGCCTCACACCACGTACTGGGGGTTTGTCGTGTAGGTCTGCCTGCTGTACTGGAAGTGGTCGGGGAGTCCGCTCCACTGGCTCTGCTGCAGCGGGGGAGGCGTGGGGGGGAGGAGGGGCGCGGTCGAGCCGTTGCTCTGACCGTGGGACAGAGCCGGGCTGTCGTAGAAGACCAGGTCCGACTTAGAGCTCGGCAGCAGCTTCTTCTCTCGGCTGGCGTCGTATTTGGCCTGAAAGAGACAGAAGTGTCAACAAGTGAAGATGGAAAAGAAAATATCTCAGTAAACAATAAATATCTTCATGAATAACGCCCCAAAAAAGTGTTTGTCACATTTTAAAAACTCCCTGTATCCAAGATCATTTAGCTATACAATAAATGAAGAAATAATATATATTGCCGTCTTCTCATTCAAAAATAAAACTCAACTCAAGGCAGTGGGAACGTTAAGCGCGACATTTAAGAAAAACAAAAATCCGTTGTGTGCAGTCGCAGGAGGGAGCTCTTGTTTCGCAAAGTTAGGACAACCCCATAAACTTGTGTAAAAAGTAAGTAAGTAATCTTTATCTATATAGCGCATTTTTACAGACCCAGGTCACCCAAAGCACTTTACAGGCCACGTTGGACAATGACAGCTGGTGTTTCGTCCACCGCTGCAGCCCCGGTCTGTGATGCTGCACCACCGCGGCTTCTCTCTTATTGTAAACCGTGAGTAAACTTTCGATACAAGCAAAAAACAGATCCACAATAAACAGTTTGGCTCCAAATGACTTCCACTGAAAAGAAAACTCCTCCAGCTCAGTAACCGTTTGAGTCACATTCTCCATTTTGGGCCAAAGGGGGCGCTCTCTGTGATCCTGGTGTTTATTGTAATGATGTCTTTGTGAATCCAGATCTGATCCATGTAAGACCTTAGCAACCGTGTTAGCAACATGTCTGTCCCTGTTACGCCGCAAAGCTAATGCCGCAGAATAAATGCCCATAAGGAAATTGGCAACAGCTAGCTTATGTTCAAACAGGCTTATGGCTAACACTGTGGTGACGTCACACTGTGGTGACGTCACACTGTGGTGATGTCACACTGTGGTGATGTCACACTGTGGTGATGTCACACTGTGGTGATGTCACACTGTGTTGATGTCACACTGACCTTGTTGTAGAGGAAGACCCCCAAGATGGCGGTCATCATGCCCAGCACGTTGGTGAGGCTCACGGGGTTCCTCAGCATCAGGAGCGAGATGCTGATGACCATGATCCTCTTTGTCGCATTTGCCACGGCGTAACTCAGAGGACTGACCAGGTTCAACACGCTGAAGGCGATCACGTTCTGAGCAAAGTTACAGAAGCCACTGACGAGGAGGAGGAGCAGGGTGCTGGTCCAGCCAGACATGTCCGACTGTGGAGAGAGAGAACATGGGTGAGGGTGAGGAAGAGGAGAGAGGCAGAGTGAGGAGGAGGAGGAGGAGGAGAGAGGCAGAGGAGAGAGGCAGAGTGAGGAGGAGAGAGGCAGAGGAGAGAGGCAGAGTGAGGAGGAGGAAGAGGAGAGAGAAGAGAGGCAGAGTGAGGAGGAGGAGGAGGAGGAGAGAGGCAGGGTGAGGAGGAGGAGAGAGGCAGGGTGAGGAGGAGGAGAGAGGCAGAGTGAGGAGGAGGAGGAGAGAGGCAGAGTGAGGAGGAGGAGGAGGAGGAGGAGGACCTTTGTAACGAGGCTGAAACACGAGCCACAGATTTGGGTCAAACTCATTTTGGTCGAGGAACAAATGTTTAAAGTTTGGATTGACTCAAAGATGAAGCGACAAAACCAACTTTTTCTACATTTTGTATCTATATATTTGTAAATATTTTTTTGATTCACCTTTTAGAATAGATTAAAGGACACGGTTTGAGAAATCTAGCTTTAAATGAGGTGGAACATGCCAGGGTTCTTCTGAACATCAATGATGTGAGATTATCAAAATCATTTAAAATCATTTACACAGAAAAGGATTTTACCGCATTCGGCCCCTGGGGCCCGTGTTTGACACATTTACTGAGAATCTCAGCAGTGTGATGTTCAGACCGGTCTGACTGGTCTGGTCCAGGTCTGGTCTAGGATTTTCAAAAGGTTCGCACTCAAACTTTGGAATGTATTTGTAATGTGATGCAAGTGTTGTGTTTCGGTAAGTTAAATGTGGCCTCAGCCTCAGTCCTGGGTCTACAGCCTCAGTCCTGGGTCTACAGCCTCAGTCCTGGGTCCACTGCCTCAGTCCTGGGTCTACAGCCTGAGTGCTGGGTCTACAGCCTCAGTCCTGGGTCTACAGCCTCAGTCCTGGGTCTACAGCCTCAGTCCTGGGTCTACAGCCTCAGTCCTGGGTCTACAGCCTCAGTCCTGGGTCTACAGCCTCAGTCCTGGGTCCACAGCCTCAGTCCAGGGTCCACAGCCTCAGTCCTGGGTCCACTGCCTCAGTCCTGGGTCTACAGCCTGAGTGCTGGGTCTACAGCCTCAGTCCTGGGTCTACAGCCTCAGTCCTGGGTCTACAGCCTCAGTCCTGGGTCTACAGCCTCAGTCCTGGGTCTACAGCCTCAGTCCTGGGTCCACAGCCTCAGTCCTGGGTCTACAGCCTCAGTCCAGGGTCCACAGCCTCAGTCCTGGGTCTACTGCCTCAGTCCTGGGTCTACTGCCTCAGTCCTGGGTCTACTGCCTCAGTCCTGGGTCTACAGCCTCAGTCCTGGGTCTACAGCCTCAGTCCTGGGTCCACAGCCTCAGTCCTGGGTCCACAGCCTCAGTCCAGGGTCCACAGCCTCAGTCCAGGGTCCACAGCCTCAGTCCTGGGTCCACAGCCTCAGTCCTGGGTCCACAGCCTCAGTCCTGGGTCTACAGCCTCAGTCCTGGGTCCACAGCCTCAGTCCTGGGTCCACAGCCTCAGTCCAGGGTCCACAGCCTCAGTCCAGGGTCCACAGCCTCAGTCCTGGGTCCACAGCCTCAGTCCTGGGTCCACAGCCTCAGTCCTGGGTCTACAGCCTCAGTCCTGGGTCTACAGCCTCAGTCCTGGGTCTACAGCCTCAGTCCTGGGTCCACAGCCTCAGTCCTGGGTCCACAGCCTCAGTCCTGGGTCCACAGCCTCAGTCAGTCCTGGGTCCACAGCCTCAGTCAGTCCTGGGTCCACAGCCTCAGTCAGTCCTGGGTCCACAGCCTCAGTCCTGGGTCTACAGCCTCAGTCCTAGGTCTACAGCCTCAGTCCTGGGTCTACAGCCTCAGTCCTGGGTCCACAGCCTCAGTCCTGGGTCTACAGCCTCACACGAGGAAACTGCTTTGGCTCTCGCTGCAAACAAGTTAAAAAGTAAAACAGGCTTAAAAATAAAACTGTGTTTGAACTCTGATTCTCTGATCTGCAGTTTAGTGAATCGACAACACTGTAAACTCCTCTGAGGCGACTGCTGCAGTGATTCTGGACTTTACTCTAATAAAAAGTGTGTGTGAGACGGACCAGGTCGGCGTTGATGAGGAAGGAGGACAGGTCGACCAGGATCCAGGTGGGCAGCATGAACATGACGGCGTTGAAGCCCAGGACGTTGAGCAGGCGCAGGTGGTGGATGTGGGTGTCGCGCAGCACCTGCACACGCCACACTCAGTTACTGTCCTCACGGTGCAAGGTTATTGGTTTAGCACAGTTCAGACACAAAGCAACACAAACCGCTGAACAAAAGATAATCACAGTTCATTAAAGAGATGAAGATGAAGTCCCTCAAACAACACGCAGCCAAACTGTTTTTAACCTGGATTACAACCGTGTCAGAGAAGAAGCCTGTCTCACACTTTCGAGAAGACTGTGTTAGGTTTTTGCTGCATGAATCTGAAACACTGCCTCCCCATGTTTAGTTCTGTGTGTCTGTGTGTGTCTGTGTGTGTGTGTGTCTGTGTTTGTCTGTGTGTGTCTGTGTGTGTGCTGTTTGTATTCTGATGTAGTTTTTTCTGCAAATGGCAATAAGTTGATTCAGATTCTGACTCTGGGACCAGCAGGAGTCCGGTCCCTGTGCTCCTCAGAGTCCTGCTTGGTCTCTGAGGAACACAGGGACTCCTTTGGTGCGAGGCCATGGAGAGACCCGAGAACTGGACTAATGTGATGCTACTTCCTGGTTAGAGCTAGCTTTTCTTCTTTGATTTCGGTGCAAACTTCCTGCAGATGGAGCAGAAAACTCAACATGTGACCGATACTTTTCACATTCCCAAAAAGTACATTTAAAACATTGACAGTGACGCAAAATAGTAAAAGAAATGACAAAAGCTTTCTCCTCAGACCAAGAAAAGAGTTTGTTCATAAAGACAGACCATATTCTAACACAACGCTCTCAACAGACACTAAACTAAAGTCTAGTGTCAAGTTTATTTGTGTTGCGCAGATGATGAGAGCGAGCACCGACCTTTTTGGAGAAGATGTTCTGCAGCGAGAAGCAGAGCGTGGCGGCCAGAGCGCTGACGAGGCCGGAGACGTCGAAGGAGAGCTCTGTGGCGGTGGCCAGGAGGACGCCGCCGATGATGGGGATGAGCGACACGTAGACCTGAGGACCGCAGGGAAAGCACCTTTAATTGTATGGCGCAGGTCGTACACACGGCAACGCAAAGTGCTCGACAAAACAGCACTGGAGTTGAACATTGTCAGAAGAAGAAGCCTGTCTCACATTTTCAGGAAGATAAATCTGAGGAGTGAAGCAGTTCTTTTTCGAAATCAAAGGCCTCTAACCCTCGTTCTGGTGTTTACCGGGGCAACAAACTGGACTCGCTCTCGACCAGCTCAGCTCCGGTGGCAGACCAGAGCTAGCCAAAACACAAAAATTAGCATAACGCGCCGATCCGTTTTTAGATCCATCCACGCTGATATCAGGAACTTCTGGAACGACGATATAGCTCCGCCCCTTCTGTCTAAAACCTCCGTCTCTGTCACATCACACTGAATCAATATTAGTAGATATTTGAGATAACTGAAAGCTCTAAAACTATACCCCACAGGACCTCGAATAACTTAATTGAAGAAAAAAATATTGTTTGACATTGTGTTTACAAAGAGAGAGAAAAAAAACAGCATTAAATTGTGTTCAATCCAAAAGGAGTGAGAGAAGAAAAGATGAATAAGAGTTTAAAGGTGCCCAATTGTTCAAATATATGTCTTTGAGCCCCTTCGTCTAAAGTGGTTGAATTTGGTTTGAGCCAGGAGCTGTAATTACTAGGATTTTGTCTGTTCATTGCTATTCACCCGTTGTCCTATTGTCTGTTTCATTGTCTGCGACCGCGGGACCTCTGAGCCTGGCCTCCTCCATCTACACCTGCGGACTGCCCTGCTCGACCCGCCTGGGAGCGCTTCAGTCCTGCACCGGACCTGTCCACGCTCTGCGGCCGCTGCGTGGCCTTGGTCCTCGTTCTACAGTCTGAGTCCTGGATCTACAGCCTCAGTCCTCGTTCTACAGTCTGAGTCCTGGATCTACAGCCTCAGTCCTCGTTCTACAGTCTGAGTCCTGGATCTACAGCCTCAGTCCTCGTTCTACAGTCTGAGTCCTGGATCTACAGCCTCAGTCCTCGTTCTACAGTCTGAGTCCTGGATCTACAGCCCGTCCGTCAGTGTGGAGCGGATCCTTTTCTCAATGTGGGTCTCTCCGAGGTTTCTCACTTTTTTCCCACTGGGTTTTAGAGTTTTTCCTCTGATGCAGGAGACTGTGATGATCCAGGACACTTTAACATTCTAAAACATTCATGGACACTGGTCCCTCCATATGGTCCAATACCATGTGTTCTATATTCTTGGTGTTTTAACTGTTGAGTCTCTGATCTGTGTTGGTGATTTCAATGGTTTTGTTAAGTCTCAGATGATGCTGTTGTGATTTAGGGCGATACAAGAATAAATTGTATGGAAGTGAACTTTGTGGAGATCCAAAACCAGAACTTTTAACAAAACGTTACATGTTTCAATCAATGACTGAAGGCGGTGAAACTCCTCCTCTTTGGTAAACAGGATCCACACACATCATCGCCACGGCAAACATCCCAGCATGCACCTGTCCTGTCCTGGCCGAGGTAACACAATCCTCCCGTACTCCAACAATGTTTGTTTAACAGGTGCCTCTCTCTGGTCTCTCCCTCTCTCTCTCTGGTCTCCTGGTCTCTCCATCTCTCCCTCTCTCTCTCTGGTCTCTCCCTCGCTCTCTGGTCTCTCCCTCTCTCTCTCTGGTCTCCTGGTCTCTCCCTCTCTCTCTCTCTGGTCTCTCCCTCTCTCTCTCTGGTCTCTCCCTCTCTGGTCTCTCCCTTGCTCTCTCTCTGTTCTCTCCCTCTCTGGTCTCTCCCTCTCTCTCTGGTCTCTCCCTCTGGTCTCTCCCTCTGGTCTCTCCCTCTGGTCTCTCCCTCTGGTCTCTCCCTCTGGTCTCTCCCTCTGGTCTCTCCCTCTGGTCTCTCCCTCTGGTCTCTCCCTCTGGTCTCTCCCTCTGGTCTCTCCCTCTGGTCTCTCCCTCTCTCGGCTACAAATGAAATATTATTCTCTGTGTTCTAACAGATTTCTCCAACAGTAAACAATGGCAACAGTAATAATAGCAGCAGGTATAGTGACTAGTGGATGATCAGCTTGTTCTGTGGTCTGAGCGGAGCCTGCAGGGCCTTTGTGGTCTCACCTTGGTGGTCTGCTTCTCTCTCATGATGATCCGCGACAGCAGCACCACCCAGATTGGCATCGTGGCCTTCACTGTGGAAACAACAGACCGGAGGGTTAAGGGGGACGTGTGAGGCTCTCTGACGGCCTTCATACACTGCAGACCGGTGTCCACCCTGGGAGAACACCGGGAAAGGTTGGCGTGTTGTTTTAGCTGGTGTCAATTCGGGCGTTCTGCTCTCCCAAAATTCCATCCGATGGGCGGGGGAGCGACTGAATTTTGCGTTGCATTATGGGTAACACTTGCCTTCGCAACTTCCGGTTCTCTCTGCCCGGCGCATTTTCTCTAAATGGTTGAGTGTTTTCGTCATTTTCTGTATGCAAATACATTCCCGTCTCTAACTAGTGGCATATCGCGCAAATCATCCGTCCAATTCACATTCTTCCCTCTTAGCTGAACTTCATTCTCATTGTTACCATCTGTCACTCGCACACACAGCCGTTTTCGTTCACTCTGCTCGCTGTCATCTTCTTCTAAATCTTCATAAACACCATCCGCTCGTTGAACTAGCAACAACAATTCCTCCTTTCGTTTTCCCACACTGCAAATACCCTTTCGCTTCAACCTTTCACGCAATTCAGGCACTGTCAATCGCTTGTTGTTTTCGTGAGCCATATTCGCCATTGTATGAAATCAACCGGAAGTGAACTGGGCAACAAACTGTGTCATTTTTTGATCACAGCGCCGCTCAGTGGATGGAATTTTGGGAGAGCAGAACGCCCGAATTGTCCACCATGGGGAGGAGAGGAGTGTGTCAAAGTAAGAGGGTCTAAACAACTTTCCCATCAGCGAGCCCAGAGTCACCAGAGAGAGACCAGAGAGAGAGACCAGAGAGACCAGAGAGAGAGACCAAAGAGAGAGACCAAAGAGAGGGACCAGAGAGAGACCAGAGAGAGACCAGAGAGAGAGACCAGAGAGAGACCAGAGAGAGACTAGAGACAGACCAGAGAGAGACCAGAGAGAGACCAGAGAGAGACTAGAGAGAGGCTAGAGAGAGACTAGAGACAGAGACCAGAGAGAGACCAGAGAGAGACCAGAGAGAGACCAGAGAGAGACCAGAGAGAGACCAGAGAGAGACCAGAGAGAGACCAGAGAGAGATTATGGAGAGAGACCAGAGACACAGCCACCAACAACAAACCAGACCCTGGGAGAATACCGGGAAAGGTTGCCGTGTTGTTTTGGCTGGTGTCTTTTTCACCATGGGGAAGAGCGGAGTGGGTCAAAGTAAAAGGGTCAAAACAACTTTCCCATCAGAGAGAGACCACAGAGAGACTAGGGCGAGACCATAGAGACGAGAGAGAGACACCAGAGAGAGAGACACGCACACAATGACAAACGAGAGAAATTAAACCGCTCGAACACTGGAAATACAGTAATCACAAACACAGTGATCCACATTAGACCACTGTCCAGAAATGTACATTAAAGTCCCTAAAACTCGTGCCTCATCACGGTCCACATGGTCCAGCTCTACCCGATGCTCCTCGTAATCAGAACAGCGTTTGTCAGATTACTCGTCTAATCCAATTACAGACCTCTGCAACCGTGATTACTGAAGAGCCCCATGATCAAAATGTTTTATTCACAACGACCACTTTCAGATCTTTCACCCCAGATTCCTGCTTTCTGCCAAATCACATGTATTTTAAAAGACAAAGCACGTTGGATGTTGTCATGATATATACATATACATTACACAGTATATATAACTGCACATGCCTGGGGACTGGCAAAAGGGCATTTGGTTCTTCTATTCCAGACAATAGTAAGCTAGCAATGTTATTAACTAGAAATAAAGGCGGTAATATCATCGCTGACTTCCTATTGTATAGAAGAACCAAATCATTTTAAGGTTAACCTACAATATTAAGATAAGAGATATGTACATGTCACATCTGGCATGGATAGAATCACTCAAGATTCTATCCAAGCAAAAGAAAGAAATGTGCAAACATATTAAATGCAGGATATGTTGTGTACAATACAAAGTGGTAATCAAGAAACAGTGTCAATAGCAGTGCAGGTTTTCAATCCTAATGCAAGTGACTTATTGTACAATCTGACACCTACTGCTATTATCACCATTGTTTATTCTACTCATATTCTCTGCTGCTAAAGTACAATATACACATGTGTAAACTACCTCTGAACCAAGTGCAATTGTAGCTCCAGAGATTCATTTTATTCTACTCTATTTTGACATCTCATTAGTTGTTATTTTAATTTCATTATCTATAATATTAAATAAAAGACCCTGTTTGATGTGCTCTATTTGCATCTTCTTCCTCTGCTGTAATGTGCACAACGATGACACTGAAATTCCCTACTGTGGGACGAATAAAGGCATATCTTATCTGTAGAACAACCAAATGTTGTGTTAGACCAGCTACACTTCCAAGGAATATTCACCCACGATTCAGATTCAGGGGCCTGTCATAAAACACACAGCTGCAGGAAGAACACATGAGGAGGAGTGAGGAGGTCAGACTGCTCCTCTTCATCCATGTTTTATTTGAACACTATAAGAGCCATCAAACCATAAAGACACATCTGCAGCTCATTCAACCAGGAAGCAGCATGAGAGACTGGGACACACTTTACAAACCAGAAAAGTCTCAAAAGCACCCATTTTAACCGTGCTTTGGTGACAATAGCAGTGTTGTCTAAAATTCACATGTGTCCGTTGTTTTGGTGGACCGCGCGAGACACCCCACGCGCGGACCCTCCCCCTGACGTTACGTGAAGCTAATTAAGTTGGCTAATTCTTATTCATTCTTTTAATTGCTGCGTAGAATGGCCTTAAACATATAGCACTGCGTCACGAGAGGAAATGACCGCAGTAAAGTGATATTTGTACTGCCTACGTGGCGGTAACAGGAGAACCGGGCCCATTGGCTGTGTTAGCTGCATGCTAATTATGCTACTCCCACACAGCTATGCTACAAAACTGGCTGCGTCCGATTTCACACAACACACCACCTCCTTCATCCTTCCTTTAGCGTTAAATCACCAAACCCGTGGCGTTTGGTGATTATTATTAAAGCTTATATGCCGTTTTAAATCATATATATCATCAATAAAGTACACATCTATCTATCTATAACATGTGTAGTTTGTCAAAGTCTTGTCAAAGTAACATTTAGTAATTAAATCACCTACATTACAAAGTAGAGTTTTTTCCCAATAATCAAGAACTATTTTAATACACAACACATGCATTTGTCGTATATTAGGAGTGGACTGAGTGTGACGTCACAACAGTGTTTGCAGAATGTGGAAGAAGCCAATTTGAATATAGATGTAGCCAATTTCCTTGTATGGGCATTTCTTCCACATCGTTAGATTTGCACCATAACCATAGACTGTATATAGATAATAATGCTAACTTCACTAGCTCAATGAATCTCATTAGGGAAGTGCTCATTGGTGAAGTTTGGCTCCAACTCACTCTGGTTCCCATTGATTGACATTGAATAGTTAACTAGCACTAAACTACTTTATCTGTAGTTTAGCAATCTCTGTGACCCTGGGGTTTATTTTTTTTACATTATCTTTATAAATCTAGATATGATTCATATAAGGATTGACCAACCATAAAATCTCTAGCTTTCCTTAGCGACACTCTTAGCGACACTCTTAGCGACACTCTTAGCGACACTCTTAGCGACACTCTTAGCGACACTCTTAGCGACACTCTTAGCGACACTCTTAGCGACACTCTTAGCGACACTCTTAGCGACACTCTTAGCGACCGTTGTGTTAAGGGACAAAGCTAATGCAGCGGAAGAGATGCATAATGAAGATTTTTTTATCTTCATGACTTTACATCCTTGTTTTAATTTTATAGCTTGTACAAGTCTGAAATATCCATAAAAGGAAATTGGCTCCAGCTAACTTATGTTCAAATGGGCTTCTTCCAAATTAAGCACACCATCAGTCTACTCCTAATGTACAGGGGCACACATGTTGCTAAGACGGTTGCTAAGGTAAGCTGAGGTTTCCCTGTGAATGAAGAATTGGTCAATCCTTATATGGCTCATATCTGGGTTTACAAAGACAACATCAAAATAAGGCCAAAATAGTGAGGGTGACACAAACGGTTACTGAGCTCAAGGAGTTTACTTTAACTAGTCAGAGCGAGTTCGAGCCACACTTCACCCTTGAGCACTTCACTATTGGGCTTGATTGAGATAGATCGTTTACACAGTCTATGGTGTTTATACAGCTCATACAGAGCAGTAACTTCATTAACAAGAATCAGGAATTGTGTATGGGATAAAACTAAAAGTCAATTGAGATGTTAGTGGCTTTAACCAGATCAAGTTAATTTAAAACATACCCTTAATTTAAAATGTGTTTTTATATTACAGCGCTAGTGTAGTTGCCATAAAAATATAAATGTATAAATCTGTGTTCATCCACTCTCTATGAAGGACAAGGTATGATAAGGACAGGAGGTGTGTGTGCGAGTGTGAATTCGGATGCGCCCATTATAATACCCATACATATCTCCGAGCTAACATGCTAACATGCTAACAGCTGATAAACACAGTCCACGCGTGTCCAGCTCACCCGTGTGCGCGTAGGACACCGGCACCTTCCATATGCTGAAGTGGGCCGACACGGACGCGAAGTACTTCCCGAAGGCGAGCGGCAGCAGGTAGCAGCGGTAGTAGCGGCTGGGGACGGGTGCGTGATGAGGGACCCGCCAGGCTCGGAGCAGCGGCGGCAGAAACACCACGATGGAGAGGATGTGGAAGAGAGACACGGTGACCGGGTACGGGAAGCTGTTCAGGATGATCTTGTTGATGACGTTGCCCCCGGAGCTCACGGTGTACCAGCCGAAGCAGAGGCACACGATGCGGACTCCCTCTGTGGCCGGGGCTCGCTGCTCCACCACGGCCATGTTTCAGAGCCGAGTGGCCGCAGAGAGAGGTGCGGGGACCCGGCAGAGGCGAGGGGGAGGGACCGCTGTGACAGGTGGATCCGGTCAGACCGCCAAAATAGGATAGGTTTTTACAGTTTATATTTGATGTGTAAATATTCAACACGACTCTAAAGCTGGGGTTCATAACTTTCAAATCACAACCATGTAATACAGTCCATGTCACTAGTTCATGGATCTTAAACCGACACTAGTTTTCACATGCATGTATTTTTGGCCTCTGTCACATTCAGACAGAAAACTAGGTCTAACCAGGACCGAACCTGGATTGGAATCTGGTGGACCGAATTTTCGTTCTTATTGCTCATGATCATATTTAAATATTACGCATGCCCAAACTAAGGCCCGAGAGCCAATTGTGGCCCGCTGTGTAATTCTATGTGGCCCCATGCCTTGCTAACCCAAAATACCATTGAGATTATAAACACAAGTTTATAGTGTTCTACTAACCTCAGCTCTCACAGATGTTTTATATGTATAAATGGTTACGGACGTCATTCAGAATCTCAAAATAGACCAATTCTAGTAAAAATAGGTTTACAATCCTTGTTTTCGGCCCTTGGAGAAGTCTGGCAAACTAAAGTGGCCCTTTTGGCTAAATGTTTGGACACTCCTGATATATATGATGTTACGCACAAGTTAGAAATCAAAACAAAACAATAAAGCCACTCCTCGCCACACCTGGATGAACTGGTCCTTCAGCGTTCCCCTGTGATTCCTGTCCAGATACCACATATGCTCCTTTGTTATTAAATCGAACTACAAATTGTACATTATTCCACTAACTTCAATCCATGTAATTAGTTCCTGGCTCTAAAACAGTTTGCTTCAGTCACTTGTGTTCAGATATTGTCGGCCTCCGTGATATCGGCCAATCAGCTCTCTACCCAAAGTGACTCTCAGGGCTCTTTCTTACACAGAAGATTTGTCGGCCGCCGGTTCTGTTCTCATTTGCTCAAGCAATTTACGGAGCCTCTTTTTGATGGATAACCAATATGTATAATTTATGAAAAAAGTGACATACCACAATAAATAACACACGTTTGTCTAACAGAGTATTGTGAAAGTACAAGGAGAACAAATCCGAGCTGGTGTCTCATTAGAAAACCCATTATCTTTTGTGTAAGAGCCCTGTGGGATTTGACTTTGTCTGATTTCTTTTGGGGGTAGAAAACGTTATTTTTATACTTACATTAGCATGCAGTCTTGGTCTAATATCTGGGGGCTAACATTATGGTGATGTCACACTCTCTCAGTCCACTCCATAGATGGTCTATGGTTATACACATAACCACACCATTTCATATTATCATGAACATTGAACCCTAATTGCATTAAGTAATAATTCAAAGTAAATATTATTCAACTGTTTGGGCCGCTGAGCCTTCTGTTGGGGTTAGCACTCAATCTACTGTGGAAGACCAAGCTAGAACCAGAACCAGTCCGGAACCGGTCCAGAAATGGAGTCCTAGACCACTGGTTTAAACATGACAGGCCCCACAGACAACACACACTGGAGAAGGACTTACAGAACATGTAGAAACTTTAATAATATTTGTTCATTTCACATATTAAATACTTTTTTAAAAAATCAGCCACTTTTTTTTATCAAAAACATGTGTAGGAAACAAAGCCCTGTTTCCATTAGCCGCACTCTGCCGCACTCTGCCGCACTCTGCCGCACTCTGCCGCACTCTGCCGCACTCTGCCGCACTCTGCCGCACTCTGCCGCACTCTGCCGCACTCTGCCGCACTCTGCCGCACTCTGCCCTGATTGAGCGTTTTTAACCAGTACCAGGTCCTTCTTTGGTCCTGGTTCTATCAAGGCCGAGCTGGTACTAAAATGTTCTTCTGGAAGCCATGGTTACCAAGGAATTTCCCCGAATTCTAGTTTGTTGTGAGTGGGTTGCTAAGATGTAGTACCAAATACTGAAAGAGTAATGGAAACACAACTAGGTAGAGTAGAGTAGAGTAGAGTAGAGTAGAGTAGAGTAGAGTAGAGTAGAGTAGAGTAGAGTAGTTTGGACAGAGTAGGGCTGGTGGAAACGGGGCTATAGAAAAAGTATAAAACCAGTTCAAGTTTGCAGTAGAAGCCTGTGTGAAGAAAAAGCAGCTCTGTTCAAGTTTGGATCCAGCATCTCGTCGTCGTTAAAGCAGAAACATCAATAATATTAAGAAGAATAAATAACACGTTTACAAAAGTTACATAAGAAAACACAAAATAAACATTAAATACTTGATTTGATTCACATTCACAAATACAAACAGGCGACTTAGTAAGGCCGGGTTTTCATTGTCACATCAGAAAGAGGAAGGAAATGCTTCTCAAAATGAAGAAATGTATTTTTTTTCTAAGTTAAAGGGATAAAAGGAATGTTGGAATTAGAAAATATTGAGAAACATCCAAAATACTGCTTCGTGGAAAAGAACGTTATGAAAAAGGCGGTTGGTGGTTGGTTAATTAAGTTTGTATCAGAGACAAATAAGACAAGCTACGATTATGTTAAAATGTCACTAATTCAAAAAACGTTATTGTTGATACGTGGCAATGACAGAAATGTGTCTTCTATTCTGTTTTTATATGAACTCTCTTTAGCTCTCTACAGTGACTCACCATAGACTGTCTGCAGATGGACAATGCTAACCGCTAGCTCAATGAAACCCAATAGGGAAGTGCTCATGGTGAAGTCGCTCTGGCTTCCATTGACTTACTTTGAAAATAAACTCCTTTCGCTCAGTAACCGTTTATGTCACTCTCACCATTTTGGGATAAAAAAATCTGTAGTTTGGCGCTCTTATCTTTAAAAATCCAGATATAAACCATATAAGGATCGACCAATCAAATGCCTTCATTCACGAGGAAAACTCCAGCTTGCCTTAGCAACCAGAGAGGGAAGATAATGAGACCATAGTTGATTTACACAGACAAAGAAAACGTAGACCTAAATTTATGACAGTGGATTGTTACAAAAAAATTAGCGCTAAACTAAGACTAGAATCGGACTTTTGAAACTTACCATAGTTACCGTGGTTACCATAGTCACCACTGGTACCAGGAAGCACGTCTCAGCTGCGCTCCACCACAATGCAAAACTGTCGCTCGACTGTAACTTCTTAAAATGAGCCATCAGAGGCCAAAACTACAGTCTATAAAATGTGTATGCTAATTTAAAGCTAATGTGTTTATTATAATCTGTATTGCTTGTCCTTTCTGCCATCACTACGGATGTTGTCAACAAAGTTATTCAAGTCTAGTTGCTGATGATCTGGGAAAACAACTGAGCTTTTTCAACATTTCTTTAAAAAATTGCTTCTTTCTCGTAGAGTTGTTTTGGCTCCTGCTGAAATACAATTCTAAAACATCAACGCAACTTATTATAAAAGTGGCGTTGGCTCAGATCTCAGTCCAGACAGACGTAAGGCCCCACCTCCAGCCCGCCACCTCCACCGCCTCCCCCCAAATCCACACAGAAGCTCTGAGTCCAGTCCCACCAGCGCCCCCTGCTGTCCACGCATCCGTTCACACCGTCCCAGCGCTCCGAGTGCAACCGCTCGACTTCGGCCGCTTCCACGCGCCGAGCGACCTGCGGGACATCGACGCAACCATCGCTCATATCTGTCTTTGCTGCAGTATTCAACAAGCTAACCGCGCTCTCCTCTTTAGCGCTTTGAGTTTGACCGTTTCCGGCCTCAGACTGTTTGTTTTTCAGCTGGTTACTCTCTACAAATGTACCCTGTGGTTCTTTTGACGCGCGCAAAAACCGTACGTCTGAGTCTCCCTTGTAGCTCGATTTCCGTCTCGTCTTTTCTCTGTCCCGCCTCTTGTTGCCGCGCTGTTGCTGCTGCATGACCGACGCTTTGAGCAGCAGAGACGTGCTGATTGGTTTGTCCGCATCCAATCGCAGAGTCTTCCCGCGTATTTTCAGTTCGCTAACGCCGTAGCTTTTGTGCGCCGCTTTCAAACGACGCGCCTTGGGGAGCTTGTGGGTCTCGTGGACGTGGCGGTCTTTGGTTTTGCGGTTGTTGAAGTCGTTGCGGCTCTTTAGCTCCTGTTTCCCCGTCGACGACGCGCCGTTCTGGGTGTGGGGCAGCGGAGAGGGCGACCATGATGCTTTGCAGTGGTCTGGGGATTGTTCTGAAGAGCCGGGGGGGAGGAGGAGTCTTTGCCAGCCACGCAGGAGTCTCTTAGCACGCTTTGCTAGCTCTGCGTTTGGAGTTTTCCGTCGCACGTCGTTGATGAGCTTTCCCAGACGGGTTTCCTTTGGAGAAATTAGACAATGAAAAACTTAACTATCAGAGCAGAGGTAGTAAAAGTTATTAACAAGAGACAATCACACTTCCTGCCTTTTCTCCTCTGATTACTGATGAAACGGTACCAGGTGATCAAAATATCAACATCCATCCATCCATCCATTTTCTACCCTTTAATCCATTTCTGGGTCAGGGGGGTGGCAGTCAGAGATGCCACCCAAGTCTCATAGCACCAGCCCCTCACTGACCGTCTGCAGGTGGTGAGTCCACAGGAGGACGGCTGCTCTCTGAGTGTGAGCATAGCCTTGATCTTTCAGTGGGGGCTTTGGGCAAAGTGGGGTTAAGTGTCTTGCCCAAGGACACAACGACAGCAGTCATCAGTGGGAGTCGGTGGAGAAGGTGTGGAGGTGGGAATTGAACCCACAACCTTCAGGCCAGAAGGCCAATGCTCTACCAACTGAGCTACTGTCGCCCCTAAAATATCAACAGTGATTTTCAAAAAAGAAAATCACTGTTGTTCATTAACATCAATCATTCACTTTCATCTATTTTGACCTGTGTCCCATAGCAACTAAAACTGGTCCATAAAAGTCCATAAAATCTTCTCTGACAACTCTACCACAATAAACACACACATCTTAAGCTGCATATATAAACTTCAGGATTCATTAAAGGAGCAGTATGTAAAAATCTTGCCAAAAGTGCCACTGCACTCTCCCTGACTCAGGTTGCCAGATATGCAGATGAATCCAGCTGGGACCATAACAACTGAATAGACAAGAGTTTTGTCAACAACAAATCTATAACCAACACCTTTTTACCCTACAGATTAGGGCCCTTTAATGATGACTTGACATGAAAATCTTACATATTGCTACTTTAAACTAGAAAAAGTAGTGTTTCATATCCGGTAATTACCATATTTATCTATTCATTTTTTATGGCAAACTTTGCAAATAAATAAAATAGAAATTGGAGCCATGTCCAAAAACAACATGGCTCTACTCGGCTTTGATTAGGAGCGGATGTCCTAGAAATCTACAAACCCGATTCTGGTTTGTAAGTATCCAGGAGACAAAGCAAAGGAAGGTTGCTAACCCATCATGTGTACTTCAGTTAGCAGGTTTGGGGATTATAACCTGCGACACCCCCTTATCCTGAGGCTAACTCACATCTATTGTCCTTGATAAAGATCTTTGGATGAAGAACGAAACGTCAAAAAACCTGCTAACTGAAGTGAGATGAGTGAGCCACCTCGGCCGAGTCGAGCCGAGTAGTCAAGTTGAGTAGAGCTGGGCCGAGCTGGGTAGAAGACAACGATTTCACTAGTAATGTTTGAATTTTACAACCCTGGAAAAGAGCTCTACTCTTGAGAACCACAAAAAAGAGTCCGCCCCATAGTTTGAGAACCCTTCATAGTGATGTGGTAAAAGTACCTCCAGAGCTTCTTTGGTGATGGGATATTTCTCCAGGAAGGAAATGACATCCAAAACCAGAGCCATGTTGGAAACCTGTGAGAGGAGAGGAGTGAGACCTCTGCAGCTGCACATTCAAATCACGGAGACTCCCTTTACTTTCACAACCGTTTATCGATACTTTCAGGACAGTGTTCATAACGAAAGTCTATGCAAATGAGGATTCTTCAGGGACTGGGAGAGACCAGCGAAAGACCAGCGAAAGACCAGCGAAAGACCAGCGAAAGACCAGCGAAAGACCAGGGAGAGACCAGCGAAAGACCAGCGAAAGACCAGGGAGAGACCAGAGAGAGACCAAAGAGAGACCAAAGAGAGACCAGGGAGAGACCAGAGAGAGACCCCAGAGAGAATTCAGAGATAGACCAGAGTGAGTCCAGAGAGCAAGACCAGAGAGAGAGTCGAGAGAGAGAGAGACCAGAGACACTAAAGCAAGACCAGAAAGAAACTGGAGAGAGATAGACCACAGAAAGACACCAGAAGAGACCAGAAAGAGACCATAGAGACGGGAGAGAGACCAGAGAATTTCCTGCTTAATATTTCACCATTTTTTGCAGTGACATGAGCTGAGGACTGAGGGCCGGAACAGTGTGTTTAGACGGCTAGATTTGGCTCCCTGGCCACAAGTTGAACAAGCTGGCTCTACAGTGTTGAAATCAATCGCAAACTGATTTAGGTATTTCAATATACAGATAGATAGACATACATGTACATACACACCCCCCACACCTGTCTTTGTCTGTTGTATGAAAGTGAAGTGGGAGAAAGGGGCAGATATCATAGCTCTTCTCACGCCTTTTGTCTAGTGGCATTTGAAATTATTATTATACATTTATAGATAGAAATAACACAACATTGTCTTTGTGAGGACTCCTTGCTTGACAATAACGTGTGACATCAGACATACCGCCTGCTGGAATGTGTTTTTGTGTGGTAGACTTGGCCACGTGAGCGTTTACGTCCACGCTCTTTAATGCAAACGCGTCTAAACAAACTCTTGTCAATAAAAAATACTCACGTTGTGGTTCCCGTCTATCGCCAGCATCAGTCGGTCCCTGGCATCCCGCGGACACATACCGGCTGTCATCCCGGGAGTTCACCGCGGGTCACACACACAGACACACACAGACACACACCGGCCACCGTCCCTCCAAAGCGACGCGCGTCCACTGCCCACCACCGGGTCATGTCATGGCTTTAACGGCGCCTGCTTTGACACCGGTCAGACCGAATCCTCCAAGAGCTCCGGAGCACGCATACCCCCTCCTCGCCTCTCTCCGCGCTCTGTCAATGGGGCTTTTGTTCAGCGGCTCCAGCGAAAGGGATCTTGGGAGCGTCGACGCGTTTTCCGTCAGGTCTCTCTTGTAAACATCAGCTGTGCGCGCGCTGGAATGTGTGGCATCCGTAACAAAGGAACGTGGTATTTGGACCTGATGGATTGTAGCCCAAATACATGCGCCTGTCTGACCACGGAGAATGAACAGAGCTGAGAGTAACGGGGGTTTTTCCACATGACGCCACTCCCTCATTTTGATCATTGCAGTGAAGCACAAAGTCCTTCTGCACGTTTGTTATTGTTTATTTTGATTTGGTTTATGGTCTAAACCCCGGTCTCTCTCTTTCTTTCTCCCTGGTCTCTCTGATTGCTTTATCTCTGGTCTATCTCCATCTGTATTTCTTATCTTTTTGTGATCTCTTTATGGTCGTTCTCGCTATTCTCCATCTCTCCCTCTCTGGTCTCTCTTAATGGTCTGTCTTACTAGTCTCTTTCTCTCTCTCTGGGCTTACCTTTCTATCTGGACTCTCTTCTTGGTCTCCTGCCTCTCTAGTTCTGGTGGTCTCTCTCTTTGCTCTTTCTCACTGGTCTCTGTGATGGCTTTCTCTTTGGTCTGTCTTCATCTCTATTTCTGTTTTTTTCCCTGATTTCTATATGATCTCTCTTGCTACACTCTCTTTCTCTGGTCTTTCCCTCAACACTTTCACTCTCTGGTCTCTCTTTATGGCCTCTCTCGCTCACCTGCCTCTCTATAATTCTGGTTGTCTCTCTCTCTGTGTAAGTGCACCTTTTTTTTGTTTTTCAAATTAAAGTCTTGACCTATCGTGGCCTCCTGAGTTTCAAAGCTACAACAAAACAAACACAGCGTTCTATTCATTTTATTAAAAAAGCCACATTGGTCCAGAGGAAACAGGGAAATGGTTTGAATAAATACAGTTGTTTTATTGTGAGAACGGAGAGAGGAGATCAGGAACCGAACAGTCTGTGGAGAAACAGAGAAAGAAGCCTGTTAGAGCAAAACCATTACAGATGGGGTTTTCTAATCTGCTGTTGGCGAATCATTAATAGTGAGACATCTGTTGTGAGCCTGCGCAGAACAAATAAACATGCACACGCTTAAAATATACCGTCCAGTTTTAGAATCACAGAAAAATCCACGTCCACAAGAAGTACGTTTACAAAGCACTGGTAAAAATGGATCTCTCCATGAGTCCAATTTATTTATACAGAACAAGACTGCGTTAAATGTCAACTGAGACCAGGGAGAGAAAGAGTGGCCAGAGGGAGAACAGAGAGAGAACAGAGAGAGGCCAGAGGGAGGCCAGAGAGAGGCCAGAGGGAGAACAGAGAGAGGCCAGAGAGAGGCCAGAGAGAGGCCAGAGAGAGGCCAGAGAGAGGCCAGAGAGAGGCCAGAGGGAGACCAGAGAGAGACCAGAGAGAGACCAGAGAGAGACCAGAGAGAGACCAGAGAGAGACCTGCGTTGACATGTGACGAGATTCCAGATCCTACGAAGACGAGGTCGGCAGATGTGTTTAGGAGCACAGGGAGAAGCAATGCTGATAATAGAAATGTATGCATTTGAACGCATATAGGCCACTCCCTCATTTTGAACATTGTAATCTCTGGTTTCTGGTCTAAACCCTGGTTTCTCTTGCGCGCTGGTCTTGCTCTGGTCTCGCTCTGGCAGCCTATGAAAGCAGCACAAGGCTCTTTTCATGGAGACTACAGGGGCCTGACCGGTTTGGGAGCAACACTGAAGTCCATCTGTATTCTCATGCTTTGTAAACGTACTCAATGTGTTTTCCGGTATGTTCCGAGTAGTTTTGAGTCTCTATAATTCTTTATTATGAGGTTTATTTGACACTGTAGGACTTGTAATGAATTGCCAATAGTTTTGTGATCAGATCCCGATCTTTTAGTCCATTCTTTCTGTCTGTAACTTTGAAAAACAGATTTGTACGTACACAATCATACAGAACATCATGAAGAGGTTCCACAGAGCGATGAAGATCCGGAAGTATCGGAGGCTGAGCAGGAACTCACGGATGTTGTCTCCTGAACGCAGCAGAGGACAGAAACACCGTAAACATAACAGACTTTTTGACAAACACAATAACTTTATTACATCGGAAAGTGTTTTCTCCACACAACAGCAGTTAATCTCCCTTAGACCCATAGGCCGCGGTTAGAGCTAACTCGAACAGGCTTTTTGAGCGGGAAGTGGAGCCAAATTTCTGAAATTTTTGTTGGTAGCAATGGCCAAGTTACCAAGAGCCAATCCGGAGCAGCGCCAGTCAGTTGAATTTACCGACAGGAGGCTCCTGATTGGTCAGTTGTTAGGGCTCAATCTCATATCTGGATTTACAAAGAAAACACCAGGATCAGAAGGTTGAAGCCCTAAATAGTGAGTGTGACAAACGGTTACTGAGCTTAAACTTCATCTATGAGCACTTTTCCATTGGGCTTCCTTGAGCTAGCGCAGACGTCAGTAACCTATGGCTCGGAAGGCAGATGTGGATCTGATGATTGTGTTTGGCTCACAGAAGAAATCTTAGTAGGCATTATAGTAAGAATGTTTTATGTGTTGGATTTCTTCAGAATTAAAATATATTAGACAAAAGAATACATGCTGAAAAATACATATTCACAATTTAAAAAGTATAAATGTAAATACTTTTTAAAGTATGAAAACGGCTCCAAACATCTGAGCTAGCGGGTTAGCATTGTCCATCTCTTTACAGTCTATGGTTATCTCATTTTTACTTGTTTTTTTGCACAAACCTGTCGTCGGGGCACCAGACTCTTCCCCGAATCCAGACTCTTTTCTCTTTCTGGGGAAGAAGAAACACACATGAATAATACAGACTAAGATTTCTAACTATTATAAGTGACAGGACGGAATCACATCACTACAGTCTTCAAATCAAATATCATCTTTAGTTTTGATTAGTTATATTATGAGGACAACCCAATGCACAACTCTCTGGTCTCCTCTCCCTCTCTCTCTGGTTCTCTCAGACAAAAGATTCACATGTGAAACTAACAGATTATTTATAACAATATATCACAAGACCTACTGGTGTTATTTACTAAACAAAAAAACTATGTACCCCAGCTTTAAAGCAGTGAAAGATGAATCTCTTTACACGTCTCTTGACTTGCGCAGATTAGAAAAATAACCAATATATTTCCATTTGCCACAGTTTATAACAACTAACTACAACCGTGATATTAAAAAAACAAATGTCCTCACAGTTTAAAATTCAGCACTGCTCCAGCGTTCACCAGCAGCGTCCTGAAAGCAGAGAAAACATTAAAACAGCTGTTAGCATTAGCTTTAGCCACTGTTAGCCGCGGAAACTAGACTTTTTACATTATTTAGCGCGAATGACACATGCTTACGAGGGCTAAGTCTCCTTGTTTTTACTAAATACGTTATATTCAAGTCATAAACGCGATAAAAGAAGCGAGAAAGCAATTATTTTACCCGAAAAGTAACAAATCCCCGATCATTTTGTCCACATCACAAGCACCACTTCCGCACTGGCAGCATGGAATGGACCAATCAGCGGAGAGAACCTGAAGTATTTTCCCTAAGTTTTGTCTGAAGTTTAACCCCTCGTTAAGGACTGCAGGAGAAGCCAAATCTATTTTGGTGGACGACCGAAAGTCGTTTTAATTTGATTAGCTTCTTTTGCAACAGGAAACACATTTATTTTAAAAAAAAGTATGACGACAAAGTGTTTACTTTTATTTAGCATGAGTTCGGACGCCATTTTCAGGTAGATTTTTGAACAGTTGAAATTAACCAAAAGTACCACAAACTTGACAAGCCAATGATTTTCCCATTTGTAATAAAGTTCTGGATTAGAGTTTTAGAGTAGCTTAAAGAGCAACTAAACACCTGTGCCCAGCCTTACTCCGCCCACATGAAGATTTGAAAATTTTCTCTAAAAAGGGCGTTGCCTGGAGGACCAAGGGACAAGAAGGGGGGCTTAGAGTTGGGCGTGGTCTGGGCTGTGATTGACAGCTCACTTGTCACACAAAAAAAAAACAGACAGTTGTCATTGCTGCTTAAAGCAATAGTTTGTTTACACACTTGTTTACACAAGATAATTGTAAAGCTACACACCTGAACCTAATCACACTCAATAATCTCAGAATGACTCATGTAATTTAATTTTAATCCACTAGATGGCGCCAGAATACTCCAAACTGCAGCTGGGGCGTGTGTGAGTTGAATGGGTTTATATCACTGGCTCTGACAGACTGACGTCACACAAAACAACTGATGTCATAGAGACCTTCTGAGTCAATGGAGAGGCCAGAACCAAATTAAAATGTAGTACCACCAAAAAAGGTAGAGAGGGCGCCACACAGCGTTTTTTGGCTCAAAAGTAAGATTTTATCTAATTTGAACTAAAATGTCAAAAAAATGACCAGGATATGTAGACAGCACTACAATAAACATACTTATGCAGTTTATGAGTTAAAAAGTTGATTTGGTGTTTAGTCGCTCTTTAAATTACATTGTTTACATGTCAGGCTTCCTCACCATCTATACTGAAAGTTCATAATGGAAAATGTTCACAAAAAGTGCCAGTGTAAAATAGTCGTTTGGACTTAGTGCATTTTTGTTTAATGAAACAAGATGCGCCTCTGCCTCCGTGGACCAACTGTTGTCCAAGAGTCAAGTATATTAGTGTTAGTTATAGCGAACTATCTGAATGACGTCACTAAGACACGCCCCCGCCGCCTGTCAACTCCCGCCCACATGTTTCGGACAAACACTGCCAAAATGAATCAAATACCTCTTGTCACTTTAGACGAAAATGATAAACCAGGGGCAAAATTCCACCATCAAACCATCAGGGATCATAGTGTAGACCAATTAAAACGTTGGCTTGAATGTCGTGGTCTTCCAGTAACTGGTAGAAAGTTTGATTTGATAAAAAGGTAATGGTGAGGATTATGCTAACATTATCTAGTCATTTAAATTGCAATGTTAGCGCCTTCTTTGTTTATTTTGCTCTGATTAACTTCCATTTATCAAGTTGTTTTTTGTACTGTCCATTTCGTAATTAGTTTGATCATTTAGTTAACTACAGTCAGCCGATATTATAATAGATCCATGGGGTCACAACGGGCTACACCACTACTGTCTCTGAGAGAGAAACTATCGGAGCTAGCCACACTCAGTAAACGCAAACGACAATCAATCAACATATTTAAATGTTAATGCTAGAATATAATATTCATACAACACACGTGCACAGAGGTTTTCAGAATTATCTGTTAAGGTTTTCATGACAAAAATACTTTTTTAATGCGACTAAAGCGATCGCTTTTTTAAAGTAGGTGAACTAAAACCTTTGGGAACTATTTTCTTTGCACTCATTAAATAAACCTTTTGGCATAAATAGTGACAGAAGTTTATTTTGTGTGTTCAGTTGGTACAAAGCCGTATAATAAGCGGACCCCGACGCGCTTCGTCTGTGCTTATTTTCCGATAGTCACGAAGTTGAAAAAATCCCTCTCATCTTTCTTCAGGTGTGAGAATTGTATACATTCTGGATTAGGACAAACAATACTAATATGGATTGATGGGGCTAACTACATTCAGAAGAGCTCAGACGGACCTGATACAGCGGTCCAGGTCCAGTCCCAGCTAAACGTAGCTAGGACTGGATCTGGATGCTCCACAGTTGGTCCAGCGAAGTGAAAAAACATGTCCTTTTTAACATTTTCATGAGAGAAATTCTGCTGACCACAAGCACCCACCTCTTGCACTTGTCCTGGTCTGGTCCGATGTTGTGGTTTAACGAACAGGTTGAATGTTACTGCTTTCATATAGTCCTTTTCAGAGTATCTGAAATCGCTCCCACAAGCACCATAACTGCAGTGTTTTGTTGTCACCATGATTCAATGATTTAGCCCAAATAAATACACACGCTTATGTGGAGAACACAGTAGTACTCAACGGAGTCGGACAGAGTTTGTCCGAAACATGCGCGCATGCGCAGTCATTGGAACTATTTTTAGCACATTTCGGAAACCGGACAGTGCCCTATTGGTAGCTCGAACTCTTCACAGGAAATAACCTGTACTGTGATCGGGACTAAACTAACTCTCCCATTAGAATATAACGTACGTGCATTTCCGGAATGCAGTTTAAGGGTGATTGTGCTTAAAGTTGAGGGATCCAACTATACAATTACTAATGTCTTGTTTTGCTCCCCTGTCAAAAGACCCTCACAAAGAGTCAAATGACTTACAGGGTTCTGGGGCATGTTTTTTTTAATCACAACATTCTTCATTCAAGTCTTTCTGGACAGACTACCAGTGTTAGAGCTGGGGCACTTAAGTTTGGAGAATGCAGACCTTTCAAAACCAGGACACACATTTACATTTGACAAATGCTTTATTAATTTTTGCTACAAGTGAATACAAAAGAACCGACGACTATAAACAAGATTTACAAAAGTGGAATAAGAGCATGCGGCAGGTCTGAGGGTCAGCGCCGGAGTCTCACGCTGCCGTTTCTGTGGAACTGGCCGACTGTGGGGCAGAGAAATACGTTAGAATACAATAGGGACCATGTGCCGCCTTTAGGGAGAGACTGATGGAAGGAAGATGGTAAGCAGGTCAAAGGAGGGAGACAATATATGGCAAAGTATGTTTAAGAGCAATTGAGGTCCAAAGGCTTTCACAGATAAAACTTCTGAAAGACCTGGAAATGCAATGACCTGTCCATAATAGTATTTCTAATATGTTTTAGTTAAGTCTCTTGGCCGGGACACCAGCAATCTTTGAAGCAACAAGATTTTTTTTTTTTTAATACTTTAAAAACAAGAAAAGTCCATTTATTCACACAACGCCACACCAAAGGCCCTGCAGGCTCTGCCCAGACCTCACTTTGGAGCAAAACTGAGACACTGCAATAGACGCAGCTCTCGTTTCTTTTGGACCAAGAGAATTTCAGCTTGGCACCAACTTTAAGTCCACCAAGAATGACTAACTTCCAAGACACATGCAATTAGTCGAGCAGGACATTTCAGAATCTCAGACTACGATTTTTGGGGCAGGAATGGAGGATGGACTAGTCTACAGCCGTTAGAACCACCTGACTGGGTTCCTGCTGTGTGCCGTGGACTCCATTGCTGGAACTAGACTCATTCTTGTCTCGTTTGGTCTTTTTCTCAGCCGAGTCCTCTACTGCGCCGCTGTCCTCGTCTGGTTTCCTCTGTCAAACAAACCCACACGTCACTCCCACATCTCCACGCAGAGACTGAAGCATGCACACAGCGGCACAGAGGTGGGTACAGGACATTGGGGCTCGATACAAGTCCAGAAAGAATCCATTTTGCCCTGAAGCGCAGGAGAATCAGATCAAGGAGTAAACGAAACAGTTTTCCAAGCACTGAAGAAAACATGACAACTGAAATTCTTCCTAACACTTTTGCAGCAATTCACCAGGGAAACAGGATCCTACAGAGACAAGGCCAGCAGATGCATAAAAGAATAAAGGGGAAAGCCATGTAGCGTATACATAAACACATGCTCACTTTATGCAAATGTTAAAATATGACAGCAGCCACTGTGATAGCACAGTAAATGCAAGAACCAGATATTAGCGATACCAAGCGGCTAAAATCTCCACTCGATTTACTCGTTTTGTAATTTGACGCCGATTCAAGCAAATGCTTTTGTAGTGTGGCAGGAAGGTTTAAATCAGAAGAGTATGTTGACACTCAAGGAACTGCTGAATTCACGATTTTTTTTCCAAATTTACACAAAGTCAATTATTCAAATGATTTTAGCTACAGTATGAGCGATACGAGCGTTGTCAAGATGATCAGCGTTTCTTCCACGAATAAAGGCGTCAGATTTGAGAATCCTTATAGACTCATATCTGGATTTACAAAGAATGATTAAACAAGGATCAAAGATCATTAAAGCACAAAAAGGTGAGTGGCAGAAATTGTTACCAAGCTTGAAAAGTTCTTATAGCAAAACTTTGTCCATGAGCACTTCCTCTGGAACAATGCTAATTCAATGAAGCTCCTCTGTATAAGTGTGAACCCTCTTAAACCCTCTGCACCAGTGTCTAAAGCCCTAAGTGCCCAGAAGGGGAGGAGTTCCTCACCAATGGACCCACCTCTGTGACACAGCATCCACCACAGACAGATATGAACGAGTTTGTACCTTTTTCCTGACGAGGTGAGAGATGTTCGAGGCTGAAGACGAGGCGCCCTCTGCAGGCTTCACAGAGATCTGAAACCAGAAGAGACTATTAAAAAAACACCGCCCACTTTAAAATGTGAAGCCCCTCTTGAAACTGAATTGGCAAACATGTGACGTTGATAACATCGCATTTGGGCAAGATAAATATTCTGATTCTTAACATATTGTAACGAATGCCTTTAATGTGATTCAAATGCATCCCAAAAAGCGAGGAAAATTAGAACAAATTTCATTTATTGTGTCTGCACATTAACCGAAGCAAACTCAGAAAACCAAGTGAAACAGATGATCGGTTTACTTTAAAAAAAAAAAAAAAAAAAAAGGCATGTAAGTCTGTACCATCCCGGTGCAAACTGGGTCAGTCTTTCAGTTTCCAATGTGGTTTTACTGCAGACGGCAAATATCAGAATACAGCAGAGCAAAGTATTGGGATGATTGAAAGCACAACTCTGTTCAGGATCCCATTTCACCCCCACCCCTAATTGAAACTATTTTAGAGCCATGAAGTAGTGACATGAATAGTTTAAGCCACGCCCCCTCACAAACACTTCCTGGTTCTGACCTGAGACGCTCCAAAGGCAGATGACGATGAGCCGAAGCCCGATGACGCTCCATTCTCACTGAAGCCGGAGGACGTGGAGGCTCCTCCCTGTCGGATAAACATGAGTTAAAACAGTTCACACGGGTCACATGGTCCACCTGGTCCTGTACGCACCAGTGTCTGCTGAATGGCCCTGGACGCTGCGCTCGCCGTCCGCTGGCTCTCCTTTGCGTCCTCTACTTTCTCCTCCAGCGCCGGCAGCAGCAGCTTCAGCTCCTCCATCTCACTCGTGTCTTCTGAGGAAGAGTCTGCGCCGGCTTTGGAGATGGCCTCCTGCAACATGGCTGAAAGGAGACAACTTCCTTCAATTCAGGACATGGCTCTAGAGGAAACACTTTGATGCATTTATGTGACAGCAGCGATGGAGACCCTTTACTGGAGACTTATGCGCTCCATCCTCTCAAATCTCTCATACAGACTTAAACTAATCTGTTCATTACCATTCACCCCCTGTCCCATCACACCAGCGAGACCCCTGATGCCAGCCTCTACCTGCACATGTAGCCAACTGGACACCTGGTCATTCGTTGCTGATGCAGGAGGCTCAGGCAGTGGTGTCAAACGGTCTTCGAAGGTCCAGTGGCTGCAGGAATTCCAATCAAGTGAGTAGTCTCATCTTGAAGACTAAAGGAATTCTGGAGTCTGCTTCTTAGTTGGAATGAGATCCTGCAGCCAAAGCAGCCATTTGTCAGCAACCAGTCTGACAGCCCTGGTCCAAGGACAGGGATGAGCCAGGACATTTATTAGTCTTGGGTGAAGTAGTTTAGAGCTAAGACTGCTGTGGTGATTAAGACTATTCCAAGATAAGTAACCACTGTCTAGGCCCAGATGGGGCAATGAGCACACTATATTTTACACTACTGTGCCCACAGGAGGGATTAAGTTTCCACGGCGACATGATTAGTGTAATGTAGAGTTGGATCCTTACCCAGTCGCTCCTCCACGACCTTCAGCGCGCTCTTGAAGTGCTTGAGCGCCTGGTCGTACTGCTCCATGCAGCACAGAGACGTGGCCACGTGGTAGTGAGTCTCAGCCAGGAGCCGGCTGTGAGGAGGCAGGTGAGTGAGCTGCAGGGACAGGCACTCCTGGAAGTCCTCCACGGCCTGAGGGTAGTTCCCTGGAGACAAGAGACAGACAAAACTCTCCAGTCAAGCACTTTCTTACAACAACAACGCAGTTTGTGGCCCACATGTGGCGACTCTGCAAACACTGCTGATTTAAATTAGCTCAACTCTTCCTTTGCCAGAGCAAAGGCCTGCCCATGAGTAGGAGCGAGCATTGCCCAGCGACAGTAGACCAGTGTGTCAAACTAGTTCCAGAAAGGGCAGGTGTGGCTGCATGGTTTAGTCCAGGGGTGCTCAATACGTCGATCGCGATCTACCAGTCGATCGCAAAGGTAGTATTGGTAGATCGCATTAAATAAATAAAACATTACACATTCTAAACTAATATATACAAAAAACTCCGGGCAAAGTGGAGATTTTTGAAAACTCCGTTAATGCATTTGTGTGTAGACAGAGATAATCGGAGTTTTGCGTTCTCGCACGCCACAGTACCCCCCTAAATTCCTCTGATCACTGAAGCATGGATCATACTACCTTAAAAACTGTTGGCTGTGAGATGCTCGCAGCAGCAAACATCCTCCACATCAGAGAGCAGCAAAGTGATCGCGGGGACTCACGCTTGAAAACAACCAAACCAGGACTAAACCAGGACTAAACCAGGGCTAAACCAGGGCTAAATCAGGGCTGAGGACGGGGTCAGTGCTTGTAAACATACGTCTTTACTCCGAGTGTCTTCTATGACTGTAAAAGTGCCGTTACCGGCGTCTGCATCAAAGCTCCGCCCACTTCTGTGTTTTTCCCCAACGCAGGACAGGACGTAAGACACGCACATGTTTGGAATGTGATTGATAACGCAGATGTGTGGATGCAAATTATTTTATAAACGGAGGAGGGGAAATATTTGGATTTAAATAAACCAGGCATGGCACATGGACATGGCACCACAGTCAAATGACATCTGTGTTTTACTCAGTAATGTTTTACTGACACTTAGGTGACTGCACATGCGCAAACAACCGCGCTCAGTGCAGGAAAGCTAAACCACGACAAACTTGTCAGGGAGTTACCACCAATTTTCCGGACTATGCATCCCTGGCCGATTCAATTCACTGCAAGTCATAAGAGTAAACTCGGGTAATGACAAAAAATGTACATAGGTAATTGTGTTGTGTTGTGCTATATTGGCTCATGCGGTTTTGCATGTACATAAACATACATTGTAGGTATAAAGAATATTTTTTGAAATAAATATATGATTTGCATTTTTGTAGTAGGTAGATCATTTTGACTTGATCCTTTTATAAGTAGCTCGCATGCTGAAAAAGTGTGAGCACCCCTGGTTTAGTCCAATCCAAGCAGGGGCACAGACTGGTCAGAGCAGCTCTCAGTTTGACAATCTTTCGTCTCAAGTTTCCTTTATGTTGTAGAATTGCATTTGAGCAGGTACCTATACAACTATATGGAAAAGCAATGATTAAAAGATGTTTTAAAATTTACTGTCGTTTTCCCAGATCAATAAGTGATAGAATATATTCAGATGTACGAATATTGAGGCTTTTTACAGTCCAACATCCTGCAGACATTTAATATTGTCCCTACTCCTAGACCCCTTTAAGAGACTCATGTTTTAACATACCAGACTCTGCACTGACTTCTCCCAGTTTGAGGTGCGCCTGAGCGGCCATGAGCTGGTCCTCTCTGCTCTCCCTCCTGCAGACAGCACACTCTGGTCACAGTTTGAATTCAGAGAAGAATAAGGTGAACTAGAAGAAAGGCAGACCTTTTGTAGATTACTTTGGCCACCTCCAGCATCTCCCAGGCCAGCTGCAGATTCCCAACCTCCTCTTCCTCCTGGAGAAAGTTACAAGACTAAACTATGAACCATAGACTTAAAAAGGAGAAAGTGAGCAAAACTTCTGACTTGGCAGTGTCATTTCACTCATATTGGCCTTACAACTCTATAGTTGCAGTGTTAGCCTTAATGCTTCGTTTGGATTAAGGCTCACAATATGATAACAGTGCAGCCATGAGAACAACCCGAGAGCAGCTTTTCTGGACAGTTCAGAGGCTAAACAGAAGTAGTTTAGCCTCTGAACTCCATTTCTCCAGAAGACCCTTTTCCCAAGAAGCTCGATGGGCGGGAATCTAGAGCCTAATTTTTGGGTACAAGCCACATAACCAAAGAGCCAATCAAAACAGACTTTTACGAGTCACTGCCAAAATTGGGGTCGACGGGATATGACCCAATCTAATCAGAACTCTGAAGCCAAGCAGGGCAGGGTCGGTTAGTCCTGTGATGGAGACTTAAGAGGCCACAGTTGTGCGTAGGACAAAACTAACGTGGGAGTGACTGGTGCAGGGTGATGTCACATCTACTGGCAGTTTGCCCCAGGTCAGCTGTGACTACAGTAGTTTAACGCAACTTTGTATGGAGTGAACGAAAAAAATGCTAAGAGACCAATCATAAAAGTGCAGTAGAAAATGCATTATAATCTTACCCCATTCTCTTCCTTGCTCATCATCATCATCATCATCGTCGTCATCAGAACCTGTGTTTAGCAATTTAATAATTAGCCAGAGTCAAAGTAAACCCTAGAGCAGCAGATCTCAACTGGAGCGATAGAGCAGACTAGGGGGTGGCTAACTCAATGTGACATCACTTTAGTGTTAGCCTTAATGCAGAAAAGCTCATTTGAAATAAGCTGGAGCATATTTCCCAATATAGGCTCTGTGTTACTAAGGAAAGTTAAGAGTTTCCCCATGAAAGGCATCAGATTTTAGCCATATAATTTACCAGATCAAAATACAGGCCAAAGAGATCCATCTTTCACTGAGCTAGAGAATATAAGCGGGAAAAAAAATTAGGGCAGTAAATTCAGTGATTCATCTTCTCATTTATAATATAGATCCTCTTTGACTTGTGCTATCTGATCATTAAGTTTCTGGTTTCAGGATTTAAAAAGTGTTTAATTGTTTTAATAACTTTACTTTCAGGGTCCTTTGGTTAAAATCAGCCCGAGCGTTAACCAAGGGGTGTTTTGCTGAACTGTATCCAAATATAATGTCCCCTGTAAGGAGGGAAACAGCGGCGCCCACGACCCCCAGTTGAGAAGCGCTGCATTTGATTGGTCAGTCGTGCGTAGACAAAATTGAGGTTTGTCTAAAAAGATAAAAGGTTGAACAGCCTTTTCCATGTGCCCTAAAATCAGAAGGAAAATCCCACAAAACCACGTTCACACCAGTGACTTCACCCGGCTCTGAGCTAAATTGCCTTCATCCTCCATAGACTCCTCTTCCTCTTCTTTGCCGTCTCCCTCAGCAGCAGGAGTCTCTAGAGCCTCCTCTTTAGCCTCAGCGCCCTCTGTGGTCTCCCCTGCAGGGTCCTTCCTCGGTGGAGACCTGTTAGCGGTGGAGTTGGTCCTCTCCTCTTCGGCCATGGCCTCGTACACCTGCTTTCGGAGCTCCTCTCTAGTGTCTGCTACGTTCACGACACCGCGGGGCATATTTAGAGAAAGAACCAGCAGTGGAAACATTTTTGGCTCTCAATTACTGGGAATTTTGCCAGCCCCCATTGAGTAAGAGACTACAGGTTATCGTTCTAGACTAGAAGCTGCAGAAATGCCTCCTCCCTCCTTTAGAATTGACCTTATGGACACTGAGCAGCTCCAGGTTTGATAGAGAAATTTAACACATTAAAGATATTTATGATGCTACCTAAGTCAAAGATGAATACGAATGAGGAGGAAGGGCTCAGAAGGAGGCATTTATGAATTAGGATGAAACTAGTCTTACAGTCAAAGGGAAAGTCATTTAAAGCAGGTATAAACAACTCTTAAAAACTATGCAATTAAGTCCAAGTCACTGTTGACCAAGCGCTAACAGTTCAATTGTTACATACTCAAGCTTTATGACTTGAAGTTTGGAAAAGCAATGGACTTGTATTTGCTAAAGTGAGGTGTGCGTACCGTCCAGGTTGTTGGCGCTCTCAATTTTAGAGTTTGGCTGCTCCTCCTGGTCCTTCCCTTCGTCCTCCTCTGGAACTCCCTCGAGAGCGTTCCCCAGGACAGTGTTCTCCATCCTGAACACAAGAGCCTCATGAGAAACATCCAGTGTAAGCTCTAAATCACAGCAGTCTGAGGACTTTGTGCAAACCGTCTAGAAAATTGTTGCTTCACTAAAGACAAAGTACCAAACATGGGAGCCATGGTCCACAGGGCGCAGGAGCAGCACGACCAATGTCCATAAATGTTGATTCTGGACATTTATTGTCCTTAAGAACAGGAGGTGTCAAACTCATTTTAGTCAGTGGCCGAAACGAAACTTTGATTTTGGAAGCTGGATATTAAAATGAATTTATATTTTAAATTGTGAACTTATTTGTCAGTACAAAAGTGTTCAATTAGCATTTAGATTATAGTAAGGGGCCTAAAAGGTTTAGACAAAAGCATAACATTTGAGAAGTCTTCTCTTAATGTAACTTTACAACTGTACAATGAATTGAATGGTGGAGAGGGTGGGAACTTAAGTTTGACTTCATCCCACTCCTTTGAGCTTTGACAGGAGAAAAGGAATGGATGTTTCCATCATGTACAATTGCTGTAAATTCTATACTAGATTCCCGTTTATAAGCTTGAAATTAATCTAATCAAAGCTAAACTATCCAATGATGCATTAGTTTGAATGTTAGAATAAATTAGACATGGTTGTACAAATATATAACAGGCCATGGTAGCCTCCACATGTTGCATAAACAATGTTAGTTATTGTAAATTAGTTCACAGCCACTGACGACACATGTAGCTTACGCTCTAGAATCAGTAAGGCATGATAAAAAAGCCCAGTAAGAGAAACACTGAGGCCCATGAAGAGGGGGCTCCACAGAGACTGGGGGTCTCACCTGGCCAACTCCAGCAGAGACTTCCCACAGAGGAACAGAGCTTCTCCACATTCATAAGCAGTGTCTCCGAACCGCTCAGACCTGAGGAAACAGCATGCAAAGGTTTAAGAGTTTCAAACACACATTTATCCAAACAATTAGCGCCACAGTCGTGTTGGGGCAGCCTGATACAAGTGAGGTTTGAACACAGCACATAAAGCTGAGGTACTCAAATGTATTCATGAAACAGAAGTAGACAAAACAGACAAGTCTTCATCAAATCAGGGGCTACGGGAAGACTGTCCTCAGAACTAGTCATTGTGGTGCACATACGCAACAAAGTTGTGGCTAAATAAAAGGGTAACTCATGTTACGCTAGTAATTATATGATGTTAGAGCACACACATGAGAAGCACGCTGTGTAAAAAGAGTGCATTTTTTTACACACAATAAAAATAAAACAGGCCACAGTTGTAAATCGAGGAAAATAAAGCATATGATAGCTTTAACCATGTCCTGAAACAATGGCCAGTTCTAAGCAGTTTTCAGAATGAACTTTAAGCATCAGCCAATTTTGAAGTACACAAAAATCAGTCAAATTAGGTGGATCCTAGTTAAAAAATATCAAAGCATCAGTGGAGGATTTGGGCTCACAGCAAACTGCAGGCGTCCTGAAACACTGCCACAGCAGAGACCACGTCCCCCATCACCAGGTGCCTGTTCCCGGTGCCAAGCAGCTTCTTTGCCTCCTCCAGGACCTCTGCTCCACTGCAGCACAAACAGGGGATTAAAACACAAGAAAAGTCTGGGATAAAGTTAAATTACACCGAGGGCTTACTCATCATTAGCAGCTGCTGCAGCAGAAGAAGAGCATGGCTTCTCCTCCACACTGGAAAACAGGGCAAATAGTGGATAACAATGAGAACACATTTAAAATGTATAATTAAAGCTAGGCAATAGGGGAAAAAATTAGCACAATATGAAAACGAAATATGCAAAACACATAGGGAAATAGAATACACACGTTGATTTAAAACTAAAAATAAAGTTTTTACTTTCAAAACAGTTTGCGTCAATGACTACTTTTCACATGCATGTCTGCCTATACGGCCTGTCAAATCAGACAGAAAAGGGGATCTAAACATATTGTGTCCTTGGGCAAAACACTTCACCCATTGCCCAGTAAGAGGTGTGGAGGGGCGACTGGCACAGACGGGTTACCTCGCTTCTGTCAGGACGCTGTGCCTACTGTGGTAGTTCACCACCGCGTATGGAGTGAATTAATAATGCTGTGGAGAGACTTTAAGTGTCTAAAAAAAGCACTATAAAGCCCGATGTAGTACATATAAAGTAATCAGCGTGGGAAGCGAACTCATTATGGCAGGGAATAAAGTCGAGAGTGGCACAATGTTTCTGAACCTCTCATCAAAACCGGGTGAGATCAAACTGCACCGATATGAAGCGTTATGATGCTAAATTATAGGTTTGATAATTGCCTGGGGGACAGTGCTAACGCGACACTCGATGCTAATGCTACAAACAGGCTAACATGTGTGGGGCTCACCTCTCCGCGGCAGGGCTCTGGGTCTGTGTCTGCTCCGGCATTTCGCGGCTTCGTGTGCGGCTGGACAGAGGGCTCGGAACGGGAGGACGCAGGCAGGACGAGCGGGGACAGGTCTGGAAGACTGGAGGTGGTCACTGAGCTTTGTTGGCGCGCTTAAATACAGGGAAATGGACTCGCGTTTCCGCCTCTGCTGCTCCAAACCGCGGGAGATGAGCGATAAAGTGGACGCAGACTGATGACGAAATATTTTATCTAAAAATACAAACGATAACTACTAAAAGAAACCACGACTGAAATAAACACTAATAAAATGATTTAATAATTAAATAATAAAAATATAATTATGTGTGACGCTAGCGTAGTTAGGTGTGGTGGGAATAGTGGCGGCCATCTTGTGTATTGATTAAGAGGAAAATACTGCTTTTATTGACTTTTTTAGGTTTTAGGTTATAATTAAGTCCTAATGTATTCTCTATGGTTTGAGCAGAAAATTCTAAAAGTCATTAGAGGCCTATAATTCAAGCTGGTATACCTAGTTTTGTATCTTTTAGAATAGAATAGAAAACATTTGAACAAATCGGACCCAACATCTTTCTTTATCTTCAGCCCAGTGAGTCACTAATTAATTTGGGCTGAGAGCTGATCTAAAGATGATATAGAGGTACATGTGAACACTACTTTTACATTCTCTGAGAGATAGTTATAAAGGTTTTGTTGCAAGGTTAATTTGTGTGTGGTTATGTAGACCGGTATCAAGCTCTGTATTTTGTATCATGGGGATGGGCCTGGATCAGATTGCGTGACCAGCCGTATATACAGTCTATAGACCAGCCTGATTTGGCTCATGGGCTTCAAGTTGACTAGAATAGGACAATGTTTAATCGTTTTAGCATAAATATGTAATGACCGAAAGAACAAGATCGTGAATACAAACGGTCGAAATGAGCTGGGATCAGATTTTCACTTCATTTGGACTGAGATACATCTACAGAACACAGGTTAAGATCATAAATAAATGTAGACAAAAAAAAGAATTAAACAAATGTGAATTAGAGTATGGTTAAAAATAGGAATGCTTAGTCGAAAACTTTTTACTGTAGAAACGAGAAACATCTGCAATATCAGAGTTTGCCACTTGGTGTCAGTAAAACGCCACGATTCCGACTTCTCTACTTAACAAAGATCTGTTATTGTCATGCGGATCAAAAATTGGCAAAACTTACACACACACGCTACTGTTGTACAATGTGATAAGACAATTTCAAAAAAATAAAAATAATTAGGACCAAAAAGTTTCAGTGGCTTCTTAGTGAAATATTCGCTAAGACATGTGTATCTATCATTGTTACCACGGTTATAATCCTTCAAAACGAACTTTTAAAACCAAACGAACACGTTGTGTATTGTGTGTACGCAGAGTGATATCACGCAGAGTGATATGCTTTACGTTTATAAACAATCTATGCAGCATTTACTTGCAGGCCTCGTTGGCGCAGTAGGCAGCGCGTCAGTCTCATAATCTGAAGGTCGTGAGTTCGAGCCTCACACGGGGCATATGTTTTGAATCTTTTAACAAAAAAGTTGATCTGTCTTATGCAATCGCCTGATCTCATCAATTATGTTAATATTAAACATAAACACAGCTGAGAGGCACAGACTGATTCGTTGTAAGTAGGCTTTTTAAGTAGGCTACTAACACACCATAAATCCAGATAAAACTTTATTGATCTCACTCTGGAGAAATTGAGATGTCACATTTGGCACAGATAGAATCACTCAGATTGTGCAAAAGACAGAAGAGTGCAAACATGTTAAAGGTTAAAAATATAGTCTGTGCAGGATATAATGTATATAATGTTAGGATTAGATAGCGATTTGGCCTACGTGCAGGACAACTGCAAGGACTCTGATGCATCCATGTTATGACTATGATATACTCGTCTAGACTGTCTCTGGATTTGACACGAACGTCTTTCGATGTGTGACGTGATAATGACTATATAAACTGTGTACTGCCTTTATTCTGTCTGAGAGAAAGAAACATCAGAAACCACTGGAACTTGCGAGAAACCAAAATAAACTTCCAGAGTTTGGCGCACCACGATCCGTCTCTGTCTGGTTCATTCCTGACAATAATTATGTACAATAAAAAAGTGGAAATATAAAGATAGCTCACTTAGTCCAAATACAATTGATTGAACAAGAAGTGTCTGTCAGGCAGAAGACTTAAGTGACAATCCAATAAATTCAGGACAAGTGGCAATTCAACATATAACATGATATGATAGCTATTTACTACTGAGACAAGGCCAGGAGATTCATTTAGAAGCACAGGGGAAATCCATTCACATATTTATTTAGATGTATAAATAGGAATTTTGTTCAGGATCAACACAGTTCCTCACTGCATGTGTTATGTGGTTTTTTATACAAATCAAAAACAAAACCAGAATCATGGTGCATCTAAGTGCTACAGAATCTGTTGTTTATGTTGTGTGGTTACATTTGCAGAGTCTGTGCTTATAATGTTAAAGGTCTATATACAATCAGTTTGAATGGTAGCAGTTGGAATAATAAAAGAAAGTTCCAAGACGCTTTTTAAACTGTCCTCAGGTCAATGAGACCAAAACCGGTCCCCTATGCATCGGTGGAGAGGTAAACTAGCTCTTTCATGCAAGAGTTTCTGCCTGGGAGTGAAAACCTTTGAGCACAACTGTAAAGCACACAGTGGTAAACTGATTATGCAGACATGTCTGTGTTTGCAGACGGTCCCTAGGATTTGGAAAAAACAAAAAAGACTCTCCCCCTCCCTCTGGTGGCAGCACAGGGAGTTACAGATAGAAACCGTTTTTGACCCTTCATACTTGTTTCACTCTACCACTCTACCATCATTCTACCATACTGTCTACCACCCTTTCCCCCTCCTCCTCTTCCCCCCTCATTCATTTACAGGGGATCGCTTGATGCCCATACATACATGGTGTCACAGTCAAATCGCAGCTCTGAATATAAACCACACATGCACAGATTTAGCCCTTACCTGTTATGAAATGGTCAGAACAGACCTTATAGTGCCGTTTTTCAGGGGGTTAGGGTTGAATCCCTCTCGTCAATTAAAGGGTACTTTTCTCCGTTGAGAGAAAAAAAAACCTTTGGAATGTCCCCGTAATCTGCACGGTTCCTGCAGCCCCAAACGATGCAGGCAGTCGGCATGTTTTAGTGCAAAAAAAGTGATTTGAGTGCTTTGTTTACCTACAACTATGCGGCTAGAGAGCCAATATGGTGAGCTGCAGAATTGTGGGTAGTGCGTGACGCCAATGGAAAACCATCTATTCTAAAATATGAAACAACAATGTTATATTTCTTTAGAAAAAAACTAATTTAGAGGCAAAAGTTTTGCTTAAAAAGACAGATTATGTCAGGAATCGTCTTCACATAAAAATCTTTGTAGATCAGGGGTCTCAAACTCATTTTAACCAGAGGCCGCTTGAGGTTGAGTAAAGCTGGGCCGCATTAGGGGGTATATTTATCATTATGTTTATTTGATTCTGGTCTTTTTATCTTTGACCTTCCTGTCTCTGAAGCAGGAACAGACCATGCCTGCTCCTGATTGGCTGTTTGGTTACTAGGTCCTTGCTATCTGAGAAATTAGCTTCAGATTCTTGTGGAGCCTGAATGAGTTACCTCTAACCTGCAGGGAGCTTATTAGTGTTTAGTCCACTCCTGCTGTCTGTGCTCTTCAGGGCCAGAACCGGGGTGGTGGGGGAAACCGGAGCACCCGGAGGAAATTCACCCAAACACAGGGAGAACATGCAAACTCCACACAGAAAGCGTGTACAGCTCAGAAAACCAGATCACGTTTATAAAGATATTATTTAACGGTGACGTCCTGATTGGCTGTTCTCCCAATCTTCTGTGCGCCTTATACTCTAGTCTTTCAGTTTGAAAATCAGGTAACCCAGCTTTAATCTTTATCTAATGTATGTTTTGCTTGAGCAGAGATTTGCAGCACTCTTTCCACCTCCATTATTAATATCACTTGTGTTTGTCTTTTTTTGTTTTGTTTTTGCAGCCTATATGTAATTTTCACACCTCTCCTCCCACACAAACGCACACACACACACACCCACACACACACACACACACACACACACACACGCACATACACACACACACACACACACACACTCGCACGCACACGCTCCACACAGCAGCGCGGGGGATCGTGGGGAGCTCCTTTGATTTCTCGCACCATCTCGCCTCCCCAGAAACGGACCAACAAAACCATTGAACAACCCGCGGACCGGAGGCTGCCTGCAAAACCCTTTACAGACACACACACACACACACGCACGCACACATACACACATACACATACACGCACACGCCTCGGGAACAGGACGCAAGCACCGGGGACCGAAAGACAATACGTGAATGTACACCCACACGTGATCGCGGAATCATTCAAACAGGTAAGCGCTGGAGCGGGTCGATTTTGGCGTTTTCTTGATTTTTTTTTTCCCACACAAAGAACAGAGAGTGATGCATGTACACGGGATGATATTGATTGCCATCTCATTCACGGGTTTAAAGGGGCCACGCGTTATGTATGGCGTACGGTGCTGCTGCTGTGGTGTGGTGGCGTGCGCGTGTGCTGCAGTGCGCGTACCTGCGTCTGTCTGACATTAAACACGGGAGATTTACGGCCGCCGCGCTCTGATTGGCCCGCGCCTAATTGATGAGATGGGAGAACAGAGCGGCGTTTTGCTGCACAGGCTCCGGGGACGCGTCGTGTGCAGCGTGGGAGCCGAGTCTGGGTCTGTGTCTGCGGTTGGACGTGGAGGAGGCATTATAGGTTTCAATTCAATGTGTTGTGTGTAGCCCTAAAAATCACAGCAGTATAGTCGCTTCGTATATAGGACTTTACAAAGTTATCGATTTACCCACAACAGATCAGAGAATAAAACAGTTTGAACACAGGGAATGCCATTGGTTCATAATGAGCGGGAGGACCACTTGTCCAGAAATGTTCAAAAATGTCTTGGATTATCACTGTCCTTGGATCCGCTGGCATCTGCAAGGAACAACTCAAAACCCAGTGGAGAAAATTTGAGAAAACTTAGGGCGACCCATATTGAGAGAGGCATCAGCTCCGACGGAAAGAGGTTGTAGATCCAGCACTGAGACTGTATATCCAGGACTGAGACTGTAGATCCAGGACTGAGACTGTAGATCCAGGACTGAGGCTGTAGATCCAAGACTGAGGCTGTAGACCCAGGACTGAGGCTGTAGATCCAGAGAGGCTGTAGATCCAAGACTGAGGTTGTATCTAGGACGGAGGCTGTAGATCCAGGACTGAGGCTGTAGACCCAGGACTGAGGCTGTAGATCCAGGACTGAGGCTGTAGATCCAGGACTGAGGCTGTAGATCCAGAACTGAGGCTGTAGATCCAGAACTGAGGCTGTAGATCCAGGACTGAGGCTGTAGATCCAGGACTGAGGCTGTAGATCCAGGACTGAGGCTGTAGATCCAGGACTGAGGCTGTAGATCCAGAACTGAGGCTGTAGATCCAGGACTGAGGCTGTAGATCCAGGACTGAGGCTGTAGATCCAGGACTGAGGCTGTAGATCCAGGACTGAGGCTGTAGATCCAGGACTGAGGCTGTAGATCCAGGACTGAGGCTGTAGATCCGGGCGGGGAGGGGTGGCTAGCCCTGCATCAGTCTATGGGACACACTCACATGTTTTGAATGTGTCCCGATTCATGAATAGATCCTGAATAAGGACAATCTTTTGAACAGATTTCTCTTGGCTTTAGGTCTGGACTCTGATTGGATCATTTAAACACTTCATTATGTTTTAAACCGTTCTGTTGACGCTCTAGATTTAAGTTTAGGCTCGTTGTTATGATGGAACTTTGGCTAGCCCTGCATCAGTCTATGGGACACACTCACATGTTTTGAATGTGTCCCGATTCATGAATAGATCCTGAATAAGGACAATCTTTTGAACAGATTTCTCTTGGCTTTAGGTCTGGACTCTGATTGGATCATTTAAACACTTCATTATGTTTTAAACCGTTCTGTTGACGCTCTAGATTTAAGTTTAGGCTCGTTGTTATGATGGAACTCTCAGCCTCAAGTTTTCCTCTAAAATGTCCCTGTATTTTCTCCATCCATTTTTCCATCATTTTTACACTCTTGCCCAAAGTCCCTAATGAAGGAAAGCAGGGATGGCAAGCTCCAGTCCTCTCGGAGCCTGTTTGAGTCAGCTCTAATGCTCTCTGAGCCTGTTTGAGTCAGCTCTAATCCTCTCGGAGCCTGTTTGAGTCAGCTCTTGTCCTCTCGGAGCCTGTTTGAGTCAGCTCTAATCCTCTCGGAGCCTGTTTGAGTCAGCTCTTGTCCTCTCGGAGCCTGTTTGAGTCAGCTCTTGTCCTCTCGGAGCCTGTTTGAGTCAGCTCTAATCCTCTTGGAGCCTGTTTGAGTCAGCTCTAACCCTCTCGGAGCCTGTTTGAGTCAGCTCTAGTCCTCTCGGAGCCTGTTTGAGTCAGCTCTAATCCTCTCGGAGCCTGTTTGAGTCAGCTCTAATCCTCTCGGAGCCTGTTTGAGTCAGCTCTAATCCTCTCGGAGCCTGTTTGAGTCAGCTCTAGTCCTCTCGGAGCCTGTTCGAGTCAGCTCTAATCCTCTCGGAGCCTGTTTGAGTCAGCTCTAGTCCTCTCGGAGCCTGTTTGAGTCAGCTCTAATCCTCTCGGAGCCTGTTTGAGTCAGCTCTAATCCTCTCGGAGCCTGTTTGAGTCAGCTCTAGTCCTCTCGGAGCCTGTTTGAGTCAGCTCTAATCCTCTCGGAGCCTGTTTGAGTCAGCTCTAATCCTCTCGGAGCCTGTTTGAGTCAGCTCTAATCCTCTCGGAGCCTGTTTGAGTCAGCTCTAATCCTCTTGGAGCCTGTTTGAGTCAGCTCTAATCCTGTTTCCTGTTGCAGACCGGACACAATGATGATGGCGTCTCCAGAGAAGCTGAAGAAGAAGCCTCCGAAGGACAGTCTGACGCTGCTGCCGTGTTTCTACTTTGTGGAGGTCAGAAACATTCACTCCATCCATCTTCCCATCATGAATATGGATATAATTTATGATTATATATATATATATATATATATATATATATATATATATATATATATATATATATATATATATATATATATATATATATATATATATATATATATATATATATATGTTTTTTATAATATTATTTTTTTTCTATATTTATATGAACAAAATGAGTCCAGCTGCTGTTTTGTAGACATCTGGGCTGAATAAGGTTCACTTAGAATTATTACTTATTGCATTCAGGATTCAAGGTTTACTATAATATAAATGCTTTACTTGTGTTCTTGATAAAATTAGCTTTAAAATGACCATCGCGTCAAGATGGCCGAACAACCGGTGCCAGGGGTGTAACACTTGACAAACAAAAGCCAAAACTTGAAACACCGACTACTGCTTGTGGACTCAGATGAACTGTATGTCAACTTGACACATCAAGTTATCATTTAAAGGAAAAAGGAACGCCTAATAATGCCAAAACCAAGCCATAAACGAGGTGAGTTGGATCCCACGCCAGCAAGCCAAACCGGCCTTGAGGAAAAGGGCGCTGGTAGCGCTGATGGTACTTCAGAAATACTGAAGGAACTCAAACTATTTCGAACTGAAACGGCAGGGAACTTTGGTGTACTGAGGAAGGAGGTGAGCGACATAAAGCTTAACTTCGAAGAATTAAAAACAAGGGTGAATGACGCCGAACAGAGGATCGCAGATAACGAGGAACGTAACATGGATCTGACTAAAGTGCTGTTTCATCTGATGCGTAAACAAAAGTACCTTGAGGAGAAGTGTGAGGATCTGGAAGGCCGTTCACGGAGAAATAATTTGAGAATTTACTCAGTACCGGAGAAAACTGAAGGCAGCAATATGATTGTGTTTATAGAAAAGCTAATTCGTGAACAGCTTAGTATCCGGGAGGAGATTTACATTGAAAGGGCGCATCGCGTCGGAGGAACAGGTGTCTCCGTGGGACGTGCTGTTGCGGATTTCACCAGATCTATCATCGTTTGTTTTCGCAGTTTTAAGGAGAAACAACGAGTGCTGCATGCTGCATGGTCTCTAAAGGACATTCGTATTAACGATCAACGGATATATTTTGACGAGGATTACACCACCGAAGTGTTTAAGGAGCACGCAAAATACAGGAGCGCAAGGAAACAACTCCAGGAGCGAAAAATCAAGTCTCGCATTCTCTACCCTACAAAACTCATGTTGTTTCTGCAGGATGGAAAGACTAAGATTTTTGAAAACCCACGAGAAGCAGCTGAGGGTCTAAAGGACTTTGGCGTAACGATGGAAGTCCCAAGAAAAGAGCCGGATTGGGACTCAGCGCTGCGGGCTGCGGGATGGCAGTCCCCCCGCAGTAGGAGCAAACGTGCTCCCGCCGGGGAAATAACAGCCAGCGTTGAATCTCTTCGACTTTCCTTGGACAGTTATGAAAATGATAAAACAGACGACCATTAAGGTATGTGGAGACTACATTGTGGAAAGTGCTTAACTGTATGCGATGTCCACAGTGTGTGATCATATACTTACACAAGCTGAAAACACAGGTCGTGTCTATGACCATGATGAACTGGACTCCGAGTCAAACTTATTTCCAAACAAAAATGATACATGTAAATATTATACAGACGCAGAATTTAATAGTAATATAGAAACGGCTGGTTCATTTTCACTTATTCATTTGAATTGTAGAAGCCTGTATTCAAATTTTAGTAAAATACATGACTATTTGAACACATTACAAAATAAATTTACTGTTATAGCTCTGTCTGAGACTTGGTTAACGGATGAGAAAGGTGCGGAATTTTATTTTGAGGGTTATGAATTGTTTTATGTTAATCGGATCAACAAGAGAGGAGGGGGGGTTGCTCTTTATGTTAGTAGTGAGTTAAAATGCAAAACAGTTGAGTGTATGACTACTGCAACAGAAGATTTAATGGAATGTTTAACTGTTGAGATCGAAATGAACAAACAGAGGAATAATGTTGTCACATGCATATATAGAACTCCAGGGTCCAGCATTACAGCATTTAATAACAAGCTGGAGCAATTATTAGTTGGGATGAATGAAAACAAACTGTCTATAATTTGCGGGGACTTCAATATAAATCTCTTGAATGTGTCTAATCATACTAGTAGTTCAGATTTCCTAGATTTAATGTATAGCAGAGGCCTTTATCCAACCATTACCAGGCCTAGCCGAATAACCTCCAGTTGTGCCACATTAATTGATAATATTTTTGTTAATATATTTGAAAAAACGGTCAAAAGTGGTCTTCTGATAAATGATACAACTGATCATTTACCTATATTTGTAACTTATTTTTGTAATGTAAAAACAAACAAAGAAAAGCACAGTAAAGTTATTCGGTCAAGAACTGAGGAAAGATTAAATGCATTTAGGGATGATCTTATGAAAGAACACTGGGAAAATGTTTATAGTGCAAATAATGTGAATAAGGCTTATGAATCATTTTTAAAAAAGTATCTATGGTTATATAATAAAAATTGCCCAACAAAAATATTGAATGATACAGCAAGAAATAATAATAAACCTTGGATAACAAAGGGTATATTGAAATCTTGCAAAATGAAGAATAAGCTTTATTGCGACTTTGTAAAATATCGGACAGTAAATGCAGAAAAAAAATATAAAGCCTATAAAAATAAGTTGACTACCGTAATGAGACGTGCAAAGAAAGATTATTATACAAACTTGTTAATGGAAAACAAAAGTAATATCAAAGGAATGTGGAAAGTTTTAAGGGAGGTTATGGGCAGTAAAATTAATTGTAGTCAGCCATTATACTTAATGAATCAACAGAATATGGAGGTAAGTGGTGAAAAAATGGCTGATGAATTGAATTCATTTTTTGTTAATGTTGGTCCAAATCTTGCTAAATCTATACCACTACATAACGAAAATACAAGCTGGACAGGTGAAAGTAGAGTTATGCAATCCCTATTTCTTGGCGAAGTTGGTGAGAGTGAAATTATCTCTACTGTCTCTAAATTGAAAAGTAAATATTCATGCGATAGTGATGGCTTAGATATGTATATTGTCAAAGAAACTATACATTGTATTATTAGACCATTAAAATATATAATCAATGTGTCTTTTAATACAGGTTTCTTTCCAGATAAAATGAAGGTGGCTAAGATTGTTCCCCTTTTTAAATCGGGTGATAAGCATAGCCTCACAAATTATAGGCCTATATCTTTGCTTTCTCAATTTTCCAAAATTCTGGAGAAACTTTTTGTTAAAAAATTGGATTCTTTTCTTGAAAAACATTCCTTGATACATGATAATCAGTTTGGGTTTCGAAGCACCCGCTCAACAGCTATGGCTTTGATGAAAATCACAGAGGACATTACTACAGAATTGGAGAATAAAAATCACACAGTTGGAGTTTTTATTGACCTTAAAAAGGCCTTTGACACGCTTGATCACGGTATATTGATATCTAAATTACAGACATATGGAATTAGAGGTGTAGTATTAAACTGGATTAGTAGTTACTTAGAAAATAGACAACAATATGTAGAGTATATAGGCCATGAATCTAACTTAGAAACAATACAGTGTGGAGTCCCTCAAGGCTCTGTGCTGGGACCTAAACTTTTTATTTTATATATTAATGACCTCTGTGATGAATCAAAGATTTTACGTTTTGTTCTTTTTGCGGACGATACCAATTTTTTTGTATCGGGGAAGAATTTAGGAACATTAATAAAAACTATTGAACAAGAAATGGTCCAACTTCAGAAATGGTTTAATAAAAATAAATTGTCGTTAAACTTAAACAAAACAAAATGTATGTTGTTTACAAATCAAAAATGCCTTCCATCCATCCATCCATTTTCTACCCTTTAATCCATTTCTGGGTCAGGGGGTGGCAGTCAGAGATGCCACCCAAGTCTCATAGCACCAGCCCCTCACTGACCCTCTGCAGGTGGTGAGTCCACAGGAGGACGGCTGCTCTCTGAGTGTGAGCATAGCCTTGATCTTTCAGTGGGGGCTTTGGGCAAAGTGGGGTTAAGTGTCTTGCCCAAGGACACAACGACAGCAGTCATCAGTGGGAGTCGGTGGAGAAGGTGCAGAGGTGGGAATTGAACCACGACCTTCTGGGCTTAAGGCCAATGCTCTACCAACTGAGCTACTGTCGCCCTTCAAAAATGCCTTGAAAGTGTTAATTTGACTTTAAATGGAATAACTATTGAGAGAGTGTCAGAATTCAGGTTTTTAGGAGTACTCATTGATGATAAATTTAAGTGGAAGTCACACATAGCTTACGTAAGAAATAAAATTTGTAAAAATATTGCTGTTTTGAGTAAAGTAAAGTTTATGTTGAATTACAAGGCAATGCGAATCTTATATTGTTCCTTTATTTTGCCATATTTAATGTATTGTTTGGAGGTATGGGGTAATTCTTATATTACTAATTTAATGCCCTTATTTCTTTTGCAAAAAAGGGCTATAAGAATAATTAATGGAGTTGCTCCAAGAGAACATACTACAGGTCTGTTTCTGAGGTCAGGACTACTCAAATTGAAGGACTTGGTTTCTTTACAAACTTTATTAGTTGTTTATAAAGCAAAACACTGCCTGTTACCGCATGGACTTCAAACCCTTTTTACTGTAAATAGTGAGACAAGTAGAAGAAATACTGACTTTAAACAACCTTTTGCAGGAAATGCCCTTAAACAAATGTGTGTCTCAGTATCTGGTGTGAAACAATGGAACTCTCTAGAAAAAGATCTAAAATGTTGTTCAAATATTCTTCAATTTAAATATAAGTATAAACAGAACATTCTTAACTTGTACAAAGATGAATGTGAAAATTGTTAAATTTACATCAACAGTGCTGATAACGATGGTGGTGATGTAGTGGTGTGGCGGTGGTGATGGGGGCGATGGCGGGACTGTCTGGTTGTGTGGCGCGTACCTATGTGTTCGTGTGGGTGTGTCTGTATGGGTGTATACAGGTATGCTTACAGTACGCAAAAAAAAAAAAAAAAAAAACCAAAAGAGGAACAAATTTTCAGTGCAGGGTAAGCGGGTGTTGAGCAGCTGTGGGAGGTCATACGTCTCTCAACAGCTGCCCACACAAACCTCGCTTTTTTAAATACACCATACAGCATAGGGCTCATCACGAGTACATATACACATCCTCTTCAGTACAGGGTGAGCAGGAATGGAGGGAATGTCAGGGGTGTAGCACCTCTGGACTTCCGCTAACTCCTGTCTTTTTAAACACAACACCTATCTTAGGGCACAACTCTGTCAATCACTAATGTAGGGCAAGCAGGTGCCGGGCAGCTGTGGGAGGTCAAACATCTTTCGACAGCTGCCCACTCAAACCTTGTTTTTTTAATGCAACACACAGCATAGGGCTCATCACAAATACGTCAATAGATCCTCTCCATCCTTTTGTGTGTGTGCTGTGGGTGTGCCTGTGTGTGTCCGTGCATGCGCCTGTATGTGCATGTGGGTGTGCGTTGTGTGGTTTGATGGACTCGTCGCTGTTCCCGTCGCCGCTGTTGTCACCATTGCATCACTGTTGTTTTAGCAAAATTATTAATAATAATCGGGAAAAAAAGAAAGAAAAATTGAAAGTTGATTACATCTGGTCTGGGCTATTGTTATCTTTTGGCATCGGTGTGGCCATCTAATTTGTAATGTTTTTTTTTAAAGAATGGGGTAGGAGCTTATAAGATTTTTTTTTCTTCATCCTACTCCTGTTCTTCTTTTCATGGAATGTATTATTGTTGTGTTTGTTGATTTGTTCCAATTGTATAGTATGTTGCATTACCATGAAAAAAGAATAAATAAAATGAAATGAAATGAAATGAAATGATACATGAGGCGCCATATTAGCCCCGAGTCTCAGTGGGGGCCGCACTGACATTAAACTTTGATGTCCACTCGGGGGCCACACAATACCTTTCTGCCCACGAGCTGCAAATGGCTGAGCTTGAGGCCACGCTTTAGACAGAAGAATTTACATACCTGACATTACCGTGAATCATAACGGTGGTCTAATGTTCTTGTTAAATGGGCCTACACTGCTTCATGTGTGTTCTTTGGTAACCGTCCTTCTCTGTGGTGGCAGCTGCCCATCGTGGCGTCCTCCATGGTGTCCCTGTACTTCCTGGAGCTCACAGACCTGGTGCAGCCCGCTCAGGTGGGCTTCCGCTGCCATGACCGAGACCTCAGTATGCCCTACGTGGACGGGGGAGACGAGCTGATCCCTCTGCTCATGCTGCTGAGCCTGGCCTTCGCTGGACCGGCCGCATCGGTGAGAGACACACACACACACATACAAACGCAACACACACAGACTCAACACACACACACACACACACCATACGTACACACACATACAACAATTCACTCACCACATGTTCTTAGTGTGTGGTGTTCCCCAGGGGTCAATCCTGGGGCCCTTTTTGTTTGATATCTTCATTCTGCCATCAGACCTCTGTGCACACGTTTCACTTCTCTCTCTCCTCTGATTTCATCCCCATTCTTACTATTCTTTCCTCTTCTTCCTCAGATCATGTTGCTCTCTCCTCTCTCCCCTTTCCTCTCCCCTCTCGGCTTCTCTCCTCTCCTCCCCATGTTGAGGACCTCTTCTTCTTCCTTCCCCTTCTGTCTCCTTGCTCTTCTCTTGCTCTCTCTTTTCCCATCTCTTTCTTCTCCTCTCTCCCTCAGATCATATTGAGGACCTCTGTAACACATTTATCCTACTCCTGAGATCATGTTGTGGGTTGAGGACCTCTGTAACATGTTCTCCTCTCTCCTCTTTGTCCTCCTCCTCTTCCTCCTCAGATCATGCTGGTGGAGGGTCTGATCTACTGCCTCCAGTTGCGGCTGAAGCTGCGTCGGCCTGAGGGCAGCATCAACGCTGGAGGATGTAACTTCAACTCTTTCCTGCGACGCACCGTTCGCTTCGTCGGTGAGCTCAGAACTTTACTCTGTCAATTCAACTCAATGACAATATATCAGAGAACTTCATTAAACGTTAATTCACCAACAGCTGATCCGAAAATTAAACAGTTTGAACACAGGAAATGCAATAGGGACAAACACAATAAATGTCCTTAAATGTCTTTAGACCTTCCTGCATCGGCAAGGAACGACTGCAGTTCCAGGACTGAGGCTGTAGACTGACTTTTTTGGATATTCATTCTGTCTGTCTGTTGGAACCGATCGCTTTCTCAAAATTGGCAACCCCCAGGTTTACTTTTTTTTCAATTGAGTTTTTTGAGTCCTTCCTTGCCGATGCAGGAGGGTCTAAGGACAGAGATGATCCGCTTCATTCATGAACATTTATGGACAGTGGTCATCCTGCTAACTACAAACCAATGGCTCCTACGTGTTTGTTGTTATCGTATTTCCTGTGTATGAACAGGTTAATTCTCTGATCTGTTGTTGGCGAATCGACAAGTCCACAGAGACGACTGCTGTTGGGGCCAAACACAAATCCATCTAATTGAATTTGTGTGGAAGGAAACATTTACAGAGGATGTCCCATCTCTACTCAATCAAAACCATGAGCCGATTTGCCTTGGACAGGGCTTGAAACAGCTGAGGGTGACGCCAGTTAGCATTAGGATTGGTAAATGTCTACTGGCTGCTGACGCTTTGGCCCAGTAAAAGCCAAACTCAAGGCGGAGTGTTTGTCTCATGTGTGTTTCCGCAGGCGTGCACGTGTTCGGCCTTTGCGCCACGGCTCTGGTCACTGACATCATCCAGCTGGCCACAGGATACCACGCCCCCTTCTTCCTGACCGTCTGCAAACCCAACTACACCCAGACCGGAGTGTCCTGTGACCTGAACCCCTACATCACCAAAGACATCTGCTCCGGCCATGACCAGCACGCCATCATGGCCGCCAGGTGCCCCCCCCCCCACACACTCAACCGCAGCACGGGTTAGAAATTAGGCAGAGGATGGACAGCGTTAGTCTGTTTGTACCAGTCTGACCCAAACGCCTGGTCTCTCAGATGTCTGGCCCTAGTCCCCAAGATGTCTGCCTAATAGAATAAAAGGCCTGTTCTTATTGTGTCTTGCCAAGAGTTGCAGCTAGCCCATTGTGGTGCCCAGTTTTCCCAGAAGTCTCCCATCACACCACTGACCAGGCCTTGTCATCCTTAGCTTCTGAGGTCTGTCTCTCAAATGCAGAAGCGCAACAGATTCCCATTTGGAACAGGGCCTCTCTGACTGGCGTTTGCATGTTTTCCCCGTGTCTGTGTAGATTTCCTACGGTGCTCCGATATCCACTACCGCTGAATAACATGTACAATAGGCAAATATCCCCTGCTCCGGACAGAGACCCTAGAGACAATGAAGGATGGGTCAAATGCAGAGGGGTAATGCAGAATAACTTGTGTTTGCCTTTGGATTTGGGGCTTCTTCCTGCAGAGAAATGGACAGCTAGGTGAAGAGTGAAACCTAATTCTGTGATGTGTTTGACAGGAAGACGTTCCCCTCACAACACGCCACGCTGTCGGCGTTCGCAGCGGTGTACGTGTCGGTAAGTTTCACACCAGAGTCACTGCTTCCACATGATGTAACCATGAGGCAACAGTGTAAAGATTTATCACAGTCTCACACAACAGCATTTAGACAGAAGGTTTTGCTCCAACTCGCTCTGGCTCCTGTTGACGTGTATTGAAAAGTAAACTCCTCTAGCTCAGTAATTGTCTATCTTTTGATATTGTCTTTTTGAGCCATAGAAGGTACGCTAAATCAGATGCCTTCATTCACAGGGGAACTCCATTTTACCGTAACAACCACTTTGGCAACACATCTGCCCCTGGATTCTAATTTTAGAATCTCTGATTTTAGCCTGAATGTATGTAAAAAAAAAAAAAGAAACAACTGTGATTTTGCATAAGTTAGCAACAAAAGCTTATCGAAAAAGATTGTCATGATTATAGAAATGTATCTTCAAAGGATCTGGGACTGAGCACAAATATAAAACCACTCTTTTGGCACATTGTGATCAACAGTCATTTTGTGTCATTTTCAGATAAAAAGTTAGTTTGCTGAACTGGCAACACATGTGAGAGATTATGAGAGACAATAGTGTAGAAGTTTCTCCGGGTGAGCTGCAGGATTAGTCTGGGAGACAAATGACCCACTTTTCCTGAGTTTTCCTCTCCATTTTGACTGCCGACTCAAGCTGTGTATTAATATCTATGGTTTTGTCCCAAAGATGTATCTATTGCTGTTTTACTGTTCCATATAGACTTACCCACCTGCTTTTACCCTGTATCGTCCCATATAGACTTACCCACCTGCTCTTACCCTGTATCGTCCCATATAGACTTACCCACCTGCTCTTACCCTGTATCGTCCCATATAGACTTACCCACCTGCTTTTACCCTGTATCGTCCCATATAGACTTACCCACCTGCTCTTACCCTGTATCGTCCCATATAGACTTACCCACCTGCTTTTACCCTGTATCGTCCCATATAGACTTACCCACCTGCTCTTACCCTGTATCGTCCCATATAGACTTACCCACCTGCTCTTACCCTGTATCGTCCCATATAGACTTACCCACCTGCTCTTACCCTGTATCTTCCTACAGATGTATTTTAACTCCACCATCTCGGACAGTACGAAGCTGCTGAAGCCAGTCCTGGTGTTCGCCTTCGCCATCGCGGCCGCTCTGACCGGTTTGACCCAGATCACGCAGCACCGCTCTCATCCCATTGATGTCTACGCAGGCTTCCTCATTGGGGCTTTCATCGCCGCCTACCTGGTACGTTCTGTGTTTGGTTTGACCAAGAATGTTACAACAAGACACTGTATACAGATGGACTTTGCTAGCCTTAATGCGGGAGGACTTAAGCTAGTTGGAGTACACAGTTTGTCCATATATGGTCATTCTTCCACGCCGCTAGCTTTGCGCTGTAATAGCATTACGTTATCATTGTGTTAGCATTTTCCTTCTGTATACAGTCTAGGTTAGCATCGTCCATCTATATACAGTCTATGTTAATATCGTCCGTCTGCATAAAATCTATGGGTTTGCCGTGGTCTCTAGGCGCTTCACGCGGTGGCTAACTTCCAGTCTTCAGAGGATGTGATCGCTCCTCCCCCTCCGCCACCCCCCAAAGAGGACCCTCTGCGTGCGCTAACCGAGCGCGGCCACGACTCCGTCTACAACAAGGGCCCTGCCTCGGCCTCCGAGAGCAACGACGAGATCGCTACAAACCCGGCCCCCCTGGCACGCCTGGAGGGCCTGAGCCAGCTGCAGCGCGACAAAGGCTCCGTGGAGAACCTGAAGAGGGCCAGTGTGGACGTGGAGCTGCTGGCCCCTCGCAGCCCCATGGGGAAGGAGACCATGTTGACCTTCAGCAACACACTGCCGCGCGCTAGCATGAACGCTAACGGTGTCCTGGGAGGCGGCGATGCGGTGGAGGAGTGCGTGGTGCAGCCCGTGCAGCCGGTGCAGCGCAGGCTCAAGGCCGTGCAGGTACTGATATTTATTCAAACATTTTTCATCTATTTTCATCCCCTTAAAGGTGCAGTAAAGGATTTTTGTTAGCTTAGCAGTAGCATCCGAGTCAAGGGGGGGCAGGTGGCACATACTGGTGTCTAACAAAGAGCTATATAAGGTGATTCAGTATTATTATTCCGTTTCTGCTCAGGTGCCGCTGGACCCAATGCGCTCGCAGCAGCTGGTCTCCGAGTGGAAGCAGAAGTCGATGGAGATGCGCGGCTTCAGGGACGAGGCTGAGCGCGAGGCCAGCGAGGAAGGCTCCGAGGTGGGCTCTGTGGAGACGGACGACGGGGGGTCCCACATGTACCAGCCACGTTCTGCCTCCTCCAGCCGCACCTCCACTCCTCCACCAGGGGGAGCTAAAGCTGTCCCCACACCCAGACCTCCGCACATCCCTGACGCTGGGCCCCCTCCCGTCTCCCCCAAGAGCGCACTCACCCGAGCCAAGTGGATGGCCCTCCGAGAGAAAGGTGAGAGCGTCTGCAAGCAGGAACGCAAATCTGTTTGATAAAGAGGAAGAATCATTTTTTAAAGCCCACACAATAAGGCTTGTAGCTCAAGAGTCGTGACATCACAGGGGAGACGTACAAAACAAACACATCACTCCAGTCACAACAACAGCACAGTTACATAACGGACAGAAGCCGTGGGAACGAAGCTGTTTTTGAACTGACTTGATCATGTTGTTGAATAAGTGATAACTGGTATCCTTGTTCTTTTATAAATGCTCAGTGAATGATAAATGAGAGCTGAATACTAGTTTTATGGCTTTAAAACATGGATGAACTTCCTGTCTTTGTTCCCGGAGAACATACCCCAAAGATCAGAGTCCTTTACTGTTTTGCATTGGGGGCAGTCAGTCAGAGCTGCTCCCAGTGCATGTTGTCCTCCCCCAAGGCTGTGCTTTGTCACCGCTTCTGTTCACTGTTTTATGGACAGTTTAGCATAATAAAGAATCAAGTTTAAAATCTCTAACTTCACTTTAATAAAGAAGCAGCAAGAGGGTCTGGGACAAAGTGACTTAAGTGACAGTGGACACATGTGGTTTCATATTCACTTAGTCTTCATTGTTTGTTGTACAGTCTGACAGCAACATTAAGGATACATTTATATACTTACGGTGTATTTTTGTGCAGCTGCGGGTGATTCTTCCAGAGGGTCCGCCAACCAGCCGCGCCTCATGCAGGTTATCGCCATGTCCAAGCAGCAGGGGCTCTTACCCTCGTCGCCCTCGGACACGGGCCGGTCCCCTGAGACCACCTCCACCTGCTCCGGATCCTCCACACACGACTCTCCTCACTACAAATCGGTGGAGAAGAACCGCGAGGCTCCTGGGATCGTGACGGTGGATGCACATGCGCCGCATCACCCTGTGGTTCAGGTGAGTCTGGGCCTGACCTGGTTCCTCTTCCTTCTGTAAGAGATGGGACCAGCTGTTTGTGTGCACTTTTAGATGAAATATTATGCATCAGTTTCATGTTTTAGAAGGAGAAATAATATCTTCAGTAGAAAATATATGGTGAAACAAGTATGACGGTAAAAAAATACAGTCTGCCTTTAACACCAGAGAGAGACTAGAGAGACCAGAGAGAGAACAGAGAGAACAGAGAAAGAGCAAGACCAAAGAGAGACTAGAAGGAGACCTGAGAAAGACCAAAGAGAGAGACCAAAGAGAGACCATAGAGAGAGACCCTAGAGAGAGACCATAGAGAGAGACCCTAGAGAGAGACCATAGAGAGAGACCCTAGAGAGAGACCATAGAGAGAGACCCTAGAGAGAGACCCTAGAGAGAGACCCTAGAGAGAGACCCTAGAGAGAGACCCTAGAGAGAGACCATAGAGAGAGACCAGAGAGAGAGACCAGAGAGAGAGACCAGAGAGGCCAAACAGATCAAAGAGACCGAAGAGACACCAGAGAGAGAGTTGGGCTTCAAACACAGACATGAGATTAGACTTAAAACATAGAGCTGCTACTTTACGGATTTCACTCATTGCACGTGATTATTTTTAACATAGTCCCACAATAAACGAGGAACCTCAGTATACTGGAATCAGTGGCATAAAGTAGTGTGAATGATATATTTTATTTTGTCAAAATGAGTTGTTGTGAGCGACAGTAGCTCAGTTGGTAGAGCATTGGCCTTTCGGCCTGAAGGTTGTGGGGTCAAGCCCACCATAAGACCTACTTCACAACTCCCACTGATGTCTGCTGTCGTTGTGTCCATGGGCAAGACACTTAACCCCACTTTGCCTGAAGCTCCTACTGAAAGATCTCAGCTCCTGTGGACTCACCACCTGCAGGAGGATCAGTGAGGGGACGGTGCTAAGTGTACTAGGTGCAGCTCTGACTGCCATCCCCCCGACCCAGAAATGGATTAAGGGGAAGAAAATGGATGGATGGAGTTCTTTTGAGGCAGAGTAGGGACACAACATGTGGCTCAATAATGGGACCTGCATTATTCAAATATACACTCACACATGTGGTGTTCCGACAGGCTAACTCTCTGGTCTCCCTCAATCGATGTACTTTCTTCAGTAGTCTCAATATGACCATTTATTGCAATAATATACAGCTGAAATTGTAGTCTGTATAAATTAGTTATTGTGTGGCCGAGAATAGACATAACATGTGGGGCACCGCAAGGCTCAATACCGGGTCCTGCATTATTCCTAATTTACATTTAATGAAACATGCCGCTGACACACGTGTTGTTTTGACTGACAGGCGAACGCACAAGCCGCGGCAGCCCAGATCCCACAGGCCCCGCCCCTCGCACACCCCTGGCAGTGGTCCTCAGACACCCGCGACACCTACGACCTGAACGACTCCAAACGACGCGACGTGACATCACAGGGCAGCAGCTTCCGGCCGCAGCAGCGCGCAGAATCCCCTCAACAGCGCGCCGCCTCTCCACAGCAGCGCTCCTCCTCCCCCACTCTGGCCGAGGCCGAGGCGCAGCGACGCGAGATGGCGATGCGCCGCAAGACCGCGCTGGTGCTGCTGGACCGGGACGTGCGCAATGACGGGGAACACTACTACAAGAGCCTGCAGGCGCGGAGGTACCGGGAGTAGCGCCTTCTACTGCGGGAAGATTTCAAAAAGCCTTATTTTTGTGACGTTTATTTTGAGAATGCAAGCAGGACAGCGGACTATGCAGACGCGCTGGGGATCTGGGTCCGATCAGTGGTGGAAGGAAGCTACAATTCTATTCAACTTGTTTCTGTATAGCCCTGAATCACAACAGTAGTTATCTTGGAGGACTTTACAAAGCTGTTGATTCGCCAAACCAGATCAGAGAATCAAACAATTCAAACACAAAGAATGCAATGTGCAGATAAAGTCCATAAATGTTGATAAAGTCCATAAATGCCGTTGAATTTTGAGAACCCTGGATCATCACCAGTCCATCCAGGCGAGCCAGTGAGAAAAGTTAAAGTAGGGGCTTATTTTAATATGATTTTACTGCGGATATTTTTGATGTGAGTGAGTAATTATCTTTATTTATATAGCACATTTCAGAGAGCATTTTAAAGGGAGCACTACAGTGTTTTGGACTGTGGAGAAACTGTGAAAACAGTGACTTTCTGTGGTGATGTAAAGTGAAGCTACCGTTGCTACTCCACTTACCACGCTGGTCTCTTTCTGATCTCTATTTGGTCTCTCTTTCTCTGGCCTCTCTCTCTAGTCTCTCTCTCTGGTCTCTCTCTTTAGTCTCTCTCTGGTCTCTCTCTTTTGTCTCTCACTTAGTCTCTCTCTGGTCTCTCTCTTTAGTCTCTCTCTGGCCTCTCTCTGGTCTCTCTCTCTGGTCTCTCTCTGGCCTCTCTCTGGTCTCTCTCTGGTCTCTCTCTCTGGTCTCTCTCTGGTCTCTCTCTGGTCTCTCTCTCTGGCCTCTCTCTGGCCTCTCTCTGGTCTCTCTCTGGTCTCTCTCTCTGGCCTCTCTCTGGTCTCTCTCTGGTCTCTCTCTCTGTGGTCTCTCTGTGGTCTCTCTCTGGTCTCTCTCTGGTCTCTCTGTGGTCTCTCTCTCTGGCCTCTCTCTGGTCTCTCTCTCTGGCCTCTCTCTGGTCTCTCTCTGGCCTTTCTCTGGTCTCTCTCTCTGGTCTCTTGCTTTCTGTCTCCATCTTGGTTCATATTTATCAAACCAGGAAATCCAGCCTTAACAATTTACTCATGATGATGTTTGGAGAATTGCCCAAAGTTTAAAATACAGATACAAGCTTTAACAGTTTAAAATAAGTCTAAAATACCGTCAGTTTCCCCCCTCGTCAACTGGATCTAAACTTTTACGTCACTAACAATATAGAGCACTTCTTCCACCACTGAATCCGACGCTTCGCAAAAAAAAGCCATTTCTCCGACAGCTCCAGCGCTAAGCCTCATGGGAGTTGTTGTGCTTTGAGCCATTTCACACGGAGCCCAGAGGTGAAGAGCTGCAGGAGGAAAAGAGCATCCACCGCTGGATTATCAAGACACTATGAAGACATTATGAAAAGATTGTGAAGAAAGCACAATAACATGCAACAAACTGGAGACTTGTCCCACGGCACGGTCACTGGGTCAGGGCAGCGAGGAGCCACAGATGCAGACGTAAGGGCTGAACGGCTTTGGACAAATATCCAAGTTCACAACTTTCTGACAAACCTGACAGTATTCAAAATATATGCATGATGTTGGCCAGTAGAAAACTCTCTCCTCTGATCTCTCTCCCTCTGGTCTCTCTCTCTGGTCTTTCCCTCTGGTCTCTCTCTGGCCTTTCCCTTTGGTCTCTCTCTGGTCTCTTTCTGATCTCTCTTTCTGGTCTGTCTCTGGTTTCTTTCTGGTTTCTCTCTGGTGTCACTAACTGTTTTTCCCCTCTGCGCTCTCTCTGAAGTCTCTCTCTCTGGTCTCTCTCTGATTTCTCTCTGGTCTCTCTGGTCTTTCCCAGAAAATCAGTGCAGATCTGAATTGCATTTGATAGATTATATGTATTTACAAAACCGTTCAGTCCTAAACATAGACTGTTTATGGGAATGGACAATGCTAACCTGCTAGCTCCATGTAGCCTAACAGCTCTACGTTGAAAAGCAAACTCCTCTCACCTGAGCCACACTCATTTTGGGCTTAAAAATATTTGGTTCAACCCTCTGTATGAGCAATCAGGAGCCTTCTGTCCCCAAATTCAACGTTAGCAGCAGTTAGCGTAAGCAGGAACAGACCAGCTCCACTGCTGATTGGCTCCTTGGTTACTAGGTCGTTGCTATCCTTGAGTTTAGCCCTGTGTGAGTTACCCTTAATAGTAAGTAAGTAGTAATCTTTATTTATATACTGCCTTTTCACTGCAGATCTGAGTCTCAAAGCGGTTTACAATTGTTAATTATGGGCATTTATCTCTCACTCCACACAGAGATGGGAGCGGGGCCAGTACAGGAGGCGCATGCCAGAACTATTGGACATATTTTTAGTGGTAGGGGATACCGGAGTACCCGGAGGAAACCTACGCAGACACGGGGAGAACATGCAAACTCCACTCAGAAAGGCCCTGGTCCGACCGGGATTCGAACCCAGGACCTTCTTACTGAGAGGCGAGAGTGCTATCCACTCAGCCACCGTGCCGCCTCATGGAGCCTGTTTGAGTTTGGTTTGCCCGTTCCTACTTCAGTCTATGGTCCTGGACAGGAGAGTGCCACCTGAGCGCGCCCTTGACCCAGTGCATTGTGGGAAAGTGAGTTCTGACTGTATAATACTGTGTCGTTGCCTTCGTCGTGGCGTTTGGCTCTTGAACCTCTGCATGTCAGTTCTGAGTGGGTTGTGTGTGTGTGTGTGTGTGTGTGTGTTTGTGGAGAATGTGTACGGATAAAGTTTTTATAAGACGTTTAAAATGTGAGGATTGATGATCTGAGACTGCAGCTGATGGATCACACCACTACAATTCCCATTTCATGTGGGCCTGGCCGTGTGTTTAGATTTTGGATCCAGTGTGAAGCGATTCTAAGCGGTTCTGAGGTTTGTAGTCCTGTTTTCAGAAAGAAAAGCAGTGGTATTTTTATGGGAACGTGAAAATAAAAGTTTTACTACAGTTTTGTAGCAGCAAAGTGCCAACAGGTGATTGTGAATGGACGACAGAGGTGTAGGCGGCCTCCCATAGGTGCCGTGTGGAGGACCTACTGTGCTGCTAACAGGACTGTCAGGGTGGAGAGGTTTTACTGAGCCAAAACATCTGCCCCTGGTCTCCAAGATGTCTGTCTATTCTAATCAATGGCCCGTGCTCATTGGCTCTGGCTCAAACCCTGTGGGGGCGGGTCCCAGCTCTAAAAGGTCCGTGAGCACGTGCGCTGACATACGCAATCTGTAATCTGACTCTTTGCTGGTGGGGGTGTACCCGGAAACAGAATTATCCAATTAATTCTTATGGCACCTTTTTTCCTCTAAAAAAATGTCTTTACTGTCTGGTCCAAAAGTTGACCGGAGTTTTTGACCAGCCTCGTTAAGTCACTGTGGACTTATGAATGCACTTGTTAAATGAATGGCATGTGTCAAGCTTGAGCCGGCAAACGCATGCGTGAATGCATTTTTCACGGCCATTTTGAAACTTTGGCGGTGGCATAAATTTTAGGACATAGGCATTACTACGTCCGTCAATATTTATAGTTTATACGCACACTGTGCACTAGTTCTATTTCTATTTCAACTTGGTGTGGAATAATGACCCGTTTAATTTCTCCAAAAAGTCGAACAAAAGTGTTGATTTATAGAAAACTGATGGATTTCAAAAGAAAACATGTCCAGGGTGATAAAGGGCACTAGAATCCCTACAAAACCCAACCTTTGTGAAAGCTGTAGGTTCCCTGTCAGCTGCGGACGAGCCTTTGTAATTAACATTGTCTATGGGGAAATCTTTACAGCCCGTGCAGGATTTAGGCTGCAGTACCGCGGGTGTCCTCTAGTCCTGATGGGGACCGGTTTTAGCAGCAACACCCTATGACTGTACTGTTTATATCTTCATATTGTGAGCCCTGTAACAGACCAATCAGGTGCCTTCTGTCCACAAACTCGGCTTTGGTTTTGGCTAGCAGTTAGCAGGTAGCAGGAGCAGACCAGCGACTCTTCTGATTGGCTCTTTCGATGTTCAAAACCAAAACACTGGTGACATTTAGTTGTCAGTTATGTGTCTGACCGATGGGATGCGGGTTTTCGTGGTGTGATCCCTGGCCTGGTCTCAGATCCGGTCTCATGTTTTGCTGGGGTTTCCGTGGCTGCTGTCGTCCTTGTGATGTCGCATGAGTCTATAAACCATGAGCCTCATCTCCATCTGAATGTCCACACACAACGCAGGACAAACTGCTGCTGTGAAGACCGTGCATGCTTCTGGACTAACATTAAACCTGCTGAGAAAACCCCGGGTCTGGACTCTCTCTGGGATCTGAACACCTGACGAGGGAGTTTCACCAGAAAGCAACTGGTCACATGGTCTGGTGTGTCAAGACGTCTCTGGTCTCTCTCTTTGGTCTCTCCATAGTCTTCCTGGTGTCTCTCTCTATCTCTGTTTGCTCTCTATAGTTTATCTGTTTGGTCTCTCCCTCTCTGGTCTCTCTCTCTTTCTGGTTTCTCTCTCTCTCTGATCTCTCTCCCTCTGTCCTCTCTTTCTCTGGTCACTCTCTGGTCTATCTCTCTGGTCACTTCCTGGTCTCTCTCTCTCTGGTCACTCCCTGGTCTCTCTCTCTCTGGTCACTCCCTGGTCTCTCTCTCTCTGATCACTCCCTGGTCTCTCTCTCTCTGATCACTCCCTGGTCTCTCTCTCTCTCTCTCTCTGATCACTCTCTAGTCTATCTCTTTGGTCACTCCCTGGTCTCCCTCTTTCTGATCACTCCCTGGTCTCTCTCTCTCTCTCTCTCTGGTCACTTCCTGGTCTCTCTCTCTCTGGTCACTCCCTGGTCTCTCTCTCTCTGGTCACTCCCTGGTCTCTCTATCTCTCTGGTCACTTCCTGGTCTCTCTCTCTCTCTGGTCACTTCCTGGTCTCTCTCTCTCTGGTCACTCCCTGGTCTCTCTCTCTCTGATCACTCCCTGGTCTCTCTCTCTCTGATCACTCCCTGGTCTCTCTCTCTCTCTCTGGTCACTCTCTAGTCTATCTCTTTGATCACTCCCTGGTCTCTCTCTTTCTGGTCACTCCCTGGTCTCTCTCTCTCTCTGGTCACCCTGGTCTCTCCCTCTTTGACCTTTCTCTCTGGCCTCTCTCTCTCTGATCACTCCCTGGTCTCTCTCTTTCTGATCACTCCCTGGTCTCTCTCTCTCTCTCTCTGGTCACTCCCTGGTCTCTCTCTCTCTCTGATCACTCCCTGGTCTCTCTCTCTCTGATCACTCCCTGGTCTCTCTCTCTCTGATCACTCCCTGGTCTCTCTCTCTCTCTCTCTCTTTCTCTGATCACTCCCTGGTCTCTCTCTCTCTCTCTCTGATCACTCCCTGGTCTCTCTCTCTCCCTCTGATCACTCCCTGGTCTCTCTCTCTCCCTCTGATCACTCCCTGGTCTCTCTCTCTCTCTGATCACTCCCTGGTCTCTCTCTCTCTGATCACTCCCTGGTCTCTCTCTCTCTCTGATCACTCCCTGGTCTCTCTCTCTCTTTCTGGTCACTCCCTGGTCTCTCTCTCTCTCTCTCTCTCCTGTCCCCTTTGACAACATATAGTTGAATTCTACTGACGAACGAGAATAAAAATAGCACAAACTTCGCACACGCCGGTGGAACATGTGCCCTGAGTCTGAATGATCGGCTGTTTCCATGGCGACGGGGTCCACATGCCAAGAACCCGCCCACTCTCCGGAGCAGCAGCGATGGTCCGTGAGCTTCTGCCTTTACCAGGAATGTCTGATGTACACAGCCTCTCACAAGCCAGGGTCACTAACATTTTACAGTTTGGTGTCCGACTGAACCCAGCGACCCCCCCACTCTCACATTTGAACTGGTTCCAGATAGAAGCCTCATTCACACTGAGAAAAAAAACAATTGTACCCAAAGGCTACAGGTCACGGGCTGGTGTGTCAAAACGTCTCTCTCTGGTCTCATGGTCTTTCTCGCTGGTCCCTCTCTCTGGTCTCTGTATCTAGTCTCCCCCTCTCTGAATTGTCTCTTTCTGGTCTCTCTTTTCTAGTCTCCCTCTGCTCTCTCTCTCTCTGGTCTCTTTTTCTGGTCTCTCTCTGGCTCTGGTCTCTCTCTTATCTTACTAGCCTCTTTCTCTTGTCTCTTGTTGGTCTCTCTCTCTCTACTCTTGCTCTCTCGGGTCTCTCTCTGCTCTCTCTTTCTGGCCTCTCTGGTCTTTCTCTGGTCTCTCTCTCTCTGGTCTCTTCCTCTGTCTGGTGTTCTCCTCTCATGGTCTCACTCTGTTTCTCTCTGAGACATGGATTTTATATAGGTCCTTTTTTCATTGCATGAGCCAAGTGACTGCGAGTTACTATAGCAACCCACTGTTTATTGTCAGCCGTTAGTATTTAACCTCAAAACAAACTGCTTTTGTTGTATTTAAACTTATATACACCAGTTTTATCTCTCATCAACTTGAAGGAAGGTTAAAAAACCCACTTTTTGTGGGTATTTCTCATAATTTGATTGATTTGAAGTGCAAGCCTGAGCAGTCCCTGGAGCCCCCCCTTGTGGCCACTTTGCGACACCGCAGTCTCACCGGCGCTGGTCCAAACTTGCCTGTTTCCATGACAACGGCCAGGTTCTCCGTGATGATGAAGTGATGAAGGAGGATTCTCTCTATGTTTACTTTACGCTGCTTCTGAAGCTTGTGACAAGAAGTGAGAGCAGTAAAACCAAGAGCTCTGACTGCCGACGCTGCTCCCTCCTCTCTATCTGCTCTTTCTCTGATCTCTCTTGTCTCTCTCTCGTTTTATTCTGGTCACTCTCTGCTCTCTCTCTTGTGTCTCACTGCTCTCTCTCTTTCCCTGGTCTCCTTCGGGTGTCTCTCTTTCTCTGGTCTCTATGGTGTCTTTTCTGGTTGCTCGCTCTCTGGTCTTTCTCTGGTCTCTCTTGTGTCTCGCTGCTCTTTCTGGTCTCTCTTTCTCTGATCCCCTTCAGGTGTCTCTCAGAAGACAGAAAAGACACCATGAAGAGAAGGTCTCTCTCTCTGGTCTCGCTCTCTCTTTCTGGTCTCGCTCTCTCTCTCTGGTCTCGCTCTCTCTCTCTGGTCTCACTCTCTCTCTCTGGTCTTTCTCTCTGGTCTCGCTCTCTCTCTCTGGTCTTTCTCTCTGGTCTCGCTCTCTCTCTCTGGCTCTCTCTCTCTGGTCTTTCTCTCTCTCTCTGGTCTTTCTCTCTGGTCTCGCTCTCTCTCTCTGGTCTTTCTCTCTGGTCTCGCTCTCTCTCTCTGGTCTCGCTCTCTCTCTCTGGTCTCACTCTCTCTCTCTGGTCTTTCTCTCTGGTCTCGCTCTCTCTCTCTGGTCTTTCTCTCTGGTCTCGCTCTCTCTTTCTGGTCTCGCTCTCTCTCTCTGGTCTGTCTCTGGTGTCTTGTTTGTAAATACATTTATATTTTCAGTATATAAAAGATAAAATTATAAAACTATTTCCTGATCGTTCTCACTCAGAAACTCGAACACAGATTTTAGCAGTTTATTGAGGCTTTGATCATATGTCTGCTCGCCGCGCTGTGATTGGATCAAGCTTATTCTGATTGGGCCAATCAGAAGCAGTCTTTTTCAAGTTCAAATATTTAAAAAATCAAATCAAAGAGATGAATAAAGTGCTCTCCAGCGCCACCGTCTGACTGAACGTGGAGCCAGAGTCAGTTCACCACAAAGAGGAAATCCAAGTCTGCAGCCAGGACCACTCAGTCCAGGCCAGGTGCGGGTCCAGGTCCTGTCCAAGTCTAGTCCAGGTCCAGTCCAGACCCAGGTCTAGGTCTAGGTCTAGGTCTTGATCCAGGTTCGGTCTAGGTTCAAGTTCAGTCCACTTCACTCAGTCCAGGTGTCCAAGATCAAACCAGTCCACTCAGTCCAGGTCCAGTCCAGTTCTCTCAGTCCAGGTCCAGCCCAGTTCTCTCAGTCCAGTCCAGTCCTCTCAGTCCAGGTCCAGTCTAGTCCACTCCACATTAGTTCAGTATTTAACACTTTAAAACTAATGAAAAAGCTCATTGTACAAATAAACATTTTTGACAAATTTACAATCACACTTTCTTTTAGATCTTTTGTTTCAATGTTTTCCAATGGAACATGTTCGCTTCTCCCATTGAAAATCAAATATCTCCATATAAAAAAATATATCCCTAAAGCCTCAGTCCTGGGTCTACAGCCTCAGTCTAAAAGCATCCTCTCCTACTCTCATTCTCACTACTGGTGTAAATCAGGCTTTTGCAGAAGACCAAAGGTGTTTACTGGGGCTCATTAGCACATTACATTAGCGCGCCGACGATCTCCTGGTCTTGTGCAGTGGGTGCGATGGTTCTACTTTCATAGGATCAGAGGAACATGTGAGGGTACTGACCAATCAGAGCGCTGCTGAGACTAGAGACAGAGACCGAAGAGAGAGAGACCAGAGAGAGGAGTGAGAGACCAGTGATTAAGTTAACATTGAGGTCGATGGGAACATTTCCTATACAGCCCATGTGGATCCAGGCTGCAGTACCGCGGGTGGCCTCTAGTCCATGTGGAGAAGGGTCAAAGCAGCAACACCCTCCATACAATCCACACATGTTCATTGTCCACACTGCCCCTGCTGGAAACCACTGGGACCGTCTCCACACTGCCCCTGCTGGAGACCACTGGGACTGCCTCACTGCTCGTGCTGGTTCAGGTAGAGTCCCGCCTCCCACTGCAGGGCTCTCTGGTTCTTGTGGCGCGTCACACGAGTCGACTCCACCACCTGAAGGTCAGACGCAGAACTGTGTTGGTTTGACATTTTTAGGTAAAAGTGTGAATTATACTTGTGGAAGAAACAAACCTCGTTGTTGACAGAGTCCACTGGTTGGATCCCAGCGTACTGCGGAACAAAAGAAGCATTTCTGTTGTTAAAAAAGTCTAAAAACATCATTAAAAAAAGACTTCAGTTGAGAACAGAGCTCACCTTGCTTTCCTCCAGCCTGAGTTTGACCCGTCTCTCCTCAAAGTCCTGCAGCAGGGTCTGGGTGAGTCCTCGTACGGGGAGGGGGGAGGGACGGACCACTGGAGGGGACTGGGAGCGTGTCTGTGGGGTCTGGTAGGACTGGGATTGGGTCTGCAGGGTCTGAGGGGACTGGGACCGGGTCTGAAGGGTCTGGTAGGACTGGGATTGGGTCTGCAGTGTCTGAGGGGACTGGGACCGGGTCTGCAGGGTCTGAGGGGACTGGGACCAGGTCTGGTAGGACTGGGACCGAGTCTGATAGGACTGGGACTGAGTCTGCACAGTCTCAGGGGACTGGGACCGGGTCTGCAGGGTCTGAGGGGACTGAGACCGGGTATTCAGGGTCTGGTAGAACTGGAACTGGGTCTGCAGGGTCTGAGGAGACATCACGGTCTGTGGAGCAGGAGACCAGGGCTGTGGGGACATCAGGGGGACAGTGGACAAACGCACAGGACGAGAAGTGGACCTGGACCCCAGGCTCCCTACAAAGAAACATGTTAGTAGTACCACCTAAAATGTACCGATTTCAATAGTTTGTGTGTGTGTGTGTGTGTGACAGAGTGTGAGTGTGTGTGTGTGTGTGTGTGTGTGTGTGTTTTAGTTACACATTAATGCGAAGTTACAGAAACTGAACCTGGACTTTGCTCATGCGCAGTTACTCATTCCCTTTACGAGGACATCAGCTGGTCCCAGAGTCTGGACCAAAACTGCTGGTCCCAGAGTCTGGACCAAAACTGCTGGTCCCACACAGGTCTAGAAAGACTAAATGAGACGTGTCGTAACATGAAAACAACTATGTCCCTCGAGTTTACGCTCATCCACAGATCAGCAGCAGTCCAGACTTCCCCCTCCCCAGACACTTTCTCGCGCTTCTCTGAGGTGTTCCCCGGCCAACTGAGAGACCCAGTCCTCCAACTGAGAGACTCAGTCCAGCTGAGAGGGTCCTGGGTCTTCTTCCGGTGGAGCATCCCAAACAGATGCCCGAGCAACCTCAATTGGCTGATCTCAGCATGGAGAACCAGTGGCTCTACTCCGAGCTCCTCTCATGTGACAAAGCTCCTGGGCCTATCTCTAAGGAATCTACAGAATATTAAAGGGTTGAGCTTGGGTCCCAGTAAAACACACTGGAAGAATATCATAAGGAAACACAAAGGCAGTATTCTCTTTATGACGACTCAGACCTGATTATGTTTTATCTACAACAGCGTCATAATGGAATGAATGTGAGTTATGAAAGAACTCTGTCCGCTGGTCATAAACTGTGAACCGTAAAGTGTATGTATGCGGAAGAAGCTGATTTGAACATAATGCAGCTGTAGTCCATTTCCTTATATGGTCATTTGTGCCGAGGTGTTAGTTTCGAGCTGAAACAGGAGCAGACATGTTGCTGGAGTTTCTGTTGCAAATGAAAGCATCTGATTGGTCAATGCAAATATGGCTCAAATTGGGATTTACAAAGATAATATAAATAATATAAAAACCAGGATCATGGACAGCAATTTCTCTGCGATCCTGGTGTTTATGTTTTTAAAAAATACAGATTTTTAAAGTCCAAACTGGTGAGTGTGACACAAACGCAGCCTGTGGAGGTTTCTCAATAGTCAACAGGAGCCAGTGCGAGCCGAAAACTGCCAGTGTGCCCCAGGACAGCTGTGGCTGCAGTAGTAATATTGACATGTGAAGCGTCTTTGAGTGGCCACATTGTCCATCTATATACAGCCAATGGTCTTGCTTCGGTTCTTTGATCTGTAATATGTTTATGCCTCATTTGTACTGTATTCACACCTGCATAATAGATCCGGACCAGCGTTTAAACTAACCCTGCTCCGCTTAAAGTGAACCAAACTGTGCAGGTCTAAATATTCCACAGGACATTTTAGAACCAGCTCATCTTCCACCAGCTCTAAGTACAAATGGAACACACTTTGAAACTTTAACTACTTTTTGGCAATAAAAACCCTGCTACATGTCTCACTAAAAGCTAAAGCTAAAGAAGCTATTTATCTTATTTTGTGCGTTCCTTATCCCTACTCTCTGTAACATTTTCCGACTGTAAGAAACATAAAGGTTCTCTTCTTTTTCTCACCGAGAAGTTGCTGTCTCACCTGTTTTGATTGGTGGGTAGAACTGTGTGGCGGCCATCTTGTCAGCCTGCTCCACCAGCGTCTGTGGGGAGTAGACCTGCTTCGCCCTCTGCTCCTTCAGCTCGCGTTCCCTCCTCAACGCCTCCTCGATCTCCTGCTCAACAAACTGGGCTTGCCTTCGGGTCTGCAGACTGTCCCTCCACGCCGGGGCCTGGTCCTGCTCCAGCCTCTGCTCCAGCCTCTGCTCCAGCCTCTGCTCCTTCAGCTCGCGTTCCCTTCTCAGCGCCTCCTCAATGTCCTTCTCAACAAACTTGCCCTGTACCTGGCTCTGCAGGGTGTCCCTCCACGCCGGGGTCTGGTCCTGGTCCCGGTCCAGCCTCTGCTCGTCCGAACCACACGACAACGAGGAGACTTCATTGCAAGACTTTTCTGCCAGGATTTTCTCACCAGTTTCCATCCCGTGTCCATTCTCCTTCGGCCATCTTCCCTCTAAGCTTTTATAGTCCCCATTTCTTGCTTGTTCGGCGTACTTTTCCTGTCTTGCATACGGTTCAACATACTCTTTAGCTTGCCCTGTAAAATTTTGCCGATATTCAACTTTGCCTCCATCTTGAGTGTAGTAATTTTGCTTTTGTAAGGCATAGTCCACAACGTCCAACTTTGCTTCATCTTTCTCAAGCTCCTTGGTTTCTACTACATCAGTTGCTGCTTGTAAAACGTCAAAACTACCGGCCCTTTCTCGTCTCGCATTCCCCAAGTGTTGTGTAGAGCCATCCTGCCTAGTCGCTCTTCCCTTTCTTTGGATTTCCTGGAAGATGAAGCCCACCCTATTTTTCTCCTTGCTTTTCGTAGGAGTCAACGGCAGCGGTGTGTTCAGTCTCTTGGTTTCTATTTGGACCATCTCCCTGTGGCCGGCATTGTGCTGAAGGCCTCGTGATTGACGCAAGTTCTCCTCGCGTTCCTGAGCAATTCTTATCTCCCGTTCGATGGGTGTCTCTGGCTCGAAGCTGATTTCCGATTGGGTTTGAACGTTCTCCAACACATCAATGCTGCTAAACCTGAAAAACACATCTGAGTCATCCAAACTACTGCTTTGGCGACTGTGGCTACTACGCTGTTCCTCCTTCTCTACCTCTCTGCTTTGTTTGACCTCCAGTTCTTCTCTCTTCACTTTCTTATCCAGAACCAAAACCTCTGGACTCGGCTTCGGTGATGTTTTGACCTGAATTTTGCGTGGCCGTATTATCGGATCAACCTTATTTCTCTCCATTTGAATAAACTGCTTCCTTGCGGCGTCAAAGTTGATCTGCTCTTCAATGATAGCTTCTGAATCAACCGTCGACTTTGGTTTGGTTCCAACATTGCTGAAGCTAATGCTGAAACCATCAATCAACCTGCTTGTATTATCGTCAAAAACTTTTTCAACCACTGGACTTTTCTTGTACACTTGACCACGGATTATCTCCTCACGAAGCCGCCTTTCCTCTTCCTCGCTGACGACTTGATAGCCAAACTTGGGGGTTATTTCGTACCGTGCGTCTGTGTCTTCATCTTGGAACAGACTGCCGGGCTTGGCGTGGTTGCTGTAGGTTTGCAATTTGAAGCTCTCATCCTGTCTCAAGACGGCGAGGTGCGATTGGCGCTGGGGCGAGACCATCCAGGCCTCGTTCTGCTCGGCCTCGGGGCTGAAAGGGTCGTCCACGAAGGAGTAGAAGCCGCTGTGGGAGTCTGCGCTGCTGCTGCATGGACTCACGGGGAGGTCCTCACTGGAGCTGCCATTGTCCTGGGTCACAGACACCTGCTGGGCAGCGACCACCACCACATCGGCCGACGAGTCTGTGAGGCCTGAAGACAAAAACATTCAATAACAAGTGTGTCATCCAACAACAATATTTGTCAAAACAAATCATTTTGCAATATGTGTCAGCCATGGTAAGACTCATATAAGAGAGATGTACAAGTTTTAAGGGTTTAAAATGGTGTACCTAACTTTTAATCCACAACTAATGGTAAGGTAATGATAACCATGCCACTAGTTCCTAGCTCTTGACCAGTGAGAGAGACTAGAAAAAGACCTGTGAGAATGACCAGAGAGAGGCCAGAGAGAGACCAGAGAGAGACCAGAGAGAGACTAGGGAGAGGCCAGAGAGAGACCAGAGAGAGACCAGAGAGAAACTAGGGTAAGGCCAGAAACAGAGACTAGAGACACCAGAGAGGGACCAGAGAGAGACCAGAGAGAGAGACTAGCGTGAGACCAGAGAGAGAAAGGGTAGAGGCCAGGGAGAGAGAGACTAGAGAGACACCAGAGAGCAAACCAATCAAATCAAGTGTCCAACAGTAACACACAGGGCTTTCTCGTCCAAAAAAGATAAGGTTGAGGTTTTCTAATAAGATGTAGACAGTTGTTACGGTCTGATTTGTTCACAAAATGTTGCTTTAGTGGGAGCCTTGTCCACTAACTTTCTTGAAAGCGGTTGTCAAGCGGCCAGTTTGATGATTTCCTTGCCTACCCAGCACTTCCACATGTGTTTGTGCTCAACTCACCGTCCACATGAACAGCCTGGCCGCTCACGAGGCTGGTGCTGTAGGGGGCGCTGTGGTCGTGTTGTGCAGAGATGGAGCGCAGGTCTGAGGGCTGCAGACTCGGCGACAGGGGCCTGAGCACCCATCGGCGAGGGCTGCTATACATGTGGGCGGAGCTTATATCCATGTGGGCGGGACTGCTGAGCACGTGGGTGGGGCTTGAAGTGAGTGACTGACGCAGACGGATCAAGTCCTCATAGTGTCTCTGAAACAATCAAAAGAAAAACAATCTGAAACAATCAAAAGAAAACAGTCAGAATTGGTACGACCACAGACGGTAAAACATGTATGAACCGCTAATTTCCTGTCTTTCAAGCAAACAGATAACCTTTCACGTATGCAGAGCCCATGAGCTGCTGCTGCCCCTCCCTCTGGAAAACTGACAAAAATGTTTTCAGCTCCCCCTGCTGGATGCACAGTAATAGAGTAAATAATGATGACGATGATAATAATAACGCATCAGTTTATAGATTTAGCTTTTTTGCTAAAAAGACACTTTACATGTAAATAATCATTCACTCCAAACATGGTGGTGATAAACTACTACTATAGCCGCAGCTGCCCTGGGGCACACTGACAGAAGTGAGGCAATCTGTGTGTGCCCTCAGCCCCTCCCACCATCACAAATCATTCACACAAACACCAGACTCACACTAAAGTGAGTGAAGTGTCTTGCCTGAGGACACAAAGGTTTAGCACTTTACAGCTTAGCGTCATGTGAACGTGCTGGATCTGTGAGGCACAAAATGGCGACAGTATTGACACAAGTGGAACTTTAGTGTTGGTCCGCTCGAAGTGGGCTATGAGCTGCTAGCCCCAGAAACTAGCATCACGGCTACATCTAACACACAAGGTTTTGCCATCAATTTCGTTTAGCCAATTTCTGTAGTGAAAAACCACAGCTGCAATGTTTGATGTTGTCAAAATAAAACAATGAAACACCCCCATCTGGTGGTGGACACGGGAAGTGACATTCTGTGAGTCTAAATGCTTTCTCTTTGACGTCCTGAAACATGTGATAACTTTCATTAATTCAATTCATTTCACTGGGTTTTGTTTATCCCTAAATCACAACAGTGGTTATCTCAGAGCACTTTACACAGCTGTCGATTCGCCAACACAGATCAGAGAATCAAACAGTTCAAACACAAGGAAATGCAACGATAAAAATGTCCATAAATGTTAATTACTGAGTTCGAGGGCCAAAGATAACGCATTATGATGATGATTATAACAATCCTTCTCTCTGTGCGCAGTGCAAAGACAGACGCAGTTTTGTATGCGTTGCTATGGAAACAGATGGCAGGTCTGTGTTTTTATGTGAAGTGAGTTTCTGACAGTTTGGAGCGAAAACACGATTCTGCTGCCAACAGGAGAAGTCATCAGAGGAGGAGAGCCTCAAACAGGCTCTGCTCAACCAAAACCAGAAACTCAGCCACACGACACACGCTCCGGGGCCTGTAGTTTAGGCCTCTGAACTCATTCACTCGCATTATAGGTGGGAACAGAGAGGGACGTGCTTCCACAGTGACCTTCATGTTACAGCTGCTGTCTGGTAGGCTCTATTAGACTGTAGCATGGCCAACAGGACAATAATTAAAGCTGGGGTACGTAACTTTCACACCACAACAAGCAAACTGTTTGACAAAAATCCTATGTATTTAGTTTCTGGTTTTAAAACACAAACAAAAAGTGAAACGTAAAAAAGAGAGACGAGAGAGATCGGGGAGAGAGCAGGGAGAGAGAGAGACCAGAGAGAGACTAGAGACATTGGGGAGAGACCAGAGAGAGACTAGAAAGCGACCAGAGAGAGACTAGAGACATCAGGAAGAGACCAGAGAGAACAAGAGACTAGAGAGAGACCAGAAAGTGACCAGAGAGAGACCAGAGAGAATAAAGAGAGACCAGAGAGAGGTTAGAGACATTGGGGAGAGACCATAGAGAGAGACTAGAGAGAAACCAGAAAGACCAGAGAGAGACCAGAAAGCGACCAGAGAGAGACTGGAGAGAGACCAGAGAGGGGATAGAAAGCGACCAGAGAGAGACTACAGACATCAGGAAGAGACCAGAGAGAACAAGAGACTAGAGAGAGACCAGAAAGTGACCAGAGAGAGACCAGAGAGAATAGAGAGAGACCAGAGAGAGGGAGACTAGAAAGTGACCAGAAAGAGACCAGAGACATCAGGGAGCGACCAGAGAGAGAGCAAAGAGCCAGACAATCAGTGAGTCAAACAGTGACTCACTGGTCTCTATCCCACACAAAAGATCCTTGATTTGTTGTGGTCTGATTTGTTCACACCATTTTACTCTCTCGCTGTTGGACAAACTACATTTGGTATTCATGAGATTACAACAGTTACCTCATCTTAAAAGTTGTTTAAAATATTTCGCATAATTGTTATTTATTAAAAACAACTCCAGGACTGTGAATATGGAGACACGAAAGATATCTGAGTTTGCATCATATGTCCCCTTTAACTTGAGAGAACAGAATGGGACAAAACAGACCCATGGAACATCGAAGGGACTAGATCATTTTCAATCGCTGTCAGGAAATAGTTGTAAGTTTTTATTCCGTGTCTGATCAGCAGATTTATTTAAGTGAGAGACCTTTGCCCTGCGTCATACTGTCCAGAAGAATGTCCATAAAGTTTATCGTCAGTCGCAGATCAGAGATAAGGCAGAAATGCTCCATACTCCACCAGCAGGAAGTCAGAACGACCAGCGTGACATGGAGCCGATCCAACCCTCAAAACGTACAGATAACTTCATAAAAAACCTGCACCTGGCTCTGAAACAGTCCAGCCACGAGTTTTCACATGTGCAGTATTTATGGCCTCATCCAGGGACAGTTTAGGGCCCCCCCCCAGACCCCCCTCAGTGAATGCAATCTGTAACATAGCTGCTATTTGATTGGTGCTAAAAGGCTGTAGAGTGACCAAGAGATGGGAAAATAATTAAAGCCATGGTACGTAACTTTTCCTTGCCGATGCAGATTAGAAGGGTCAAACTAGAAGGACAGAGGTGATGATCCAGGACACTCAACATTCAACAACATTTATGGACCAATGGCTCTGTTTATGGTTGCATTTCTTGTTTTGAACTGTTGATTCTCTGATCTGTGATGGCAAAGTCACTGGTTTTGTTAAGTCCTTCGTTTGAACTACTGTTGTGATTTAGTGCGATACAAGAATACATTTAACTGAATTTAATTGAACTTTCAAACCATCAAAATCCAATGTCTCTAGTTGCTTCTGTCACATGCATGTATCTTTGGCCTCTGTCACATCTTCTAGTTCAGATTTTACAGATAAAAGTGAAAATGAGAGACCAGAGAGAGAGAGACCTTTGAAACAGTTCTACCACTAGTTTTCACATCATGTATCTATACAATACATTACATAACAATACAATTTCTTCTTGTGCAGCCCTAAATCACAACAGTAGTCATATTTATGGCCACAGACCAGACCAGACCCAGAGAAGATCCAGACCAGACCCAGACTATGACCATCAAAGCCTCCAACCACCACACTACATTCACTCGTTACATTCACACCTATTGTACATGATTTTAGTGGCAGCGATAACCGGAGCACCTGGAGGAAACCTATGCAGACACAAGGAGAACATGCACACACTAAACAGAAAGAAGAATCTGGAGGTGGAATGGAACCCAAAAATGTATTGCAAACCACTGTGCGGAGACAGGTTCAGTTTCAGTTGATGATGTCTATGTCGAACCCCCAACCTTCAGCTCCAAGGACTCACTTTGAACCAACTGACCTCCTGCCACCACATGAATGTACTTAGAAGCGCAGCTAACCTCTTCAAACCTGTCATCTGTAAACTATAGCTATTTTAAAACAAACATATTTGGGTTTAACAGTGAACAGTTCTTAGTAAGGCAGTAAAGTATGGATACCAGGAGTTTGTATGTTTTCCCTGTGTGTTTGTGGGTTTCCTCCAGGTGCTCCGGTTCTCCCCAGCTCTGGTTTTGGTCTAGAAGAGGCTGTTGTTCGGACCAAACCTCTCAGTGTCTCACCCAGAGCAGAGAGGTAAGCTGTCAGTCTCTGGAGCAGATAAGGGGATCTGCTGGAGACTGATAACACTGCGGCGCGACAATTTTGGTGACATCACAACAAGTAGTCGTAGTTGCAGTAGAAGATGTAGTAGTAGTAGAAGTAGCGCTTACTTACTTAGTAGTAGGAGAAGGAGTAGTAATAGCAATAGTTGAAGTAGTAGCAGCAATCAGAGAAGTAGCAGTATCAGTAGTCGAAGTAGTAGTAAATAATAATAATAATAATGCATTGGTTTTACACAGTGCTTTTTTGGACACTCAAAGCCACACCACCAACCATTCACACCAGACTCATTCTAGGCAATGGGGGTAAAGTGTCTTGCCTAAGGACACAACGGCAGTTTGGCACTTTACAGCCGCAGCCGCCCCACTGTGGCTGGTGTTCCCAGAGGTTAAGTGTCTTGCCCAAGGACACAACGACAGTAGACAGTGGGATTCGATGGTGAAAGTCGGACTCGAACCCACGACCCTCTGGCTCAAAGGCCAATGCTCTACCAACTGAGCTACTGTCGCCACAAATAGTAGTAGAAGTAGCAGCAGAAGTGGTAGTAGCAGTAGCAGGAGTAGTAGTAATAGTAGTAGTAGAGGTACCAATACTAGTAGTAGTAGCAGTAGTAGCAATCGGAGTAGTAGTAGTAGTACTAGTACCAGTACTACTACTAGTTGTAGTATCAGTAGTATAAGTAATATTTTCCCTGTGTATATTTCCAGAGATCAGAGTCCTACCTGCTGTGTGCAGAGGCGTCGCAGACTGAGGTCCTGCCACAGACAAAGTTCAGTTTGTCAGGCCCCGCCCACTTAACGATATCAGGCCACGCCCACTTTACGGTCTTAGACTCCGCCCACTTCACGATCTCAGACTCCGCCCACTTCTTAGCAGATGATGATTCTGCTATAAATTAACTGTGGCGTATTCACTTGGACCCTGGTTCCAGCTCAAAATTAAGTGCATGCCCTTTAATTTCTTAATGTGGTTTCCTGTCTGTGTGGTCAAACGTCGAGGTGGACATTGGACCTTAAACAGACCTCACCGTGTTTACATGAGTCAGAGCTTTTTCAACAATAGTTTTAGTTCGAACAAATAAATGGGTCTAAAACATGAACATTTAGAACATAAGCTCCAGCTTCTGTTCAAATCAGCTTCTCCCACATGCACCAACTCCAGTCACTCTCCCATCTCTTTCTGGTCTATCTCTGGTCTCTCTCTGGTCTTTCTCTGGTCTCTCTTCTCTCTCTGGTCTATCTTATCTCTCTGGTCTATCTTATTTCTCTGGTCTCTCTCTGGTCTCTCTTCTCTCTCTTGTCTCTCTCTCTGGTCTATCCCTAGTCCTTGGTACTTGCATTGTGACTTTAGAAGACTAATTTTTAAAGTCAAAAGTTTTTTCTTATGACACATTCCCGTCTTTCCTGTGATGAAACGCTGACACGATTGCAAACAACACGCAAACCTTTCCCACTGTGGTCCCGATCGACACAGAGAAACCAGCTACAAACAGTTATTGTTGTTGTTATTGTAGTGAACAGTCTCTTCTGACCTTGTAGGGGTCCAGGCTGTAGAGCAGGACCTGCCAGGGGGCCGTGTACTTGAACATGACCCAGGACCTCAGAGACCAGGGACCAGGAGCAGACCTCAGGGACCAGGACCTCAGGAACCAGAGACCTCAGAGACCTCAAAGACCAGGGACCAGGAGCAGACCTCAGGGACCAGGACCTCAGAGACCTCAGAGACCTCAAAGACCAGGGACCAGACCTCCTGGAGACACCTCTGCAGACACAAGATACAACTAGGTTTAAAGGTTTTCTTGTGTTTTAGAATATTTGAGATTCAAATGAATAAAACTTCTGCACTTTGTAGTCGAGCCACAGACTGTAGATGGATAAGGCTAACTCAGGCTAACCCGCTAGCTCAATGAACCTCAATGAACATATAAGTATTGACCAATCAGAAGCTGATATTTGGGGGGCAAATATCAGGAAATTGGCTTCTTTCAGATCGGCTTCTTTTCCCTCTGTAACTATGGAAACAATAACAGGTGTAAACAACTTTGCAGTGAAAGAAACTAATGCTCTCATTCAAATCAATGAAATTATGAGAAATTCCAGAAAAGTTAAGTTCAGCCCATGCAGGACCAGTCCGGTACCAGTTCGGAATCACTGCTGTTTTGATTTAAGGCTTTACACAAATATAATTAGATTAAATATTTGTTTTATTTTTTGCATTCATTAATCTGACTTTGAAATCAGTGGAAACAAATCCCATTGTGTTTCAGACTGATACAGCATTTATCTCGCCTTCATAAATCCAAATCATCAGTTATCAGACACACGCTGCCCTCTGCTGGTCACAATGAGAATGCACAAATACAAATATTAAAGCTGGGGTACGTAACTTTCAAACCCTGACATGACACTAGTCCCTGGCATCAGTGTCAGACCTGTGTCACATCTTTAGATCAGTTTTTGAGACAGAAAAATGAAAAAGTGAAAAAGAGAAGACCTCACTCACTCAGCCAATCTGCTCTCAGCCCAAAGAGTCAAATAGTCACAGTTATCTTTCTTCACATGGTTTAGACCTAGCATGGACCTAATTTCAGACCTGGTCCAGACCTGGTCCAGCCTTGGTTCAGACCTGGTTCAACCCTGGTACAAACCTAGTCCATCCCTGGTTCAGATGTGATACAAAGTTGGTCCAGCCCTGGTCCAGACCTTATCCAAACCTTGTCCAGCCCTGGTCCAGACCATAGACTGTATTGTCCAGACCCAGTCCAGACCTCGTTCAGACCTGGAACTATAGAGTGACATAGATTTTCTGACACAGTTCTAGTTGTTGTGGTCTGAAAGTTACGTACCCCAGCTTTAGTGTGTTACTTACTGAGCGAGGCGTCCACAGCGGCGTCCAGTGCAGGTCTGACCCTCGCTGCACAGAACCGCTGACCTCAACCCGAGCCTTTGTCTCTGTCCACTCTGGAACTCACCGGACTCACTTCCAAAACAGTCACAACACACACACGCACACACATTCTCACACACACACACACACACACACACACATACGTGTTTGCGTGACAAATGAGGACCTATGTCTGCACTGTGACATATCAGGACGTGTCTTTCTGAAGGTCCCAGAGACCTGAGGATCACATAGGGGGCAGCAGGATGTGATCAGCAACACAGCTAGCTGTTGATATTTTGGTTACAAGAAACTTTTTTCCCCTTTTTTTTATTGCCACATATGAGGACCTTGACAGGTCTGAGTGACATATAAGGTCCTACAACAAACACATCAGGTCTGAGTGACAAATAAGGACCTACAACACACACATCAGGTCTGAGTGAGATATTAAGACTTTTAACACACAAATCAGGTCTGAGTGAGATATTAGGACCTACAACACACACATCAGGTCTGAGTGAGATATTAGGACCTACAGTATAACATATGGGTGTCATTTTTGACACCTCACTTTTATATTTGTTTTTGATGTTTTAAATCCTAATTTAAACATGATTTTCCTACTGGAGTTAAGAATTTTTTTCAGGGAGAAAATCTACTGACACAAGGAGAATATGCAAGCTCCACTCCGAAAGGCCCCTTCTGGCTGGAAGTATTTTTTCTTTTTTTACACTCACTCACTCACTACTCAAGTATCTTTTTAAAATAGCTTGAGTCAATATTGTGGCTATTCTGCCCACCTCTGGGGATGTATTTAAGTTTGTGACAAAATAGGTTAAATATGAGGACAAGTGTGTTAAGGTAGTTCCGTGCATGACCAGAGGGGCGCTTCAAATTATTTGGGACGGAGTGTTTCGGCCCCGACACACATTTTCACTATTCGTAGACATTTTGGGACATGATTGAATTTTGGTGTGGAGCTTCATTTGGGCCTCTACAACACTGTAGTATGAATGGAAAAACGGGGACCTGAAAAAAGTCTCCATATTTCCTCAGGTCCTCATATTGAAGGTGTGTTATCAAACACAAGTCCTCATATGTCCACAAAACAAACGCACACACATCCAAGCGCACGCACACACACACAAGCGCACGCACACACACCGTTACGGCGCTTGGCATTACAATATTGGTCGCGGTCTTTTTAGCTGACATGGCTCTTTCGTCCTGTGGCAAAATGGCAGCAACTCAAAAGATTGAGCCAAAACACTGACAACATACGCTCCTCCTCCTCCTCCACACTCTGACAACATACGCTCCTCCTCCTCCTCCTCCACACACTGACAACATACGCTCCTCCTCCTCCTCCTCCTCCACACACTGACAACATACGCTCCTCCTCCTCCACACACTGACAACATACGCTCCTCCTCCTCCACACACTGACAACATACGCTCCTCCTCCTCCTCCACACTCTGACAACATACGCTCCTCCTCCTCCACACACTGACAACATACGCTCCTCCTCCTCCTCCTCCTCCACACACTGACAACATACGCTCCTCCTCCTCCTCCACACACTGACAACATACGCTCCTCCTCCTCCTCCACACACTGACAACATACGCTCCTCCTCCTCCTCCTCCACACACTCTGACCACAACAAGTGGTTTTATGCCCAAAATCCACTGCACTCACAGTGGGCGCTAAAGCTGAGCACACAGTATTTGCTAATGCTTTTATAATATGTTTCTGATGTGGATATTCGGACTCAACATTGACAATAACAGCGCTCACACACCTGTCTCGCTGCTCCTCCTCTTCCTCCTCTGCTCACACACCTGTCTCGCTGCTCCTCCTCTTCCTCCTCCTCTGGTCACACCTCTGTCTCCTCCTCCTCACACAGAAGACGCAAGTATCCATCTCTCCGTACACTGGGCTCATTCCCGTTACTTTCTTCGTTCCTCACTCAGACCCAGACACTGCTGAAGTTATCTGACAGCTCCGTAAAGTTTTTTCGCAGGACCCGCAGCGTACATAGCTGCCCTCGCGCCTGCCTGTTTACAAATTGTTTTTGGTGAAAATTTGACTTTATTTGTATAATAATGTACTTTTGATCAAAAGAAATCACAGAGGTCCAGAAAAAGGGGTTTAGGGGTCCGAACTTGGAGCGCAGTCCGCCCTTTGGGGACCCTTGAACTAGTGTATTTATTAAAAAATAAAAAGGAAGGAAGTTTGCGAGGCCCTGTGCGACAGGCCTGCACCCGGCATCTTCACGGGAAGATGTATCTTGTTTAATGCTGAATGAAAAAGTGTTTGGGTTGTATTCTTTTCCTCAACTATATCCTTAATATAACAGGCCGCTCGGAGGTGATTTCCACGTCTGGCCGGAGAGATGTTGATGTGATGTGTGCAGAGAACTTGAGTTTACATCTACAAAGCTAGTTTTGTCTTTACCCAGTATGATTACTACTGTACTCAAGCTCCAATAGAAACTTTAGAACACTAATGATCAACTTGTTTGATCTGACCCACGATTTTGTTCCAAAATTCTGAGGATCAAAATAATAAATCAAAAAGATTTTTGTTTGGGATGGATATGTTTCTGCTTCTATATATCTATCCATCCATCCATCCTTCCATCTATGGACTCGGACACTTCCTGAGGCTGCATAATCCAGCTCTGTGGTTTGACTTCGTACCAGTTTTGTACGAAGTTCCAAGACAAAACACACATCAATGGAAACAGCTGCACTTCATACAAAAATGAATGCATTTTATTTTCAGTATAGTCTTTGGATGACACACTTTAATATAATATCACCTTTAACGCAAAGCCAAACAATGTGTAATAAATATTTTTGCTTTGCGTTGGAGTTTTGAAGTTGGCCCATGACATACAATTGGTATCACCAAAAATAAAAAGACTTCTTCCCCTGAACATTGCTTATTCAGTGAAATACATCCATTTGTTTCAAAAGATGCATTTCATTATATTCTATTAGACTTTTCTTGAACATGACATAGAATCACCATGGCAACAGAACATGGCGACGTCATTCTGTTTGTCGCAGCGGAACATTCTATCACCACAGCAACCAACACCATATCATCGTAACCATGGCTCTCAAAAGTTCATGTGCGTGAAGAAAGACAAGTGACTTAAACAAACCCGAGGGAAATCGAGGATCAAAGCCCAGATTGACAAAGCAAAGCAATCGATACAACACTGACAAGATGTGGTGTTTTAGAAGAAACAGGAGTAAAAAGGAGCTTTACAAAGCCATGGTGGACAATTTGGTTCTTGCAGAGGAATCAAACCAGGCTTTGTTGGCTGAGGTCAAGAAACTGAAGGAGGAGAAGAGTGACCTGGTCAAGTTTCAAGCAGAAGAAACATGCAGACTGAAGGAGCAGCTGACACAGCTGCAAACAGAGAAGTCTGCTCTGGAGAAGTCCACCGCTTTCAACCGGCACCAACTTGACACCACCCTCCAGGAGAAAACCAGCCTTGAACTCTCACTGCAACAAACCACCGCAGAGCTGCAGACCGTACAGCAGACGCTGAGGACTTTGGAGAAGCGTGCTGAAGAGGACAGGCGAAGGAAGGACTCCATCATTAAAGGTATGGACACACTCTCAAAAGTTCATGATGAAAACATGAAAACATTAGAAGTAATTAACTTTTGTCTTCTAGATGC